TGCACACACACATGCACACATACCCCAGCTGCAAGAGGGAGCCCTGGCTGACCTGGCCCCACCCTCCCCCCCTCCAGCATCAAGCAGTCAACCTGCTCAAGCCCACAGCTCCCAACCACCAGGCCCTGTGGCCCAAGCAACAGCACGTGGGAGTCTCTGGGCTCCAGGAGGCCCTGGGCCTGAGACTGCGGGCCATGCTGGACACGGTGCCCAGATGCGTGGACCGGAGGCCCTCTAATGTGCTGGTAGGTGAGCTCTCTGGCCAATGGGACTAAGCTGAGCAGACAGGCACATTTAGCCTCTGAGGCCCCACATCAGGTGTGTGCCACCAAAGCCGGCCACCCAGATTCCCCCACACCTGAAGGATTTGGGCTGGCAGGAAGTACAGACTCCCAGGAAACAGGGGCGGGGGCGCGGTGTTGGGCCTAGAAGGAGAACTGAATGAACCGGTCCGGGATTGAAATGCCCTCATCCACGACCGAGGGCCCACCAGTCTGTGCCTGCTTTGGAGCGTTCTTCGCCACCCAGGCTGCAGCGCCGATAGCGGTGTGCCGAGTGAGGACAGTGCCTCTGAGGCTGGTCCCGGGGCGGGAGAGGCATGCTGGCCACACCAGCAATAACACCGCTTGGGGACTGGCTGCCTCTGCGGAGCCCCATGTGGCGCCTTCTCCCTGGGCCCGGAGATCGGCCATCGCACCACCCCCCACAGCCACCTGGTGGGAGGGAGGATGGCGGTTGCTGTCCCCAGCCGGTGAGGCTGGGACAGAGACAGAGTGCGCTGCAGTCCTGGGGGTGCGAGCTCAGCGGGTGATGAGGGTGTGCGTGGTTCGGAGACGCACTGTGGCTGCACTGGGGACACGGGTGAAGGATGCAGTGAGGGGGCTGGGGTGGGACAGGGACTGTCCCCATGCTGTGGGCCTGGGAGGTCTACAGTGTCCCCATTAGCTCAGCACTGTCCCTGCAGTGCCCTCTCACCTGCTTTGTCCCTGGCTTCTCCTCGCGCCCTCAGGCCAGTCTCTGGCAGCTTCCCTGACTCCCAAATCTGGGTCAGGAGTCATGGCCTGGCACAGTGCCGGGGCCCACGACACTGTTAGGACCCATGAAAACATTGTAACTATTTTTCCCATAAGAAGTGGGGGGGGGGTGGAGCCTATGTTTGTCTTTATACCAACAAAGTCCCAAAATAGAATTTTTTTTATTTTTACAAGGAAGAGGCCCATGAAAACCATACTGAGGCCCTGGCCATGGGGGACCCTTAGAGGCCAGTGTCCCTCTGGGGCTTCCTGGGTGGTGACAATGATCTGCCCACTCGGCCGCCTTCTGCAGCGGAGTGCGCCCTGCTGTCGGAGCCGCTCACAGTGGTACCAGGTAAATACATAAATGCTTAGAAATGAGAAGGTAGTTGACGTTGAGCACTCACTGTGGGCCAGGCACTGTGCCAAGCTTCTGTGACATCGGTGTGTGGACTTTGATGATACACCGATGTCACCCCATTTTCCAGATGAGGACATCAAGGCTGAGAAAGGCAAATGACTTGCCCCCACTGTCTGCCAGCAGAGACCATTAAGGCTGCACCCTGGACCGCTGGCCTCGTCACGTCGCCACGTGAGGGGAGCAGCTGGTGGGAGCATCGAGAGGCTGGCAGTCAGTTTCCAGCAGGGACAAGCTTACGTAGATGTCAGGCCAGTCCCTCGACGCAGCCCTTGAGTTCTGACCCGTGGGCCGGTGCCCTCGGAGGCCTCAGGGCCACCCGACCTTCCTTCTGACAGCACAGCCATGCTGGCCGTTCCTCCACGCAGCTGGGCACTGTGCCCCAGGGCTGAGGGGGGGGACAGTGAGCGATACCGTCACGTTCACTAACTGAGTGCCAGGCACTCTCCCAGCTCACCCACACAATCCCTGGGGCCGTGGGTGACTGGCACTGCCACTCCAGAGCACAGCGTCAGACGTGTGCGGGCAGAGGGGCGCTCAGAACGTGGGGACACCAGGCAGGAGCCGTGCCTTCTGCCTTGGATACTTAGGGGCTGGGAAACCTGAGCCCATCCTTGAAGGGTGAGTAGAATTTCGTCTGGCCCAGAAATGGAAAAGGGCAGGCCAGCCACGTGTGGGAGTGGGCACGGTGTGGGTGGGGTGAGGAAGGGGTCCCCCAGGGGCCTGCAGCTGCCGTGCTGGGGAGCAGGGGGGTGTTTGAAGACGGGGGAGCACACTGAAGCAGTTTGTCAGTGCCCATTTATTAGGAGCTGGGCACCGTGATAGGTGTGGGGGGGCGTCGGGGGGCAGAGATGACTGAGGCCCAGTCACCCATGAGAGCCTGACTGGGAGCGTCCAGGGTCTGCTCCTGACGCCTGGCTGGCCCACCTAGTGACCTGGACCCGGTGCCTTTCCCCCTTCCGCCTGGACTTCTCCTTCCATAACATGAGCTTCCCTGCGGTCGCAACCCACTGACAGAGCTCTTTGAGCTCTCTGAATAAAGAGCGTCGCCAGGCTGGGCGGGGCAGAGTGGGGAGCCCACCTCAGCTCCCCACAGGGCAGGGAACCTGCCCCGGGGCTGGGGCACCAGGTCCTTCGAGATCGCTGCCTCTGCACAGCTGTCAAACGTGCTCCTGTGGCCGGGATGCTTGACAGTCCAGTGCCCCGCCCCCACCGAGGATGCTCTGCCTGGGATGGTTTAATGACAGACGCCAGTGCCCTGGCTGCTGACTGGTGTCCTCAGCAGGGAGGAACATGTGGCAGTTGCCTCGGCTGCAGGGAGGTGGCCAGGACTCACTCATGCGGTCGTTTGACAAAGGCCTACCACGTTACCTCCTTCAGCCCGGTCCCTGGCATCCTGGGCACCGGTGCCCTAGGCCTGTGGAGGAGGCAGGCGCATGCGCAGATCACTCCATCACCAGGTGGGGAAATAACAGGGCAGCCTGGTCTCTGGACGCACACAGAGGACACGTGACTTGACTACTGAGTCCGGGACAGACCCTCCCTGCCCCTCGCCAAGACCTCTGCTGGCAAAGCCCTTTGTATTGGAGCAGCTCCTCTCACAGGCCCACACACATGAGGAAAAAGGCCAGAGAGCCTCACTGACAGGTCCAAGGTCGCAGTGTTGTCATTCACTGAACGAATGAGGAAAACGGCTAAGAGAGGTGAAGTGGCTGCTCAGGGGTCACAGAGCGGGTGGGTGGTACCCCTCCTTCTCACATGGCCAAGCGGGGGTCCTCACTCTACCACAACAGCATGACTCTTTCTTCAATGGTTGCGTTGTCTGCATTTAAATCCCCGCACCAGTCCTCCTTTGCAGCCCCATTTCCGACTCCTCCCACAATCGGCTACACCTGCCAGGACTCCCATATCCTCCCTGCTTTACTGGGCTGCCATAGTGAGTCTGGGCAGGCATGGCCCCATGGCATGGAGCCAGTCAACTCCAAGCTCTCATGCAGGTGCTGTAACCAGGGGGTGTTGCCTCCCACAAACTTACCCCCTTGCCCCCTTACAACCAGGGGGTGTAATTGGGGGTCTTCCACCCAATTACATCCTGGGTGGAAATCACTCTCTTCTCCCGGGCTCAAAGCATGGCCACAGCTATTTAACATATCTATGAAACCAGTTAAAGGTTATAGATCTGTTAAATGACTGTTCTAGAGGTTATCTACAAAACTGTTGCTATGCAAAACACCTCTCAATGGCCCTGCTCCATTTGTCCTTTCCCCAACTGACAACTGTGGGGGGGAGGTAAGGGGTGAGGACATCTTATGTATCTTTCTAATATTTCCTGGACACCTTGAGTTCTGGACCCCATTCCAAACCCCCTTTTTTGGGGGGCCCCCCTCTTGGCTGCACTCGGTTACACCCTCGCTGGTCACCGCAGCTTATCCTGACATGGGACGTCCTACAACTGCTGCTGTTCCAGAGAACAGCAGGGCTGTTCTGTGGCCCAGGGGCGCTGGGTTGGTTCCCCTCACTGAGCACCTCCTGGGTGTGGCACCCAGGGCCCAGTGGCGGGAACCACCACCCTGCCTGGTTTCAGAAGCTGTAACCGCCCCCGCACCCCGACCAGGGCTAAGGCTGAGTGAGAGACCTTGGGACCCTAAGCCACTAAGAAGACAAAGCTTATCTGCCTCGCAGGAGCACCGCCTCTGCCCACTTTACTTCACCCTGCCTGGCCCCCAGTGCATGACCGGTTAGCCAATCTTACCTTGAGGTAAGATTCTTCAAGGGAGGGATGACCTAAGACAGGCATGGCCATGAGGAGGCCCTCAGGGAAGGACTTGGGGGGCTATGGAGAAAGAGGGTGATGGACCCTCGCCCCTGGGCTTTGACATAGCCTGAGTCCTCATTCTGACTGCGAGAAGTCTCCTAATCTCTTGGCTGCTTTACTTCCCCTGCTCGACCTAAGCCTGAAACAATGCCAGAGGCGGGTATGGCCCTGTGCTGGAAAGGGCAGGTTCCCCAGGGCGATCAGGCCTCAGAAAGGATGCATAAAATCCTGTGAAACCTGCTTTGCTAATACTGTCAATTTAAATGCTAAGGGTCCAAGCCTAAAATTAGTTTGTTTCCCCAAAGTTTTATGGCCCTTTAGCTATCTGACCCTGATTCAAAATAGGCCCTCAGAGTTCTTTGAATGTTATTTTTTTATCATTATTGCCTGACAATGATTGATGAGCTTTCCATATACGCCCTGTATTCCTGTGTAAATTAAAGCCAATGAAAGCCGGTCCAGGCAAGGGTCAGCGCGCTCTCCTCTTGAGAGGGTGGCCAAGCCATCTCTTTTCCTCCACAGGACTCAGTAGTCCATGTGAACTTGTCTCATCTCAGCCATAACGCCAAGGACACCGTAGAATGGAGTCCACATCAGCCCGGGACGCTTCAGGAGCCCATGAAGTGTTTGCATTTACAGTTCTTTTAAAATCCGAAGGAAAAATTAAGTATCATAACGGTGAACATTTACTAATGAGTTAAGCCTAGAGTACAATCATCTACCAATGTAGTCATAAAGTATAATTTTTTTAATGAAGAAAGGGGCCACTAAGGCAAAGTGCCCAGCGATGACAAAAGTCACAAAGTGGCCCTTCCACAGTGGCCACACTGTCAGCCACCCAGACCCCGTTCCCACCTGCCAATGTCCATGAAATGGCAGTGAGGGAAGAGGGAGAAGGACAGGGCAGGACAAAGGAAGAGAGCAGGGCTGGGAGAGGGCCAGCCAAACAAACAGGGGCTGGACAGAGAGGGGACAGCCTGGGAGGGCAGAGATGCTGCGCAAGCAGATGGCAGAGGGGAAGGCGCAGAAGGGACGGGGAGACAGGGGATGTGTGTGTGTGTGTGTGTGTGTGTGTGTGTGTGTGTGTGTGATCTCTCCAGTCTGATGCTCGGGTCCATGAGGGAGGGGCCTGGTGTACCGTGGAGCCCGAACCAAGAATGTCCCTGGGGCCTTATGACGTTCCTATGCTGCCCTAGCAAATTACCACAAACGTGCTGACTTGCAGCGGCAGAAATCCATTCTCTCGCAGTTCAGAAGACCCGAAGTCCAAAATCAGAATCACTGGACAGAAAGCAGGCTCTCGGCAGGGCCGCGCTTCTTCGCAGGCTCCGGGGGTGAACCTGTTCGTCTCTTCCCGCCGCTGGTGGCTGCCAGGGTTCCTCGCCTTGTGGCCACATGATGCTGCAGTCTCTGCCTCTGTGGTCACATTGTCCTCTTCTCTGCCTCTCTCTTGAAAGGACACTTTGATTACATTGAGAGAAACCAGGATAATCTCCGGGTCTCACAGTCCTTCATTTAAGTGAATCTGCAAAGCCCTTCCACGTATGCGACATTCACACGGTCCAGGGATTCACACCTGGTGTCTTTAGGGCCCATTCTTCACCTACTACAGGCCCTCGGAGGCAACACAGTGTAAGAAGAGCCTGCCTCCTCCTGAGACTGGTGGAAGGCACAACACCTCCTGCTTCGCAAACCGGCACATCCCGGGAGGGAGGTCCTTCTGCCAGCACCCTGGGAGGGGAGGCACACACGCTCTGAAGTGGAGGTGGGGGCATCTGGAGACTCCACTGAAGCTGGCAAGGCCCGAACTGGGAGGGTAGGCATCGTGGTGGGGAGGAGGTGTCGAGAGAGCCCCGCCCTACCTGGACACAGACCCTAAATCTGAATTGAGTTCTCCCCTTGGCCTCAGGGAGCCCTCTGTCTAACCCCAGAGGTAGCACCCAATCAGCACCACTGTCTTGAAGATGCCGTGAGTGCGGCCGAAGCTCCCGCTTTCCAGGCTGGGCAGTGGAGGCCCAGGGAGAGGGGGTGGTTTTTCGTCTGGAGTCACCTTAACACAAGGCTTCAAATTTCCTCAGTCCCCTCCCGGACCCCCCCTCCTCACCACCACTTCCTGTTCCGTCTCAGTGATTTTGTCATTTCTTGTCTCTTCCTCTTGGCACTTGAAAAGTGAAATAACGGCAGGCGGTTTCATACCCTCCTAGAAGAGCTTGCACAGAAAGTGACCCCTCCCGGGCTGTGCTGGGAGGGAGCCAGGGCCCAGGGCCCTGGAATCGGGCGGCACTTTACTCACGGACTGTCTGTCGATGCTCATGCCACAGGCGTGTCTGAGCGAGGCAGAGAAACGGTGAGCCTGCCTCGTCCAGGCTGGACCGATGCCATTTCATTCGGTTGTGCGCTCCACACCTTCTCAGCACCAGTCGTGGCCAGCTCCCTCCTTAAAACTGAGAAAAGCTTCTGCAGTGCAACTTGGGGGCCCCAGCCGGCCTGGGGGGCAGATTGGGAGGTGGCAGAGCCTCCGCCATGTCTGAACCCTAAAATGGAAAATCCGGGATTAGATGCGGAGAAAATTTTTTTTTTAAGATTTGATTTATCTTTAGAGGTGAAGGGAAGGAGAGAGAAATATCAGTGTATGGTTGCCTCTCATGCATCCCCTGCTGGGGGCTGGCCTTCAACTAAGGCATGTGCCCTGACTGGGAATCGGACCATGATCCTTTGGTTTGCAGGCCTGTGCTCAATCCACTGAGCTATGCCAGCCAGGGCCAGAGAATATTCTAATCTCAATTTTGCCTCTTTCTGGCTGTGTGACTTGAAGCAAATCACTTAAAACCTGTTTCCTTATCTGTAAAATGGGCGTAAAAAGACCTGGCTAAGAGGACAATTATACATGCACCATTATAGATGGACAAACACGACCCTGTGGACCCTAGGCCCAGGGTCTTCTACCTCCCCTGCTCCCCACCTCCTCGGGCCATTCTCGGGGAGACTGTGCCCCCAACCACCCAATGAATGTAAGGCCCTGGCATCCCGGACTCGGACTCGTAGAATCAGCTTGCGGAGCGCTGGGACCCTGCGGCCACGAGGCTACTTGTCCTGTGCAGCGCACAGCCCTCAGGTGTTGTGAACCACTGGACTGGGAGTCAAGTGCACAGAGAGACCCGGTCGAGCCCCGGCCTGCTGGCTCCACTGAGTTCTCGTCACCCAGACGTCGCCCTCTCCCCCACTGCTCCCACGCGCGGACTCCTAATTGGGCGCGCCCTGCCCGCGGGGCCCACGCGGCAGGCGGGGCGAGCCGGGGCCTTTGTGTTCAAACCGCCCAATGGGCGGCGGCGATGGAGGTAAAGAGGGCGGGGCGTGGCCAATGGGCTGCGTCCTGTCAGGGTTGATTGACAGGCGCACACATACACACTCGGCCACGCGCGCGCTGCCCGGCCCCACTCGCGCAGCGCGGTTCTGCCCGGGCCGCATTGTCCACCGCTCGCAGCTGCTGCCCAACGGCCTGGTCCCGGGCCGTGTCTTCCCGGGCGCCCCGGGCCCCCGCGCCGAGCGCCGTTCGCGGGATTCGGACCGGAGAAGGGGGCCCGTCTGGGTGGCGCGACGGGCCTCGGACGCCCCAGACGCGCACGAAGAAGCAGCGACAGCAGGTAGTAGCTGGCCACGGGCCTCTGGGGGGCGGACGCGAGTGGCAAAGGTGGTGGGCCGGCCTCGCCCGCCTCCCCTCCAGCGCTGGGCCCGGCCTGACCCCGGAGTCATCACCGGGCCGCTCCGGCCAGGGCCCAGCTGCCCAGGCCTGGTTCTTCTCGGGGCCAAGCTGGGCCAGGCTCCAGCCCCGCCCGGCGCACACCCCTGAGCCGGTCAGCAAGAGCCAGCGCCTTGCCAAGGCCATCCGCCCTGACTCATCTCTGCCCGGTCCCCGCCCCCAGGGCTGGCCGCCCTACTGGACCCCTCGGAGGGCGGATGTCTCCAGGCGGGACTTCCCTGGGCAGAACCTCCCCTTGGAGGGGGAAAGTGAAGACAGGGCTGCCCCAAACCAGCCCAGGGCAGTGCCGGTGTTTTCGTGCAAGTCAGGCAGTTTCCAGGCTGTTTTCTGCCTCAGCCTGTCAGAACTCTGGGAATAGGAAGGAGGCCCCTCTTGTTCAGTTCTAAAAAGAAACCAAACAAATAGGGGGCGGGAGTGTGACTTGGAGCGGAGAAGCAGGGAAGGCTTCGGCTGGCGGCTGATAAAAATCTCTGCAGATTCGGCGGGTAGGGAATGAAGGGAGTTACAGCACCTGGAGCCCTTTACAGGCCCCGGGAGGACATGCGGTGTGAAAACGGCCCGTGGAAGGTGCCCAAGACCAGTGCGGAGTCTGAGCACTGGACAGGCGCTGTCAGACGAGTTTGTGAGGGGTGGAGGAAGGTGAAGATGTGAAAAGGATGTGGTTCAGCCCAGAGGGGCCAGGGGTGTTCTAGTTTGAGGGTTTCTCAGCTGATCCTGTGTGTTGGAAGGGTGGTGTCTGTTCTCATATGCAAACTATTTGAGCATCTAGTCTAGAGGCTCATCTTCTGTTTGTTTTGGAGAATGAAGCCTTGACCTTTTTCAGCTTGTGAAACCCAAACTCAGTTGCAAACTGTTTTTGTGATACCGGCGCGCCCCAGAAAAGACTAAGAGCACCCCTAGGAGGGTGGAGGCGCTGACAGTTTTCAGCACCCCCCTGCCGTATGAGTATTTATATTCTTGCCAGCCCCAGCCTTCGGCATGGTGTAAACACCCTGCATAGTTTCTCCCCAGAGGGAAGGCCTGCACTTCTGCAGGGCAGGGGTTAAGAGGAGGAGCCAGCTTTCAGGTGGGGAGGGCCTGAGTGGGGGTGGAATGGCCTTATAAGGAGTGGAATAGAGAAAAGAACCCAAGCCAGCTTCCTGCTTTGGCTACTACCAGTCAGCCCTCTACCAGCACCGGCTAGAACCCGGAGGGGTGTCAGGTAAACATCCCACCTGAGAAGATGCCAATGAGACCAAGACATGAGGCTGCTTGTTTCTAGAATCCTCCAGCTGGACTAACCGGACCTTCCGGTTTCTGTCGTCTGAGTTGGGGAGTGTTAGAGTCTATGTCCACCACGCAACCCAGAAAGCTAGTAATTTAAGCATCAACCGGGAATATTAGAAGTGAGAGCAAGTCATAAGTAGGAGGACCTCTAGAGTGGGCCTAAGTAACAATGACTTTGGAACACGGGCTGGCAGAGGTGGCACGTTGGTGCTCCTTGCATTGATAATCGGAGATTGTGAATTTGGGTTTCTGGAGCAAAGTAATCTTTCGCAGGTGGTAGAATGGCTCCTTCCACCAGGTCATTCACCCGGGCCTCCTTCCAGTCCTAGTTATCAATTCCAGAGCCTTGATTTCCTCCCCCGTAACCCCACACTGCCCTGCTCTGTTAGTTTGTTAACGAATATTTGTTGTGTAACAGTTCTGTCTACAGCCTGTTCTGAACACATTCGAGGCAATCAGGGACTCCAGTGGGGCCACGGTGCACTCCTGAAACAGCTTGAAAACTTTATGGCGGGGCGGACAGGCCCGAGCCCACCACATGTCAGATGTCATGTCCACCCCTGGCTCTGCTGCTCACAGGCTGGGGACTGGAATGCCTCTCATCTCGGTGTCCCAGGCTCTTCCCTTGTGCAATGGGACTAATGACGTCTCCCTGGCTTATAGGGTCAGAAGTGGCTATGTAGGGAGCCAGGTACCCAGGGTGCATTTACAGAGGGTTTTATCACCACCGTCACATCTGTCCTGACGCTGCTGCGCAGTCACCAGCCCAGGGGATCCGGCACACGACCACTGTTAGAGTGCGGGGCCCTGTGCCAGGGACAGGTGTTCCAGTGTCACAGTTTGAATTCTGGTGTCTCAGTTTGATGGGGACCCTGGTCCACAGGCAGATGAGCTACAAGGAAAGGAAAGTGTGTCCCACCAGGGAAACGACTGAGATTCGTTTAGCCTTACTCGTGTGCCTGGTGTGTGCCACATGCCAAAGGTTGTGGAAGGGACAGTTCTGGCTCTCACAGAGCTCAGCGTCAGATAAACTGAAAACCGGAGAACCTTGTGGGAAGAGGCTACCTGGCCACCGCGTGAGCCCAGGACATGGTGGCCTGTAGCAGGGTGGGTGGTGGTGGGTGGTGCTGGCACCCACATCTCAGGTTGTTTTTTATATAAGAGTTTATTTATTTATGTTTAGAGAGAGGGGAAGGAAGGGAGAGAGAGAGAGAAACATTGATGTGTGAGAGATACATCCATCAGTTGCCTCTTGCACATCCCCAAATGGGGACCCGGTCCCACAACCCAGGCTTGTGCCCTGGCTGGGAGTCAGACCAATGACCTTTTGGTTCAAAGGCCTGGCACTCCATCCACTGAGCCAGGGCTGGGGCTGCTTTGACTGCATGCATAGAGGGGGGTCTGTTCATTGGCAGAAAGTGCCTCTTATCTCTCCGCCCCCAAGGAGGAGCGACCAGCAGCCCCAAGCCTCACCTATCCTCCTTTTTCTCCCAACTCTTCAGGGAAGGATCTCCATCCCGCCTCATCATGTCCCGTCGAAGCCAGCGCCTCACGCACTGCTCCCAGGGTGACGATGACGGTGGCAGCAGCAGTGGCGGGAGCTCCGTGGCAGGGAGCCAAAGCACCCTGTTTAAAGACAGTCCTTTCAGGTAAGGAGCCGCCACCCGCCCCTGGGGATAGCGCTGAGGCTCACTGCAGAGGGCTTGCACGGCCTCTTTCTCTTGTGAGCTTTATGGGCAGAGATAAGCTGCCCGTGTGCAGCCAAGGGGACAGCCATTCCTCCAGGGAGGCCAGGACCAGCGCCACTTCTTCCCTGCTGTTAGCCAGGCCGCTGCCCTTGTGTTCGGAGAACAGGAAGTGGGGAGAGGCAGCCTCAAAAATCAGCGAGGCCGGAAACCCTGACACTGCAAACCAGGTTCAGGAGAACCCCCTCTGCCCGGCTGGTCATCACCCCGGACCCACACTCGTGTGCCTCACCACGACGTGTAGGCCCCGGCAGGGCCAGCCAAACAGCCGAGGAGAGGAGAGGGTCCCAGGGGCACCAGCCAGTGAGTAAGATGGGCACCCACCTCACTCTGTGCCCTTGCAGACGAGGGCCCCCATGGCAGCCCCTGAGGTTCCTGGAGGCCAGACCGTGTTCGTGTGAGTTTTCCGTGGGTTGTAGGAATTACCAATCCATTAAGAAGCACGAGGGAAAAAAACTTGGCTTTGCAGTTAGAGACCCGGATTTGAATCTTGACTCTATCACCTTGAAGATCTCCCCTAACTGCTGGTGAGATTTGGAGATAACGGGAGTGGAGGAGCTACCTGTGCTGTGCAGACAGCCAGCCAGTAGTTGGGAGCTGTTAGTTGCCTAGCAACAAGGCCAACCCACTCACTGCAGCAAGGCACTACCGCTGGCTTCCTACTCCTGTCTGGGCTTACCTGCCTGTTCCCCCTCTCCCTCCCTGCTGACACCCGCAGGACTCTGAAGAGGAAGTCCAGCAACACCAAGCGCCTGTCCCCAGCTCCACAGCTGGGCCCCTCCTCCGACGCCCATACCTCCTACTACAGCGAGTCCGTGGTCCGGGAGTCCTACTTTGGCAGCCCCCGGGCTGCTTCCCTGGCCAGGAGTTCCGTCCTGGATGACCAGCTGCTTCGAGACCCCTATTGGAGTAAGTGTCTGCAGCCTTTCTCCTGGGGACTCTGCTTCCTCTGGAAATGTAAAGGCCCAAATGCCGGGGGTCTCCCCGCCAGGTCCCTAACCCTGCTGGGCCAGAGGAGGGGCTCCCCGTGTTCAGAAACTCGTGGAAGAGCAGCCAGAGGTCTGAAGAGCTGGAGGCCTGAACCTCCAGCCGCCTTTGGAGGATGAAGTACCATGTAGCCGCTCCAAGTCCTGTAGATAGAGGGGCGGGGCCCAGAGAGCCGGGGTGAGACCAAGGGCAGACTCCATCTGTCCATAAGGGTGACCCCACAAGGCCCCCAGGAACATCCTCCCCAGCATCTCTGCCCCAGGAGACACCATGTTCTTCCCTCTCAGGCGAGGACCTGAGGGTGAGGAGGAGGAGAGGCACCGGGGGCACTGAGAGCAGCAAGATCAACGGGCTGGCGGAGACCAGGCTGTCAGAGGACTTCCTCGGGTCCTCCTCAGGCTACTCCTCTGAGGATGACTACGCAGGTAGGCAATGCCCCAGCAGGTTGCAGGACTGCTGGGGGAGGGGGGAGAGGACGGCTGGGGGAGGCGTCCCTGACAGCTTGAGATGGCATGGGGTCTGGCAGGCGCCTCCGTAGATGGTCCAGGCGTCCCTGCTGTGCCACCGTAGCGCCCTGGCCCCCAGCCTGGGGCATCTCTCAACACGATGACCATCCTGCTTCACAAGGCCTACGGTCAGCTCCGCTGTCTGGTTCACTTTCAGCAGGCATTCGAACATGGGCCTCACACGACAGAGGCGCCACCTCCCTGGGTGGGGCTCTGCACTGTGGTTGAGGGAGTGCCCACGAGGCAGGCGGGGAGCTCGGGAGAGACACAATGTCAGGAACCGCTGGAAAGTTCCTTCGGCGGACAGTTACTGACCTGCTGGGTGCCAGGCCCGGTGACTCTCTGGGAATGTGCAGGAGAGTGCTACGTGGTCTCAGCTCACAATCTAAGGGAGAAGACAAGTGACAGGCGGTCTCCACGTCCCAGAGCTCTTCCAGGTGAGGACACGCTGAGCTGGTGTCCACCCTGTCCCTGCAGGATACTTGGAGACGGACCAGCAGAGCTCGGGCTCACGGCTGAGGAGCACTGTCTCCCGGGCAGGCTCATTTCTCTGGACGGTGGTCACTCTCCCAGGTGGGTGCCCGCCGTTCCGTGCACGACCGTCTTCTCGCTACTGCAGCCCCTCCTCACCCATCTCTGCGGCTGGGCATCCAACGCCCGCAGAGAGACTGTGGGACCACCCGGGAAAGGCCATTCGAGAATAATCGCTGGGAGCCAGTTGGCTGAGCGGGTGGGTGGGCGTAGAGGACCTGGGCAGCCCTGTGACAGGACCGAGGTGCCCGCCCGGTCGGTGTTGGTAGGGACGGGGGGGGTCCCAGGTGGAGAGAAGGCGGTGCTCCGAGACCACCACCCGCAGGCCGCCACCGGCTCAGGGTGGCACTTGAACCCGACGCTCCCTCTCTCAGGCCGGCTCTTCAGACTCCTGTACTGGTGGGTCGGCACCTCCTGGTACCGCCTGACGACCGCTGCCTCCCTGCTCGACGTCTTTGTTTTAACCAGGTGAGCGAGGCTCCTGCCAGGACAGCGAATCAGAAAGTTCCAGGTGGAAGACCCAGACAAGGTGGCCTCCACCCACCGGTCAGGCCTTAGGCTCTAGCCCAGCACTGGTGGTCCCCAGAACTTTCCGCTCCCCTCTTGGCCCTGTGTTCAGGAGCTGCCCGAGGCTGCTGTGGGTCTGTGCCCCGAGTCCCCGGCCCAGCAGAGACAGGCCCCTCGGCAGCAGGAAGGAGACCGAGCCAGGAAGTCGGGGCCCCACGGGCTGCAGCCCTGGTTGGAGCAGGCGACGGGCTGGGCTGAGAAGAGGGGCAAGGATGGATTTGCACCCCCCACAACAAAAAGTTTCCTCGTTTTTCTAAAAGAAAATGTGGTTTAGGGAATTCCATTTTTTTTTTGTATTTGCTGGTTTGGAAGACCTCTATATATGAAAATTTTAGTTTCTTTGAAGATTCCATTACTTATTTTTTAAACAATTTTATTTATTTATTTTTAGAGAGAGGGGAAGGGAGGGAGAAAGAGGGAAAGAAACATCAGGGTGTGGTTGTCTCTCGCACGCCCCCTACTGGGGACCTGGCCTACAACCCAGGCATGTGCCCTGACTAGGAATCAAACCAGCGACCCTTTGGTTTGCAGGCTGGTGCTCAATCTACTGAGCCACACCAGTCAGGGCTCCAGTACTTACTTTTAGTGGCATCAGTTAAATTCACAGGGTCACAATTGTTCTTATTACTCAAGACCTCTCAAGAGTCTAGTCTGGCCCTGGCAAGATGAGACACGCAAGGGTTTCCCCTTCAGCCCTACTTTGTCACTCAGGGAAAAAATTTCAGGGGACTCCCCAGGGCAGGGAGCCGAGAGGCCCTGGAGCCCCCCCGGCACTTCGACCACCCTGCTCACCCCTCCCTCCCACGACCCAGGCGCCTCTCGTCCTTGAAGACATTCCTGTGGTTCCTCTTGCTGCTGCTGCTCCTGACCGGCCTGACTTACGGTGAGCGGACCCGCTGTCCCAGGAGACTGGTAGGACCAGGGCGACTGAGATGGGCCTGGTGAGCCGGCGGGGAAGGGCAGAGTGTGGGCAGAGGCGGTGCTGAGCAGAACCGAAAACTAGAGGGATGGTAATCACCTAGCAGAACAGAAAAGAGGCAGGACGAGGCGGGTCCGACCGAGCCTGGGCACCTCCGGAGGCCCGAGCCCTAGGCCCCTCCTGTCTGGCTCTCCCAGGTCCTCTGCTGACTGCTGCTGCTGTGTTCGCAGGGTGTCCAGTGGGTGAAAGGGGAGATGCTCCTACCCCTTCTTCGTGTCCTCAGTTTGGGTGGCTGCACTGGGTTGCCCAGCACATGTGAAGGAGCCTTAGAGCCACCCAGGCCAGAAACCGCCCTGGTACAGGAGTACTGGGGGTGGAATCAGGGCCTCTGACGCCATTATGATCAGCAGTCATTTTCCCTCCATTCCAAATCAGAGCATAGTCTGGGCGAGTGAATTATTGTTACAAGGTCAGGCTCCACCTTTAGCTAACTTTAAGATCCAAGCAATGAAGTAATAAAGAGAAGTGAGGACGCCTTTTACAGTAAGACACCTGTCACCATGAAATGCCCTACCTTGTCCCATTCTCTGCTGTGGGGCTTCCGCATTTGCCACATAGGTGAAATCATTGTGTGTGTGTGTGTGTGCGCGCGCACGCGCTCACTCACACATTCCTGTCCGTTTCTCATTTGACAGTTTCACGTGAGTTTCCTCCATGACCCCCAGCTCAATTTTATCAATCCTACCAATCTATAATTTAAGATCATGCTTTATTATTTATTAGTGTTGCTTATGTAGGTTTAGTATCTATTCAACTGGTATTATTATTATTTTATTTTTACTGATACCAAGGTAGGACATTTTGCCAAGTGTTGGTTTCCTCTTTGTTTCCTGTTACTAGAACAGCTTGTTCACATCCACTGGGAACTGGGCATCACTCTTAAAATGGTGATGCCCTTTACAATCACACAGCGTGTTGGTCAGGAAGCACTTTCCCAAGTTAACGCAGTCGGAGGTGGGCTTCACCTTCCCCCGGGGAGCTGGCGATGCCCTCCTGCCAGCCTCACGAGCAGGTGCCTATGGAGAGTCTCAAAGGCAAGAGGCGGGCAGAGGGCCTGCCCCGAGGTGCGGTCAGTGAGGTTGTGTCCAGAGGGTCCGACTCAAAGCCTGGTGGTCACGTGCTTCCTGTCGTGCCTGCACCCGGCCTCCTGGCTGATGAGCGGCAGGTGTGGAGACTGCCACTGTCTCCTCTCTGGCTGGAGACTCCTCAGCCAACGTGGCCTTTTCCGGTGCCCTCACCCCCGCACACACGCACACACGCACGTGCACAGCGCAGCAGTAGACACACCACGGACAGACGGCCCCTAGAGCGGTATACGAGCACATCTGTGTGGCTGTGTCCCTGTGCCCTGTCCTGGAGCCACAAGCTGCCTCTCCAGCAGGTGTGTTCGGCATCAGTGATGCTCAGTCTCACCTGCCATTAGAGTCAGTCACCTGGGGGGCTTTCACATCCCACCTACGCGGTCCCTTCGGCCAATGAACTCACTCTGTGGAGGGTGGGCGGGCACTGGGGGAGCCGGTTTCCACCTCTCCCCCCACCTCCCAGCATTTATTACGCGATTTTGACAACTTCGTTCTCGTCGCCTCACATCTTCCTTCACCGGCTTCCCTTTTCTCACGTTCGGACAGCTCTTTGGGGCGTCACTCGTGCAGTTCCTTTCGCTGGGGCCCCCATTGTCTTTGCTCCCACCGTCTGCTCATTCACAGCCCTCTGAGCTCTCACTAGGCGGCTCAGCAAGTCTCCCTGCTGGGCAGTTAGGACCTTCCCTCCCCTTCTCCAGTGTCCTTGAAGGTTCGCAAAAGCTAATGAAAAAAAACCTTGTACCTTCTCTGCAAACATTAGCAATTCGGATTATGTATATGGTCTTTTTGTGATATATGTTCATCTGTGTATCATTTACGGTGAGTTTTCTAACACCAGGTGTTTTAAAAGCTCCCTGGGTGATTCTGATGTCAAGTCTGGGCTGAGAACCACCAGCGGGGCCTCGGGGCTCCTGTCCCAGATGTCCCTGGCCTGTATAGCCGTCTTCTCTGGTTTGAGAGATGATGACCCCTGAGGGGATGTGAGAACGCATACACTCTGGGCTGGTGGGAGTTGCTGCCCCAGAGAACTGTGGGGAGCACCCACCCCCATGCCACCTGCAGGCAGAATCCCAGCTTAGCTTGTGTGAACAAACCAGTCAGGCCAATGCCCTCACTGTCTGCACCTTGCGTACAGCCCCTGGCCTGAGTAACCGCCCCCCTCTGTGCACAGGTGCTTGGTATTTCTACCCCTACGGGCTGCAGACACTCCACCCCGCTGTGGTCTCCTGGTGGGCAGCGAGGGGCGGCGGCCAGCAGCAAGAAGTGTGGGCATCCAGAGACTCATCCTTACATTCCCAGGTGAGCATCTTAGTTTTCAGGCTCCTCCCTCAGCCCGTTCACAACTGGTTTTCCTGCACTTACAGCTGACACGCAAAGCTGACAGAGGGGCCACCCTAGCTGGGGCCCTGCCTCCTGTCCCCGGCACCCTCTTCACCACTTGGGGTGTGCACATGGGGACACAGGCAGTTCGCACAGACAGGATTCAGACCTGTCCCGAGGTGAGTCGCCATTCTAAGCCCAGAAAACAGAAGGAAAAGGAATCACACAAGTCGTCTTATTTGCTTTGTTCCTTTCAATATAATTTTACAAATACAGGGTGGGGCAAAAGTAGGTTTACAATTGTTTGTATGGGAAATAATACAATTAATAAACAACAATACAAGGATAAACTGTGTTCGTGTACTCACAATTGTAAACCTCCTTTTGCCCTGCCTTGTATTTGCCGAGCACCTTCTATGAATAAGGTAATATCCCGGTCAGTTACCTATCAGCACAGGTAAACCACCCCTAAAATCGGTGCCTTAAAAGTACAAGCATTTGATTAGCTCATGAGTCTCTGGGTCCTCAGCCTGAGCAAGGCCAGGCGGGTCTTGGCTGGGCTCCCTGGTGTGTGGGCAGCCGGCTGGTGCATCAGCAGGGCAGGCTGCGCTCCACCCGCTAGCTCCTTGTCCAGCAGGCTAGCCTGGTCCTGTTCTCCCAGGAGCCGTGCAGGCTTCCAAGAGAGCAGATTCAGGCCAGGCCTTCCAAGGCCTCGATCTGAAACTAGCACCCTGTCACTTCCTCCGCATTCCGTTGGCTCAGCAAACCCCAGAGCCAGGCTGGACAGGAGCAGGGGAAGCACCTGCAAGGCCACACTGCACAGGGCGCAAGCGCAGGGTGGAGGGAAGGGCCACGGCCACTGCTGCAAACTGCCCGGGGCAGATGAAAGAGGCCCAGGCTGTGCTCACAGAGCCTGCAGTCCGGGGAGGGCGGGGCGGCGACCAGTGCGCAGAGCACCCGTCCTGAGGTCCACGGTGAAAACTTCGAACTGTTTATTGCAATTACTGGGCTTTGTTTGTATCTTGCTGAAGTTAATTTGGTGTCACAGTTTTCACCATTCATTTTGGTGGATGTTACTTTCCTGATCGTGATCTTATTATTTCATAAAATAATGGCATACACATTCTCCTTTTTCAATCATTAGTAAGGGTATTACATACAATTTAATTCTAGGGTCACCTTTTTGTGAAGAGAGAGAGGAGAGAGAGAAAGAAGGAAAGATTGCATTTACATAAAGACACTAATAAAAACGGTTGCCAGGTTCTGGTGGGGGAGGGTGGGGCCCTGGGCGGAGGCTGGCAGGGGTTAGGAGCTCGACATTTTACTGTTTGTTTGCTTTTTGAGTCACTGAAACAAATGGAATTTTAAAAATCAGAAGCCACCTCCGTAGCCAGTGTTCTTGCCCTTTGATACTTGACAGACTGACGCTTTCTCTTGGCAAAGATTTCTGTTTTGAAGCCAACAAGGTTCTCAGAATTCACGGCACACTACCAAATGCCACCCTCATGGCCAAGGGACTTGTCTTCCGTCTTCTCCGTGGGGCACAAGTTAAAGAGGAGAAAGTAAAAGCCTTTTCAAATGATTTGGCCATTTAGCTTTAGTTACTGATGGAAGGAGAGGAAGCTGTTTAAAGTCAGCAGCTGAAGCCCTCAGCCCCACACTCCCACACACATGCACCCCCAGAGTAGAGGGGGGATGGGTGCAGCCCACAGGACGCCTAGCCCCCTGGGGCTGTCCTGCAGTTTCTTCCTGTCTTCTTCTTGGACTGTCCCTCCACTGGGACCCTCTTCTGGGAGTGCACTGTGTCCTTTCTCCCCTGTCCCACACGCATCCCTTTTTGGGGATGAGACCCCCCCTTTTGGCCCGCTGAGTGTCCCAGTACCCTGGGTTCACTGTCACCTCATTTACCTGCTAAATGACTTGCCCATCTGCAGGGCAGAGAGATTGTCCTGAGAGCCCCAGACCCTCTTTTGTTTGCACTGGGGCATGTCTGGGATCCTCCCTGCCTTCTGTCCTTGAGCCCCTCACCTCTGCGGTTCCCCCCACCCCCTCCCGGCCAGGCTGAGCAGCGAATTCTGTCCCGAGTACACTCTCTGGAGCGGCGCCTGGAAGCTCTCGCTGCCGAGTTTTCCTCCAACTGGCAGAAGGAGGCCTTGCGCCTGGAACGCTTGGAGCTGCGGCAAGGGGCCACTGGCGAGGCAGGTGGCGGCGGCCTGAGCCACGAGGACACCCTGGCACTCCTGGAGGGGCTGGTGAGCCGCCGGGAGGCGGCCCTGAAGGAGGACTTCCGCAGGGACACGGCTGCCTGGATCCAGGTGGGGGAGAGGAGCTGCGGCCTGTGGGCTAGAGCTGGGGGTTGCGTGCAGGGGACATTGGGAGCATGTGGGTAGAGGGGGCGAGACCCTGCACACCCTGCTGTGACAGACACGGCTCTGCCACTTGGCACTGACCTTTGCTAAGTCTCGGTTTCCTCCTCGTTGAACCAGACACTCTGCTGCCTGCCCCCACTTCCTGCTTGCGAGCACGAGAGTGCGGGGTGCCTGGTGCAGTGCCTGGCACCAGGTAGGTCTCGGGCAGGCTGTCTCGTTTCCACAAAGCACCGCAGCAGAAGGGCCGGGTGCCAAAGGCGGCCCCCAGAGAGGCCTGGTTTGCGTTCCAGCCACCCCGCCTGTGCTAGCGAGTGGCCACCCGGGCATAGCTTGGTGAAACCCTCCGCCTCTCTCACTGCCCGACAGGAAGAAGTAGCCACCCTGAGAACAGAACACCAACAGGACGCAGAAGACCTCTTCAAGAAGATCGTCCAGACCTCCCAGGTTGGTGGGTTTGGGGCACCTGCGGCCTGCAGTGGCCTCCAATTCAACATCTGTTCCTGGGCCGAGAGAGACACATCGGCCCCCTGAAGAAGGCTGCTTAGACATAGAGGGGGCGGGGGTGTTGTCTCCAGACTTGCTTGACCTGAGCCCCCTGGGCCGGAACGCTCCTAGGGATGCCCTGGGCGCAGGCTAGGGGGCGGGGAGGGTCACTTTCAAGCAGCCCATGGTGTTGGGCCTGACATGCTGGATGAATGAGTGAACATACGGAGGCCTCAGTGTGCCAGGCGCTGGGTGAGGCTCTCCCGAGGACTTTGGGGGGAGGCCAGTTTGGCATTCCCTGGAGTGGTTGGGAGACCCTGGGGCAGGGGTGTGGTCAGGCAAAGACCCCAAAGGGAGCAGATGCTGCTCTGGGAGGCCGACTTCGCTGGGCCTGACCTCACCTGCGTTTCTCCCTTGTTCCTGCTAACAGGAGTCTGAGACTCGGCTCCAGCAGCTGAAGTCCGAGTGGCACAGGTAAGGGGGACCCTACATTCCGGCTGGGGCCTGCCCCTCCCCGGCCAGCCCCGCCCCTGACAGAAAGGCAGTGGAGCCCCCAAAGCAGAGTTCTGGCTGTGTTCTGAGCAGAGAGCAGGGTGGCTGAAGCCCAGCTCGGGACCCCAGGCGTAGATCCTGTCCCTGAGGGGCGTGGAGGCTGGTGGTGGCTACTGGAGAAGAACCTAGCCTCCCATACGGCCTGAAGCCACCGCCTTCCCTTGCCCCAGACGTCACACTGCTGGCGTGCAGGTGTGAGCAGCTGAGGCCGAGTGGGTGATGGATCTGAGCTTAGAGAAGGATCAGGATAAGAATCGACTCCCTGATGACCACCTGGTATGGCTCAGCGGATTCAGCGCCAGCCTAGGTTACCAGTTCGATTCCCTGTCAGGGCACAGGCCTGGGTTTCGGGTCAGGTCCCCAGTGGGGGGCATGCGAGAGGCAAACAGATCCATGTTTCTCTCCCTCTTTTTCTCCCTCCCTTCCCCTCTGAAAGTGAGTAAATAAATAAAAATCCGCTTCCTGGGACAGGCAAGCCCGCCCCGGAGCAGTGTTCACAGCCAGGATCTAAGAGCAGGCCTCGAGTTCACCTGCGTGTGGTGGGCCCTCCTTACATCAGGAGCCAACTGGAGGACCTCCCCAGAGACCCAAGGCTCACTCTTCTCTCTTTGGGAGCAGGATGACCCAGGAGTCCTTCCGCGAGCACTCCATGAAGGAGCTGGGGCAGCTGGAGGGACAGCTGGCAGGCCTGCGGCAGGAGCTGGCGGCCGTGACCCTGAAGCAGGACTCGGTGGCGGACCAAGTGGGCCTGCTGCCGCAGCAGCTCCAGGCCGTGCGAGACGATGTGCGTGGGAACTGTGCAAACCCCCTGCCGAACACCCGCCCTCTGAGACCACTTCTCCTTGGAGAGCTTCCTGCCCCTGCAGCCCGTCTGGCTCACGAGCTCTGGCCCTAGACTTGACCTAGATGTTGGCTCCCTTTGATGGGAGTTCTTCCCGCTTTCATGTCTAGAACATAGTGGGTCGTAGCTCTTCCCTCCAAGCAGACCTGCGCCCCTTCTCCACCCCTCTGCCCAAGCTGCCAGCATCCCCGACTGAGACCTTTCTTCGGGCCCTAGGTGGAGTCTCAGTTCCCCGCCTGGATCAGCCAGTTCCTTCTCCGAGGCGGGGGAAGCCGCACTGGGCTCCTTCAGCGAGAGGAGATGCAGGCACAGCTACAGGAGCTGGAGAACAAGGTCCTTGCCCACGTGGCCGAGATGCAGGGCAAGTCTGCGAGGGAGGCTGTGGCCAGCCTGGGGCTGCGGCTGCAGAAGGAAGGCGCAATCGGGGTGACAGAGGAGGTGAGGGCCCCCGGACCCCACTCACGCACACACTGCCTTCCTCCCTGGGAGCCCTAGACCCACACCACCAGCTCCCTGGTGCGTTTTGGGCCCCAGATGACATGCACGAGGCTCCGGTGCTTGCTTTGGGGCTGTTGGGTGGGGGGCGGAGGCACACCCATGTGGAGCAAGCACAGAAGGGAATCAGTCTGTGGGCCCCAGCCCCGGCAGGGGAGGTACGAGGGTGGGTGGGTCCGGCCCCTGTCACAGTGGCTCTGGCTGCCTGTTTTAGGAGGTGCACCGCATCGTAAACCAGGCCCTGAAGCGTTACAGTGAGGACCGCATCGGGATGGTGGACTACGCGCTGGAATCAGGAGGTGTGCATTCCGCTCTTTTTTTGGCGCCACGCCCTGGTGGCTGCACCCGCATCTGGCCTCTGCTGGAGCAGCTGCGGTGCTAGCCAAGCTGGGCTTATCGGAAGTCGCGCCACCTGGAACTCCTAACAGGCGAACGACAGCTCCAAGGTGTCAGGACGTGCTGAGCACTGTCCTTGGCTGGGACGAGGCTGTTTACAGCTGCCTGAGGTCTGGGTTAGGTGTACAGACTGGACCCGGGGCGCCTGCACTCTGTCCCCAGAGAGGACTGGGCAGTAGTGGTCCCTCCTTGGGCTGCCTCAGCCCTTTAAGCCTGGGGACCTCTGCGCTGCCAGGCAGAGCCGGTTGTCTGGTCCCCCTGCCCAGTGACCGTGTCCAGGCCCCAGGCCCCAGCATTTCCTTTCTTTCCTGTGTCAGGGGCCAGTGTGATCAGCACCCGCTGTTCTGAGACCTACGAGACCAAGACGGCCCTCCTCAGCCTCTTTGGCGTCCCCCTGTGGTACCACTCCCAGTCGCCCCGCGTTATCCTCCAGGTAGGCACCCAGCGAGGGCCACAGCAGGGCCCCCGAGCAGAGTCACCTGTGTGGGTGGGCGACTGTCCCAGGTCAGCCAGGGCTGCACTCCGGCGGGCTCGGTCACCAGCCTTGCACTGACCCGACATCCTTCCCTTCTAGCCAGACGTGCACCCGGGCAACTGCTGGGCCTTCCAAGGGCCCCAGGGCTTTGCCGTGGTTCGCCTTTCGGCCCGCATCCACCCGACTGCCGTCACCTTAGAGCACGTGCCCAAGTCCCTGTCGCCCAACAGCACCATCTCCAGTGCCCCCAAGGACTTTGCCGTCCTTGTGAGTAATGTTGGGGTCACTCTTCGGCCGGGGAGGGAAGCAGATTTGGAAGAGATGGTGCCAGGGTGGGAAATGGTACTCCAATTCCAGTTGTCTCAGGCTGCAGAGGAAGAAGCAGAGACCCAAGGAGCTAAGTGACTTGTCTGCTGCGGACACCCTAGCAGCCCTGAGTCCAGAGCTCAGGTCCCCTGCAGGCCACCAGGGCGAGAGGGGACTGGGGACCGGTGTGGGAACAGGGAGGGCGGGCTTTCCGCCCCTGCTGGCCAGGGCACGTGCCTGAGGGCAGCATCTTCGTCCTTCCAGGGATTCGACGAAGACCTGCAGCAGCAGGGGACACTTCTGGGCCAGTTCACCTACGACCAGGACGGGGAGCCCATCCAGACATTTTATTTTCAGGTACGGGAACCCTGCTGCGCCAGCGGAGGCGGCAGGCCCGCTTTCCCACCCCTTCAGCAGACTCTGAGCAGTCACCCGTGCCAGGCGGTGGGGGTTCAGAGCGGGAACCCGCAGCCCCCGAGCTCCCGCAGCTCGAGGGATGGAACGGGCAGCTGTCCGGGCGTTGGGAGCGTGCACGTGGCCCAGCCGGGCCTCACGCAGTGCAGTGTGGCCACGCACCCCGAGTGGGCCTGTCCTGCAGGCCCTTCTTAGAAATGCAGGGTCCCAGGAGGTGGGGTCCTTGGGGCCACTGGCACCCGGGAACCTGCATTCTAACAACGAGCCCAGATGAATCTGATGCAGGCTGCGTGCACCCTCCCCAAAGGGTGGGGACTTGGAATACACTAGCGAGAAGCTCGGGGGTGAGGTGAAGGACAGCAGCAGGAAAGGGGCCTGCAGGGGCCAGTCAGAGACCAGGCCAGAGAATTCCAGCCCTTGGGGCTTGGCTTGGGGACAGGGTGGGCACTGCCGTGCTTTAGGTGGAGAAGTGACAATGTGATGAGCGCTACGGTAAGGTCCTTGTGACTTTGAGCGAATGGTGGGTCTAAGGGGGAAACCAGCCCGGAGACGGCGGTGGGTCGGGAAGCAGTTGCTGGGGAGCAAACCAGAATTGACAAGGGGGGGTTCAGAAGACGGAGAGGTGGTGGGACACCACTGGGAGGGCCCGAACAGGGGCAGGGGAGTGGAGGGTGGAGGTGAGGGCAGCAGAGAGGCTGATGCAGAGACCGGCAGGTTTGGCCCCCCACCTGAGGCCCCCGTGGGACAGTCCAGTGGAGCAGACGTGGGGCCTGGACACACGGACTGAGCCACGAGCTCCCAGGTGGTAGCGGAGCCGGGGGAGTAGCTGGGGTTTCTCAGCGATGAGTGTGCCGTGCCTGCAGTAGTGGGGGCGGGGAACAGGAGGGGGGCCGGAGAGCTGCACGGGCGCATCAGGGGAGGCGAGGCTGGCTCCGAGGACTGGCTTTTTGAGGACGAGGCCTGATCTCTTCTTTAAAAAGAAGTTCTGCTTAATTCAAAGTTAAGGGACTCTTTTCCAACGTCAACGTGGAGCAGCAAATTCCGTGGAGGTCACTCTGCCGGGCGACCTGGACGGTCCAGCGCGCCTGTGAGCTGCCTGGGGTGACCAGCGCTGATGCCCAGCTACGAGGCCGTTGGAACATGGCCCTGGGTGGGCGGCCCCTAGAGGACCTCTGAAGCCACTGGGGCCCCTGGGCCACCGGCTGGAGAGTCTCCTGCAGGGTCTGGAGACGGGAGCTTTGAAGGCGGTGTCTCTGCCCGCTGTCAGGTCCGAGGCCTCTGTGACACGAGCCCCTTCCTCCTCTGCCAGGACCCTAAAATGGCCGCATACCAGGTGGTGGAGCTGCGGATCCTGACGAACTGGGGCCACCCCGAGTACACCTGCATCTACCGCTTCAGGGTGCACGGGGAGCCCGCCCACTAGGCCTTCCCCAGGTGCTGCCAGCCAGCGGGGAGGCCAGCCGTGCCCCCCACCCCGGGAGCGGGACAGCAGCACCCCTGCCACGCCCCCACGTGCTTGACAAGAACCGCTGGCTCCGTGGAGACGAGAAAGAATGCACAGGGCTTTCCTGGCAGCCGGGCAGCTTGAGGGGTGCAGCTGGCTTCAGCGTCTTTTCATCCTTCGTTCTCCTTCTGCCAGGCGTCTATCTCCCCTCCTGGGAGGGTGTACATATGTAGCATATCACAGGGGACTGAGAGGCAGGAGAGGTGATGAGGGAACACGTCCCAGCAGCCGAGGGTAAGCACTGGCTGCCCCTGGACGCCCCTGGACGCCCCTGGACGCCCCCGCCCAGCCCGTGGTGGAGAGTGGCCCCCTGGAGGCTCTGCTGGGAGGCTGGGGTGAGGCTCCTGCCAAAGCCTCAGGGGCAGGAGCGTGGGCCTTGGTCCCAGGGAGTGAGGCCTATGGGAGCAAGGTGCTCTCGGTGCAGGTGGGGACCAGGCGGCAGGCGGGAAGCTCCTGCCAGAGGGCTGCGGGGCCCTCCCATAGCCAGTGCCACGGCCCCGGGGAGCCCAGCCCTGCGAGCCTCTTAAGGGCTTCTGCACACACTTGCCCGGGGTTGGGGCGGTCTGGCTCCATTGAGCCTCCGAGGGCCCAGGGGCCCGCCCTGCAGGGTCCCCTCTGCAGGGGTTGGGTGGGGTGGGGTACTAGTCACTTGTTCTCTTCTGATACCGGGACTGGGGCCTGCCCGACCCCTGAGCGAGTCTGCCAAGTCCTCCAGCCGTGCAGGGAGCCTGGACCTGTCCTTTGAGGCCGTGAGCACCTGCGGTCAGCTATGAGGGTGGGAGCAGGGCACTTCCTGGGCTCTCCTGGTGGCCCGGGGATGCCCTGGTCGCAGTGATATTCAGGGTACCAGGTGGGAGGTTGGCCTGCCCTGCAGGCCCCGCCCCACCCCATGGCAGTCAGGCCCCTGGTGTAAGGGGCCCTCACCGTCAGCCACCCCCTTGGGGCTCTTTCAGCTCTTGCTCAATTGTTTCCTTTCTGGATTTTTTTTCTAGGGGGGGCTGGGGGCGGGGAGGGGGGCTGGGTAGGGCAGGGGCCTGAAGCAGGGGGTTTCTTACCCAGCAGGCCCTGCTGTAGTATGTAAATATTTTTCAAGGTCTGTTTTTTAACTGAAAAGCTAAGGGCTTGATCCTGGCCCCGTTCTGAGGGGCCCTGGGTGTGACCCTGCCGCCAAGAGGGGCTGCCGTGCACACAGGCCTCCTTAGGAGAGGCCAAGCTGACGGGGCGGTAGCACAAAGTTGGGGTGAGGCGCGGCCCCAGCCCCACCCTGAGTCCCCCCAGCACTGGCTCCCGCACAGCCGCTGCCCCCCAACAACCAAGTTTGGTTTTGTGCTCTTCTGTCACAAATGCTGCACTATTGGGTTCTTAGTTTTGTATCTCCAGATTCTAGTTTTTGGCTATGCAAAAAATAAATTATGCCCAGACTGATGGAGTGTGTGGTCTCCACCTGGCCAGTTGCACAGATCATCTGCTCTCGGGAAAACGAGAGTGAATTCTTGGCCAAAACAACACCTTTTCAAAGACTTAATTCCTGCTTTAGAAACCCAAACCCCTCAGCTAGAACCCAGCTTTGATGGGGGTGGGAATTGGAGATTTGTCCCTCGTATATGTGCTGGGGTGAGGCAAGGAGGGGGTCCCCCGAAGAGCCAGAGTCCGCCAGCTCGGGGGAGCAGGTCCTGGACCTTCCCTGTAAGTATGCCCCCAGATTCAACATCACTAATGAGTTGCTCGAAGGGCAGCGCCAGCCCCCAATTGGACTCTCAGACACATGCCTCCTGTCCCCACATGGTACCTGGCTCAGAGCCAGTCCCGAGCACAGCTGACAGGGAAGGGACAAGTCAGTGGCGGGGCTCTAGGGACGGGAGAGCAAATCCAGCCCCAAAGGCTTCGGGCCAGTTCCCGGGCGCCACAGCTCAGTGTCCCGGAAGGCAGCGAGTCCCACCCAGGGCTCGCCCCCACCAAGTGCTCGCCCCCACCAAGTGCTCACTGCTTTCCCCCTTCACGCCACCCCTGTCCTGCTCTGCCTCAGGCACCATATCTCACACAGGAGCCACCCCTGAGCGGCAGCAGTAAAGGAGTCCCTGGAACTCGTCCCACACGGTCGGCCTGGGGCCCCTGCTCTGCCCTCTGGGCACCCCGGCCTGTGGCCCTCACAGCACAGCTCACGCCATCTTCTCTGCTGGTGCCGCCCACAACCCCGATCCCACTTTCCTGTCCCCAGCCTTACACTGGGCCCGGGGGACCAGGGAGCCAGAGCAGTGGTGCCAACTGAGTCACAAAATGCCATTCAAGATCGTCAGATTAACAAGTTTATTCTTTTGTCAACTACAAAAGGGCTGGTGTTTTGTTCCAAATGGACAGCTGGTAGGGCTGAGACCCCCCAGGGAACTCCGCAGTCCCTACTGAGGGCAGTAAAGGGCTGCCATCAGCCAGCCCTGCTAGTCCACGTGGCCTGAGGACCACCAAGATCCAGACCAGCCTCCTGCATCTGAGGGGAGAGGCCGGGTGGAGGCTGCAGCTTCCAAACATACAGTGGTTATGCTCACAGGGGCCAAAGAGTTCACACAAAACGGGGTCCCACCTGTTCTGGGGCTCCACCATGGCCCCGCCCCCTGGAAACACGAATTCCACAGCACCCGCCGTGGGGACAGAGCAGGGGGAGCCTAACCCTGGAGCCCTGCAGTTGTGAAGGCGTCTGAGGGCAGCAGCCCCTGTAAGCAGAACCAGAGACAAAAGCAAGGGGGAAGCAGCCAGCAGACAAAGGAACAGGCAGAGGCCAGACACACTGCGGCCTGCAGGGATCCGCTGGGGGCGGGGGCGGAAGCCTCCCACTGGCTGGTAGCCCTGCTCCTCTGAGATTCAGTTTCCTTATCTAGAACAATGGACCAACCACCACTTCCCTCAAAGCCCATGGAGTCAGTGAGACACGTGGCCCAGCCCCAGCCACACCACAAGAGACATGTCATTGCCACACTTCTCCTTTCAAGTCTGTCCCCTGCCTGTGGCCTCTGCTGCAGACTTGGAAACCAGCATGAGTGGTGACCAGGGTGCTGACCACTCACCAGGTGCCTCCCCCATGCCGGACACACCAGGGCCTCACATCCATCCTCTTCCTGAGTCGTTATGACCCTCAAAAGCATTTACCTCTTAATGTGAAGGACGAAACTGAAGCTCAGAGAAGGTTGGCAAGGCGCCCCGGGTCACAGCTGGTGGGAGAGCCTGGGTGCTGAAGCCAAGCCTGCCTGCCCGGAGGAGCCTGGGGGCGCCTGCCAGAGACAGGGGCGCAGGGCAGGCAGAGCAACAGCGTTCCCAGTGGCAGCACTGCCACCTTGAGGGGCTGGATGGGGAGCAGACTATTTCCTGTGCTGGTCTGGTCCCTGCACGGACGACCCCAGGTCAGCAGTTAAGTAGAGCTGGGAGGAGGCAGGTGAAGGGACCAGCAGTCAGGGAGGGGAAGGGAAGGAGAAAGGCTGGGGACAGAAGGAAGGAGGGAGGTGAGGTTGAGGAAGGACCCAGCCTGCTGGGCGTCTGCCTCAGCCAGAGAAAGGGCACACATGCATTCATCAGCCCGCCCTAAACTGGGGGCTTCAGCCCCCAGCTCAGACCAGGCTGGCCCAGGGCCTGTGCTGCCATCTCTGGCTGGGCAGCCCCATCCCCACGCCAGGTGGCAACCCTTGCGGAACGCTTACTGCTCTGTGTTGGGCCTAGAGGAGTCGCATTCACGGCCCCCTACCTGCCTTCACTGCACCTCAGTCAGGCCTCCCAAACTTGGGGGCTGGGCCCTTCACTGCTGCGCTGGGGCCATGTGGCAGGGGTGTGGCAGGGGTGTGGCAGGGGCGTGGCAGGGGCGTGGCAGGAAGCAGGGGTTCCAGGCCCGGTCTGGCTCAGAGGAGCACCTGATGCCCAACAAAAGCAGCATGACCCCAAGCAGGTGACCTGAGAGCCAGTGAGACTGAGTCCCAGCAGGAGGCGGCTCCCGGCGGCTCCCGCTCAGCAGACAGACCGGCCGAGCAGGCAGGCGAACCCAGGCTCATGTCCAAGCGGAAGGAAAAGCCACCGGCTGTCTCTGGGTTAGTGGCAAGGGTCGGGGCTAGGGACAGGGAGGACACGCCCACAATCCAATCACCTCTCCCTCTGTACACCTACAGGTTACAGTTTCAGAGGTTTCAGCATTGTCTGCCTTAGGGTTTAAGGAAGAGCTGGGAGAAGAGGAAGCCAGCACCGCCCACCCTGCTGGGAGTCCGAATCCCGGAAGGAGGTTCTGGGAGGCCGCAGCGGCAGCACTTACACCTGCAACCCCAGCCCAGCGGTCAGCTCCACGGAGGCGCCCCTGGCACCCTTCGGCCCCTTCCAGCCCCTAACGGTTCTCACAGAGACACATGGACAGACAGATGAATGGACAGGCAGCCAGTGGTGCTGGAGAGGGGTAGGAAGAAGAAAGACTGCCAGGGTCTGAGCGCCCACTCCTGCACCACGCACACACGAGAGGAAATAAAAAGAATAAAAACTAAGGGCCCGGAGGTACAAAATCTGAGTGAGGAAGAAGGTGGGTGAGAGGGTAGGAGGTGGTCAGCACTGCAGAAGTCTGGCCGCCTTCCTCAGCTTATAAATTACAAAGCCCCCGGAAACCAGGGGGCGGGGAATGGTGAGCTCCCGGCTGTGGCCCGAGGGTGGGCATGGGGCTGCTTCGGCCCAGAGGCTGAGAACCCCTCGGGTGGGGAAGGGAGGCGGAGGAAATTCAGCAGCCACTGGCAGGAGTCGCACAGGCCCCCTGGTTCTTCACCTTGTGACGCTGGCCCCCTCGTCGCCGGCCCCCACTGCTGGGCTTGGACTGGAAGAGAAAGGAGGAGCGTAAGAAGCAGTGACCCACCGGAAGCAGCGGAGGGGACAGCGCAGGGGAGCAGAAGGGCGGGGGCAGCAGGAAGACGGGGCCTGAGACCAAGGGCAGGCAGTGCGGTGCCAGCCCCGCCGGAGCAGCCGTCACTGTGGTCCGAGGGAGCCAGGGCCGCTGCTCTGCCTACCTGCCAGAGGGAAAGCAGGTGTGGTGTGGCAAGGGTGTGCCAGGAACCGACACCTGCCACACAGGCGGAGAGAGAAGGGGAAGGCACGAGCCGGAGGAAAGCCCGATGCGGGGAGGCGGCAGGAAAGGTGGGCCCAGCGAAGGCTTCCTTCGCCACAGAGTAGGACAGGGAAAGAGACTCGGGAAGGGGCGAGGTGCTGGCAGGGGATGCTGAGTGACAGGTGCAGTGACACAGGGCTCAAGGCCTCCAACCCCTCAGGAGGTGTCATGTCAGGGAGAGGGCACAGGAGAGCCTATAGGGCAACAATTTTCCAACCTCACGGGCTGCGGCACGTGCAGACGCCACCCACACCTGTAAACCGCACTCACTGTTACTAGGAAGGAAAACTGACATGTGGAACCAAACACTAATCAGGACCAATTAAACTGATGTTACGTAGGCCACGCCTCAAAGTTTGAAAAACACCGCCTTCAGACAAAGTGCTCACACCCCGAAAGTGCCCGTGTGCCTGATTTGTGGGAAACACCCATCTACGTGCGGACGCAGCGGCAGCTCTCCTATTACACGTCACGTCACCGACACTGACAGGCATACCCGCCATCAGCCCGCCCGAGGTGGTCTGGAGCCCAGGACCGGCCTGGGAGGCATGCTCACCATTGGCTGGAGACTGCTGGACACAGCTGACTGCGACGCCCCTAGAGAGCAAGCTTCATCTCCAGGTTGGGGCACCCCTACCGCCAGCCCTCCAGACGGGCCCCCATCTTCTCGTTTGCTCAGGGGGCCTTTCTTCGTTGACTGCATTTTAATCTGCTGAGGCTTGGAGTTCATCGGGGAGTTGTTGGTGGTCTGGAGGAGCTGTAGTAGCCGAGGGGATTGGGGTGAGGCCGGGGGCCGCGGGCAGGGACATCGGCTCAGCTGCCTGCTCCCCCACCTCCTCTCTTGGGGACTTCTCACTCCCCAGCCTGGCTGCTCCTGGAGCAGGGCCCAGGATCCATGGCAGGAGGGCCGAAACAGGGGCAGAAGAATGGAGAGCTGTTCTCTCCCCACCCAGGGCCCCAGGCTGCCTCAGCCGAGCCTCGTAGGGCTCCACCCTATGCCCTGCTCCAGCTGCTCTTCATGCAAAGCATCAGGGCACCTTGGCCCCTCCTGCTCAGCACAGCCCCCAGGCTGCAGCCCAGCCTGCCAGAGCCCTGTGAGCTGAAATCGAGGTTCTCTCCCTACTGAGTGGACTGGGACTCCTCTCGGGACAGCAACCGCGTCTCCAGCCCTAGGACCTGCCGTCCCTGCAACAGGAGGCTGGGGTAAGTTTAACTTCGGGCCTTCCAGGAACCAACCAAGTATCTCAGCAGCTGGAAACATTCACAGGGTGGCTATTGGCATGGCTCCGTGGGTTAAGCCTTGTCCTACAAAGCAAGGGGTCGCCAGTTCGAGTCCTCCTCGGGCACATGCCTGAGTTACTGGCCTGGCCCCTCGTTGGGGCACACACATCGATGTTTCTCTCCTTCTCTTTCTCCCTCCCTTCTTCTCTCTCTAAAAATAAAATCTTCTTAAAAATTCTCAAGTATTGCCCCCCAGGAGGCGCACACTGCTCCAGCTCCCCTAGATGGGGACTGGCGCCTCTGCCCCTGGCCGCCCAGCAGATGCCCAGGGCTTCTCAAGAAGCCCCTGGTGTTGGAGGGAGGCAGGTGAGACCTGCCAGGCCATACCTTGGTGATGGTGCCCACAGCCTTGGTGCGGCCTTCCCGGAACACCAGCCGCTGGTCTATGTGTAGGTACTCAGGGGTCTTGATAAAGCGGAAGTGCACGGTGGCCTTGTCCCCAGTGCGCAGACAGTCCTTGTCCATGCTCAGGATGGTGGCCGTCTGCCTGATGCTCCCACAGTGCACTGCCAAGGGAGCCCGGTCAGGACAGGCTGGGGCCACCTGTCAGGCTCAGGGCAGGGGAAGCGACGAGTAAAAGCATGGGACGCGTTTGATCTGCAGCAGGCTGAGTACTTGGGGGGCTCAGGGAAGCCCAGGGAGCCGGGGTGCACAGGGATCTGACTGTGCCTCAAACTCTCCTGCCTCTTCCTCCAGTTAGGCCCCCCTGCGCCTGGACCCATGCTCCTTGTTCCTGACTACAGGGCGCTGTGTCTGCGTATGGTGCCTTCTCTACACTGTTAGCTTTTTCAGGGCAGGGCTCTTGGCTATCTGGTCTTTGTCCCCAGCACTTGGCAGCATCTAGCAACACCTGGCACACTACAGCATCCAGCAGGCTCAGAGGAGGCACAGCTAGCACTCGGTTTGTGTTTGCAGGACTAAATGCTGCAGCCCACAGGCAGAAAAGACAGCATCACTAAACAGGGAGGTGACCTGCCTCTGGAACGGAGGTGAAACTAGGGTTTCGGCTGCTGGAGCAATTAGTGAAGGGTTGCCTCCTGAGCTTGCAACCCCCCAGACACCTACCCATGGCCTGGTAGCGCGGGCTAATCGTGGTGGGGTGGTGGAGGACAAGGATCTCAGCCTCAAACTCCCAGGACGCTTGGGGATTCAAACGTGGGGAAACCATCACCATGCCCTTCCGGATGGACGAGCGCTTAATCTGAAAGAAAGAGGGGATCCCAGACCTCAGGGTCACTAAAGCCTTAGGGCTTCACCCCTGGCCCTGGAGGACTAGGAGTCCCTCTGGGGCTGAGGACCACCCCAACTTGGCCTTGCCCTCACTGCACCAGACCAGAGGCCTCCTGGGAAGGTTCTCGTGCCATGGGAAGCTTAAACACTGCTATTCAGGGTCAGGAAAGGATTCTTGCAGGAAGTGACATTTCAGCTGGGCCTTGAAGGACGGGTAAGAATCAAGTGGGTGACGAGGGCAAAGGCAGGTGAGTGCGGCCTGACTGCTGGAGGGAGTGAAGGCAGCCCCACTTTGCTGGTTAACCTGCTTGGCAGAGAGGAGGTGGTCCTAGAGGTAGCACTCGCCCCAACCCCTGGGTGACAGAAGGCTGAATGGGAAGAGGGCTTGGCATGGACCCCCAATGGCCCTATAGAAGGACCCTCAACACAGCAGGGAGATGCTTATGTGATCTCACCACTGAGCTTGGTGAGGTCACTACTCAGATATTAGAGGGAGGGACAAGCTTAGGAGGCAGGCAGGTCTGGGTTCAAGTCCTGGCTCTACCACTCCCTACCCGTGCCCTCCTGGGCATGTCACGCAGGCTCTCGGAGCCTTGGTGTCCTCACCTGTGAAAGTGAGGCCAGTGGCCAGCAGAGCAGCCTTGGGGACTGGCGGAGGCTCAGGGCCCCACCAGATGGGGACCCCAGGGGAGTTTTGGTGTTACTGACACTCACCTTCTTCAGCGCGAAGGAGGCCGTCTGGCCCCCCCGCACCTCTTTGACAGGCATGCGCTTGCGATGGATCGATTTGACAGCAATGGACAGGAAGTTTCCCAGAGGATCTGGGCCCAGTAGCAGCGTGTCATTCAGCTTGATCAGGCCCCTGAGTGTTGTCCCCGACACCACTGTCCCCACACCCTGCAGAGAAGACCCTGGCCCAGTAAGTCTATCCCCACCCAGCCGCTCTCCACCACAGACTGGATCCAACACACCTTGTAGGAAGTGCCCACCGAGCCTCCCACCCCACTCTGTCCAGCAGAAGCCACTCACCGGCACAGAGTAAGTGTCATCGATCTGAAACTCTGCAGGTTCTTCCTCCCGGTAGCTGGTGCGGGGGGAGAGGAGGTTCAGGAACATCTTCAGCAGATCCAGGTTCTCGCCTGTAACGTTGGAGATCTGGAATATGGGGCACATCCTCGTGGAGGGAGAAGAGAGAGGAAGGAGCTCAGGAGGCCGGCTCCTGCCTGACACAGGACGGGGGGCGGGTGGGGGGCACAGGAAGGCCCCTGAGGTGGCATCCTCCCAGAGCTCCACCCACTACCCCGACTCTAAGGCCTTTTCCTCTACTCAGTTTTGTCTCTGAAATCTGTCCCCTCCTCTCCGCCCTCCCCACTGCCCTGCTTCAGGTGCTCACAACTGCTGCTTCCTGGAGCACACGCACGCTTGCTTAAAGCCTTACCCCCTTCCCATTACAGAGAGAGCAGCCCCATCCCTCCCCATAACATTTCTGCAGGTTTATTTCTCTTAAAGTCCTTTATTCCAGCCAGACCAGAGAACTGTACTTTTTCCTAAAAGCTTGGCTCTTTTCCACCGCCATGTATTTATTTGGCCACTCCGATCTTCCTGCCTGAATTCCTCCCCTCTTCTCCAACCACCAAACCCTCTGGCCCTTCAGGGCACATCGCCCCCACTGCTGCTTCCAGGAACCCCTTCGCCGAGGGCACTCAACTCCTTCCAGCTCCTGAACGTTCTGTGTCTCAGCCACAGGTAACTATGTCTGATTTTCCATCAGTTGTATCTCAATGGCTTCCACACCTCCTACCCAGGGTTAATCAGCCTCCAAAAGATCAGGAATCATATATTCCCCACATCTGCTAGAATAGCGCTGCATAGAACAGCACAGGCAAAGGCAAAAATGGGGGCGGCCAAAATGCACCCCCTCTGCTGGCCAAATGGCAGTACTGAAGACAACAACGTCAGGGCAGAGCCACTGGCCAGAACACCAGGGCGCTGTCCTACAGACCAAGACAAGAGGCAGAGGGCTGTAGGCAACCCCCAAGACTCCGGGAGAAGGAACAGACTTATCTAACTTCAGAGAGTGCCTCTGGCCAAAGAGCTGACCTTGAGGACAAGGACAGTGGCCGAGTCAACTTTGAAACCTCAAGGTCTGCATGAAGAGCACCACAAAGCAGACATCCAAAAAATATTTATAGAATCAAAGGATACCTTAATAAATAAAGGCCTGAAGTGATTTGAGATTCAGGAGCTTTTGAGAAAAGCAGTATAAAAATGTGTAAGAAGTTATAAAAATGGTGCATGGCTATCACCGCACAGGAGCCAGGCACGGGGCGGGTGTTTCCCACAGCTCGTGCCCAGCACGTCCCAGAGCCCTGTGGAGAAGGTCGATCATCCCTGTTTCACAGGGAAGGACGCTGAGGTCTCAGCTGGACAGGGCCCCCGGGCCACACTGCCGGCCGAGGGGCACCTTGAGCCGAGACCACAAGAGTCCATTCACCCAGGTCTGCGCCTGCCCAGAAGGGAGCACCCCCAGCCCGCTACCTCTCAGAGCTGAAGTTGGAAGCCGTGACGATCACGTCGTCCTTGCTCTGCACCAGCACAGGGATCTTCCGGCAGCCTGGCGACTTCAGCAGGCGCTGCAGCAGCTTCAGGGTTTCTGAAAGAGCAGAATGAACAGAATTAGGGCCACAGCCTTCTCTTTGGTCAGGCCTCCAGGGCAAAACAGGTCCCCTCACTACTGTTGCAAGCAGGAGGCAGTGTTAAATGCCACAATGCCTGGAGAAGCAAAAAAGAAGATCAAGCTTCGGTGGATGCATGCTTGCTGGAGTCGAAACAGAGCAGAGGTACGGCCCGTATGCCAAGGTTATGAGTCTGAAACCCACTGCATTTCTCTGGAGTCTCTAGAAGACCCACATCTTATAAGTGACTAAGGGGTCTTAACATAAGGACAATGTTCAGAGAATGCTCTGCTTCCCGGAACAAAATGCGCCTCAGAAAAGGATCCTCAGGACACTCGGACACCAGCAGAGGCCCTGTGAGGCCCCCCCAAAGGACACCTCTCCACCTCCCTCTGCCGGCCGTGGCACTGAGGGGAACGTGCACAGGCCTGGCTCTGCAACCCTGTTCCGAAGCCTTTGGTGGTGACAGGTTAGCAGACCTTCTGCCCCAACGTCGCCACACACATGCAGCTCAGATGGTAAAACCGAAAGCCGCCTGCCTGAGGCCGGCATCTGAAAAGAAGCGCAGGGTCAGAGACCCTAAGAATCTTGCATTTGGCCTTGACAGGTGTGGCAATCAAGTGGGTTGGGCATCGTCCCACAAACGGAAAGATCCCTGTTCAATTCCCTGGTTCGATTCATGACCAGGCCACACGCCTGGGCTGCAGGCCGGGTGCATGGTTGGGGCGGGCAAGAGGCAACCGATTGATGTGTCTCTCACATACCAGTCTCCCTCTCCTTCTGCCTCCATTGGAAGGAAGGAAGGGAGGAAGGGAGGAAGGGAGGAAGGGAGGAAGGGAGGAAGGGAGGAAGGAAGGAAGGAAGGAAGGAAGGTTGGTTGGTTGCATTTAGCACTGTCCCGGTATGTCAAGGTGGTGGGTTCAATCCCCAGTCAGGAACATACAAGAACCAGCCAGTGAATGTGTAAATAAGTGGAACAACACATCCATGTTTGTTCTCTCTCTCTCATCAATTATAAAAAAAAAAAAGAATATTGCATTTGGAACCAAAAAGAACAAGCGCAGGGGATAATTCTGGACTGTGCTCAGATCGAGAGATTAGCAGGGGAGAAAAAGGTGATCCTGGGCTGATGGAATATCCAGGCCAGGCCTGAGCACAAAATCAGGAAACAGAAGATTCTGGGCGGAAGCCCGGGCAGCACACGGCCACGAGCCACAGTGGGCGGCAGCCCTGAACAGGCTGTGGCTGGCTGGGGGCGCCACTCACCTTGCAGGATGTTAGCAGGACACATGTCAATCTTGGTGACCACCACAAAAACAGGCACATTGAGTGCCAATGCCAAGCCCAGGTGCTCCTTGGTCATCCCCACGATGCCAGCGTTGCTGCCCACCTGCCCCAACACGGAAAGAACTGTCAGGGCACGGGAGACAGACCGAGGCTGCTGCTGGGCTGGCGCAGACTCGGAGGGCCGGGGTGAGCGCGCTCCGTCTGAGGCCTCCAGCAGAACGGGACGCAGCGCCGACCGACCTGCGTTCCCACAGCACCGCGAGGGGTTCCCCTGTCTCACATCCTCGCCCACACTTGCAGGTGGGGGAGAGCCGTTCTCACAGGTGTGAGTGGACAGCTCATCGTGGTTCTGATTTGCACGTCTCTAGGGACTGTGGCGTTGGGCGTCTTTTCTATGTCTACTGGCCATTCCAGTGTCTCGTGCACCCTCCCGAGACATCTTGTAGGCACACCAGCAAAAGTGTATGTATTCTCTCCCTCCAATTTCAAACCCTTGGAAAAGTTGAAAGAATAGTATAATGAATGCCACACATTCGCCACTCAGATTCAACAACTAACATTCTGCCACACTTATTTGTGCATGTGACAGGGGGTGTGGTTGTCTGCATCTGTTTTTTGGCCGAATCATGTGAGAGCAGGTCATGGGCACTGTGACTCTCACCCCCGAGCGCTCAGCACACAGGTCCTCAAAGAACTGTCTCCTGCTGTTATCGCAGCGAAGATGAACAAGGGCCTCCTAACAGCATCCACTATCCAGTCTCTAAGCATCTGCATTTCTCAGGGGCTCCCCAAACGTCTCGCATCTGCTTTTTCCAGTGATCCACTCACCATTTTTGTTTTTGTTTTGATGGTGGCATGTTATACACACCTTGCCTTTTTCCCCTTAAAAACACATCTTAGATGCTTGAACACCTGATTCACACAACTAGCGTGCACTGGACCTTTCACGTGTGTTGTGACATTTAAACCTCAAGTGACCCTCTAGAGCGGACATTACCAGATGGGACGCTGCGATGGAGCAAGGGCGTGCCCTGGGGAAAGGAGGGGGTAGGACGAGCTCCGGCCGCACAGGGAGCCGCTGTGGTCTATATGTTTTAAAGATTCCCCCTCCTCCTGGTAATGGACTGCCAGGAAATAATGCTGAAATACTTCATTATTTTCTTCAGAAAATTTTTAATATTTGAACCATGGCCTAAAAGTTAGATAATAACATATAACATTTCCTCTGGGTGAACATGTTTCCAACAACTGGCCTTGCTGACTGTAGCTCAGTCAGAAAAATGTTCATTTTAAACTGTCGGATTTCTGTACCTTTCTTAATATTCCCGTGCCCTGTGGGCCAGCACCAAAACCTCTGTTTTCCCAGCCTGGTCCCAGTCGGCAATGGCCTTGCAGGGACCGAAGAGGTGGGAGATGAAACCGAGATGAGGTCCCAAGAACCCTGGACGGAGCCGACAGAGCCTCTGGTTTGGGCAGACTCAGTGGTCGCTCTGAGCAGATGCTCATGGTGGCCCCGCTCACCAACGCCAGCTGCCGGAGGAATGGGGTGTGGGAAGGCCTTCGAAAAGGACCTGCCCTCGGGAAACGTGCTGGTCTGCCTCTGTGAGAACCGGGAAGCTGCGCCCGAGGAGGCCCGCTGACTTGTGCTCTGCCCGGAAGCAGAGCGGCGGGACCCAGACGTCACACAAGCTTAGTGGCAGGAGCCCACACAGCCACCACTCCCTTTCCTCTTCAGTCCACCCACGGGGGCGAGCTGCGTGAAAACCGATCCCACTGGCCGGTGGGCTCTCAGGGAGCCGGGCAGCCGCTCGCCGAGACGGCTGCCTCTGGGCCCAGCCCGGTGCTGGCCCGCAGACCCTGCCTCGCGTGCACGCCTCCCAGGCTCTGGAAGACGCTTCGCTCAGGCCCCCTCGACCGCTGCCTGTACTCGCCTCCGTTTCTCCCCGAAGCCCGCCCTCTCTGAGGGGACCGCCTGGTGTCGCCCCTCAAAGGAGCCTGACCCCCAAAGAAACCATTTCTCGGGGTAATGAGTAAGGTCCGGAAGAAGCCTCCTCTACACCTCTCCCAAAACAAGAGGCCTGCAGACAGCCTGGTTTGTTCTCAGGGGACCCCTTCTGAGTCTCGCCTAGGAGATCGGGTGACAGACGTCCTTTGAGAAGACTGGAGAGCTCAGGGAGGGGCACTCCGGCAAAGCCTGTCCCCCCGGCCCAGTGTTGGAGCCCCGAACCGCCCGGCTCCGGCCTCAGAAGGATCCCCACTCTCGCACACGTGGCCCTGGGCGCCCACTCACCATGAGCATGCAGAAGTCGGGCAGGTGGCCCGTCATGCCGAAGACCGTGGTCTTCAAGTACTTCTCGTGGCCAGCCAAGTCGATGAAGGTGATCACTTTGGTGGACTTCTCACAGATCTTGGTCCACTCCAGGCTGCCGCCGTGGCTGTCCGGCTTGTTCACCACGTTGCCTTCACTGTCGAAGCCCAGAATGTCGTTGCCCACACTGCTGGTGCGACCAGACTCGATCTCGTGCTTGTGGCGGAAGAGCTTCTGGCGGGCAAAGCCCCGGCCGTTGTCCAGCTCCCCGTGCGTCAGGACACCCAGAAGCGTGCTTTTGCCGGCATCCACGTTGCCCACCACTGCGACCCTGCGCGTGCACGAAGCCGGACACCCACATGAGAGGGAGTGGGCGAGCGAAGGGGAAGCCACTAGCTGACTCTGTACGGACAGGCTCGCTCCTGAGCCTCTCCAGCTCACTGCCCCTCTATTTGTGGACAAGCACATCGGAATGTTCCTGGTGGTATTACCTGGGGCGCGGAGAGACTCACTCACCAGGACCTGGGCCGCCACCACAGTGGCTTTCTCCCTTAACTCCCTCTGGTTTCCCCAAAGCTGCCAGACAGGGGCCCCAAAATGCTCTCCTCCACTAGGCTGGTATCCAGCCTCATAGGCCGGTAGGAAGGAAGATGCAGCCCACAGGACGCACGGCCGGCGTGTCCCCAGCTCTCCCCAAGTGGTAGTGTTCAGGCGTGAGGAAGTGCAGAAGTGCAGAAAGGCGTCATCGAGTCTGTGGACACTCTTTCCCTGCCTCAGGGGAGGCAGGGTGACTCACTACGAAGCACTGGATCCCAAGGTCGTGCTGAGGGGACCCCTGAGCTGTTCTGAGGCCTCCTCACCTGACCTCCAGGAAGTCATTGTCTCCTACTCGCTTCCGGACCAGGTAATCACGCACACGGCCCCCAGCTTCTTGCCGTTCCCGCAGGAGGATGACATCGGCCTCTATCTGTTCTGCCATGCTTTTCACTGTGGCGTAGGAGGCCTCCATGTCAGCTTCACTCAGCCCGTACTCAGTCCCATCTGGTGACAAGAGCCCAGACATCAGTGCTCCAACCAGCCAGACAGCCCACTCTGCCCCCCGGCACTGGAGAAGAGCACAGCTCTCTCTACCTGACACTTGAAAACTTGGGCACACACAATGAACAGGAATAAACGAGAGCGCCACGGTTGCCCCGTTCAGCAGGGCACTTACTCGTTCATTCGACAGTAACCACCGAGCCTCTCCCGGGTTTTAGGCCAAGCCTCATGCCGGGTCCCGGGAATACAGGTGCCCTCAGCCCAGTGGGAGAGAGGAAATTAATTAACTGCAACAGAGCTTGAATACTGCATCATATAGAACAGTACAAAGAGAATGTAAAGCATGAGCGACCAGCACGGCCTGGGGAAGGTGAAGTCAGCTTTGCAGGGCACTGGGTCTCTGAGTGTGAGTGTGAAAAATGGGCCCGCAGAAAAAGGAGGAAAGATGTCCTAGGCAGCACAGCTAAGCATGGAGCGTCGCAGATCAAAGCACATTCAGGGACCAGTGGGGAGCAGGATGTGAGGTGGCAGGAGACCACACAAGAGGGAGAAGCGGTTATGCAGACAGACGTCAGCAGGGAAACACAGCGGGAAGCCTTGCGGGGGGGGGGGGGGGGCCGACAAGGGGGTTAGGGAGATCTCAGGCAGCAGTGAAAGTGCGCACTGCCGAGCAAGAGACCAGAAAGGGGCAGCCCAGGAAGGAAGTCATTCTAATAGTTCAGGTAAGCAGTAATGACAGGTGACAAAGGAAAATGGGGAAAGAATTTAAGAATGATTTTCGGAACAGATTTTTAGCTGAAGTAGCTCAGGTGAAATGTCCAGCAAATAGATGGAAAAACGAGTCTGAGCTCAGGATGAGGAAGGGAGGAACAAGGCAGCCAATCGCTTGCTGAGAGCAGATGGAGTGACAGTTCCCACCAGGTACCTGTCACGTGGCTCATGACTCCTAAGCACCCCCCGCTCTGTCCCTGGGCTACTCCCTCCAGGCTGGCCAGACCACTTCCCTTTAACTGCCTCCCAAAGATGGGAGCACCTTCTCTCACCCTCTCTTCTCCCTCAGCTGCCCACCCCGCCCTCTGACAAACAAGGTCAAGTCACTCCGAAACTGGGAGAAGGAAACCCACCTCCTCTTCCCTTGCCCCAGAGGATCCCTGGGCTACTGTCCCCTCTGGCCTCCTCTTACCACCGACCATCTCAAAAAGGTGTCACTGAGACTTGTTGACTATCACGCACCTACTCTCTGTACCTTTCTTACAGCTCTAGAAGAAACTTGTCTTCAAGTCATCAAAGGCCTTCTAACCACTCACCTGATGTCCCTTTCTCAACCCCAACAGCATCTGACACCGCCAGCCACCCTACCCTGGCCCCTTGAAGCACTTTACGCCCTGCCTGCTTGCCTCTGGCAGGAACTCCGGTGACCAGAAACTCCCGTATGGTCTGCCCCTGCTGCCTGGGTCCTCCTCTTTCTCCGTCTGCTCTGCCGGCTCCTCCTGCTCATCTTCCCCAGTGGTGACCAGTGGGCCCCTTCTCTATCCTCTGAAATTCCCCTTGGCTATCTCACACTATGGCTATCTCCAAATGTCATTCCAGAAACTACAAAAGACATTAGTTTCTACCACTGTCTTCTCTCCAGAACTCCAGACTGAATTTCCAAATGGCTGGATGACTCCTAGAAGCCCGATATGTATCTAATCTGCAAAGGTAAGCATTTCTCTTGCCACCTAACAGTGGGGTAAACAGAACCCAGAGAGGACTGAGAGCTGGTAGAGAGCAGAGGGGCCACAAAAGCATGGATCATCTGCCTGCAAACCTGGAGCTCTTCCCTCTGGCAAGGGCTCTTCTCATGGCCAGACCAGCTCATCCTCCTGCCTTCCCTGTTCCGGGCAACACCTATCCAGTCGCCCGAGCTCGATACTCATCACTGACTCTAGCTTTGCGCCTGCCCTTCTTTCTGTGTCCCCGCTCTCCTCTTTTTGCCACCCAATGCCACCAGTCTGATTCAGGCCCTTGTTCCACCTTGGTCACCACAACAGACCCCTAAGTGGCCTCTGCAAACCCTGTCTGTCCCCACCAGCCCTTGTGCAAGCACAGACACAAGCCCAAGTTCGCAAACAAAGCACAGCTTCCATGCTGCCCCGTCCTAGGTCAAAGCCTTGTAGGGAGTGGCTCCCCAGGCCCAGCAGAGCTCAGGTGCAATTCCTTTAAGGCCCCCTCCACTTACTCTGCACCCCCTGCTCTGCATTGGGCCACCCCCAACACGTGCCCCGCCCCATGTTCCCTGTGCTTCTCCAGCTCTGCCTCTTGGCTGTGACACCTCTACCTGTCAAAACCCTGCCCATTCTGCTCCCTCGTGGCATCTACCACGTACCATGCAGGACAGTTGTGAATGCATGTTTTCCCCAACTGTGCATCAGCAGCTTCAGGACAGGGGTCAAACTCGAACCTTCCCTGGATGCCCCACCTGGACTGCCTTTCCCATATAAAGTCCCAGGTGTTTGTAAAATGCACAAGTGGACGAAGAAGGAGCAGCCGGGCTGAGGAGTTTCTAGATGCACGGCCAACCAAGCTCTGGACATCAGAGTTAGAAAAGAACTTGCTGGAAGTGGTCCTCACAGGAGGCCTGCTGGCCCAGCCCTTCTTGCCACACCCCAATTTCCTGATTCTGACGCAACAAAAAATCAATGCTTTCAGGTCCCATTCCACACCAGGGGGCAGTCACCACTGTCACCAGGTCCATCCAGAGCTCCCAGAAAATGCCCCCAGTCCTGTTAGGCTTCCCCAGCATGTACTGCACTCCTCGCTCAGTAGGAGGGGAGACAAAGGCCAAGGAGGAAAGCCTCGAATCGCACCACCAAAGGCCACATGCTCCCCCGTGCCCAGCCCCGAGTCTCTCTCATCTGGCTAACCGTTCTACGTGCACTGTCCCACTCTCTGAGCAGCCTAAACTCTGTGGCATGGCGTTCGGAGACCCTCGAGACCCGGGCCCTGCCTACCGGCCCAGCCGCCCTCCTGACGCTCCCAACCTCACACACCACACTCCTACTTTCTGAATCGCCGCTGGTCCACCAACACTACAGCTGCCAGTGCGTCAGTGCCTTTGTGCGCGTGGCCTCCTCTGCTCGCTCACTACCACCTCCATTTACCTCCATTTACACCCTGTAGACCTAATTCAAGGGGCATTCCTCTTTGAAGCCTTTCCTGACTCCCCACAAAGACTTAACACCCCTCCTTTGTTGCCTGAACTTTAATACGGTACCCGGCTCTCAGAAAGTCGTAACACAGTATCTGATGAATTAACGAGGTTCTTTGGAAAGGAATCTCACGGTAAATCAACTATAACCCAGAATCCTTAAAAAATTACTATTGCACCTACTAATACTAGCTAACATGTACATAATGCTTACTGTATGCTAAGTGTTAACCTTCGCTGTGACATGCCACCACCCCCATTTTAAGATGAGTTTAAGGGCCAGCAGGCACACTCAGCCCTGCCCACTCCAACCCTGAACTGACCACCAGGCCGGACTGCCTCCGTTTGAAAGACCAATCTTAAATTAGGCATGTATCCTGAAAGAGCACAGTTCTCTGTACTGCCCAGAACTTTTTAATGTCTAACTTATTCATACAAAATTTCTCAGAAGTCGGGTGGGAAAGGATGTCATTATCCTCATTTTACAGGGAAAGGAAGTGATAAACGGAGGTGAAGCTCAAGGCACACGCAGGAAGCAGGTGATGAGGCTGCCCCCTGGGCGCCTCGCGTCTGGTGCAGTCCTGTCTGATGTCCAACTTGTTCCACCAGTCACGACCTCTAAAGAATTCTAGCAGGAAGGAGTCACTGTGAACCTAAGAGCATCCAACTGGCAGGTGCGACGATAATGCTTGGGTGTGTCGGTGTGTTAATGAATGCTTGACATCTGGTGTTTTGCTGAGAGGGTTAATTAGTGGTGAGTTGCCAAGGTGTGATAAAATTCACTGAGAGTCCACATTAAGAGACCGGGCGAAGGGGGGTGTCTTAAGAAACTGGGTCTTCCAAGAACAGTCACAACACGTGTCAAAACAGACCTAGATGTGGTTCCTTCAATTCTACAAGTGCAAAGTGGCCTGAGTGGTTCACCCTGGTACAGCAGGCCAGGCGCACACCTGGCACAGGAGCTTTCGGAGGCCCAGGAGGCCTGCCAATGATGCCCCATCAGCAGACAAAGCGGCTTTTCCAGAACCCGACTCGCCCTATCTCTCCAAGCACTTGAGGACACTGACCAACTCCCTCCGTTCCCTGACAAGCAATCTCTCAGACCAAGTCCTTCTAAAGGTGATAAGACCTGAAACTTGGGAGGTGGCCGCAAAGATGGAAAGGAAAGGAAAGATAAGAAACATATTTCAAAGTAAGGTACAGCCGTATTTGGCGATCAAGCCCTGCTTCCTCATGGTACTCTTACAGCATTTCCAAACACTGTTTTCCACTGAGGTTATCTGTGTATATGCCATTTCTCCTTCTTGGCACAGAGACCAGACTTGAGTATTCAAACATGCTTCACAAGAGTATCAAGCTCTTAGAAGATACTTAATAGTTATTTGTCAAATAAAGAATGATTCTGAGATTTTTCTCCATCTTAAACAGTCTACAAAAGAATTATTATCTGCCTTTACAAAGCCTGCATTCAACAAAGAGAACTGTTCTTTTAATGATGCACTGAGGCTTCCTGCAAAGATGACAGACAAGTTCTGGTTCAGGCTAAATTCATCACAATCATTAACATACCTGGCTGCCACTTCAGCAAAGATAATGTGGTACGGAAGATGAGTGTTAAGGAGGCCTTGTTTTAAAAGTTTAAACTAGGACTGACCAGTGGGGGGAAAAATGCCTAAGATACAATCTGGGATTCTGTTACGCAGGCTGCCTTCCTCTACAAACAGTCCCATTACAATGGAATAAGCGGGCTGAGCACAGTAACCGGTTCCTCCCAGTAGGTAAGGAGCCTACACATCTGTGGATCTCGCAGGGGGAAGCGAGGGCTCGTGACCACAGCTATTCAGAGTGGCCAGTGTGGTCTGGGGCAGGGAAGCCTTGCTGAAGAGGGGAATTCTGGGGTGGCCACTTCTTGCTGACATCAAGAAGGATCATGGAACTTTTCTGCTCGGCAGACAATAAGTAGCAATGGGATGTGTACACTGGGCCGGAGGGGGGCACCTGGAGCTGCCGGGGGAGGCTGGATTCCAGACCTTTGCACAAATGGAGAGCGTGGGAGGCAGAAAGGAAGCATCTGTAAAGCCGCTCGGAAAGCAAGTCTTTAGAGTCAAGCATGTTAGGACCATGAAGGTGGGACTTAACATGGTCACATTGTACGTTTATGTCCTCCCAGACAGTTCCACAGACACCAAACAAGAAGAGTGGGTAAAAGATGGAAAATGTGCTCTAAATAATTTTTAAAAAATAAAGTGAAAGGAAAACTATGCTCACCTGATCCCTGCCCAATGACATATATGGTCTCTCCGCATCCCTCGTCCATCCTCTCCCACATCTGCCGAAGTAGGCTGTCATACTGCTCTGATGTAGGGCTCACTAGAACCAGCTAGAAGAGAAACCAACAGCCTTAGGACCACACTTTCTAGGAGGGCACCACAGCCAAAGCAGATCAACAGCCTGACCACAGACCCTGACTGAACCCCACGGCACCCTCATCTAAATTAGCTACAAAGCCCCCATACGTCCTCTCTGCCACTCCTTAAACAGCCTTTGAGCCTGAGGCCTTCCGTGAGCTGAGATTTCTAATGTTCCGAAATGACTGTGTCTGAAACAGCTGCCCGCTTCCTGCTGCTCACCACAGGCAGGGGAAAGACCCGCAATGACTGAGAACCTGCCAGGTGGTTAGACACTGATGAGCGCTGCCTCACACCTACACGCCCACGCCTGCCACTCCAGGAGAGAGAACCCCGGCACTGCCACGCCCTCCGCCCAAGACAATGGTTGCAGTAACAACAAAAGAATTCGGTTCCACCTTGCCTAGGCTATCTTGATATTTTTAAAAATCGACGGTAAGAACTGCCGCCGAGACTTATCTTCACCCACAAAACACCATTACCACTAAGATGGGTATTAGTGCCATCATTTTAAAAATCTGGGCCAGTAACATTAAAAAGTATCAACTACTTATTTGGGGAGACCATTTACCAGCAGGCATGTCAGGTCCCATTCTCTAACCATTCATGTGTGACCTTGGACAAAGAACTTAACCCCTCGTTTTTTCAACCTACAACACGCGGATAATACCAGCTGCACCGTAAGGCCACTGTAGAGACCAGTAAGATAACATGTAAGCATCCAGTCCACTCTAGGCCCTAAGTGCTGGGTACAGTGTCTTCACACTTATCCCCACACAACCTTCTCGGATGAAACTATCCACCAGATTACTGTTTCTCTCCTTGGAAACTTTCAGAGCTGTAGATCTCCACATATAATTGTACTAAGCGTATAAACTTATAGCTTGTGATCTCTTCCTCAGGAATCAATCTATCAACCTATCCCTTCTCTCCCTCCACATGGTCAGTTTTTCTTTTCAATATCACCAATATACAAGGTCTGTCCAGAAAAAGTCCAGCCACTGTTAATATAACAAAAATAGTTTAAGCAACAACGATGTAACCTGGCAGCCAGGCAGAGCGGACTGGAATGCACATGTGTAAACAATGACTTCACTGTACTAGTCAGTGGGGACAGTAGATGCCCTTAAGTGAGCATGTGTACTGTGTGGCCGTCACATTCAAAATGACTGAGTGAGCAGAGCAATGAATCTGCATCAAATTTTGCGTTAAGCCTGAACATTCCTCCACAGAAACTATTCAGATTCAGAAGGGCTGCAGCTATAGGCAACTGGTGATGGCAGCTTCATCATGACAACGTCCCCACTCACACATCACATCCTGTGCAGTTTTATTGCAAAACATCAAATCACCCAGGGGACTCAGCCCCGCTACAGGCCCGATTTGGCACCCTGTGACTTCTGGCTTTTCCTCAGACTAAAAATCACCTTTGAAAGGGAAGAGATTTCTGACCATCAGTGAGATTCAGGAAAATATGACCAGGCAGCTGACCGACTGGGAGAACTATGTGAGGTCCCAAGGTGCCTACTTTGAAGGGAACTAAGGTATCACTGTCCTATGTACTTCTTCTTGTATCTTTTTCAGTAAATGTCTCTATTTCTCATACTACATGACTGGATACCTTCTGGACAGGCCTGGTATATAGTAGCTTCTCAACGTTAAAATAGTGAGGCGGCTTCACCAGCTATGTGACGAAGGAACACTTTCCTGTTCTGGAACAGTATATAAGTTGGTCAGGAAATGAGGGTATTATTCTCTTTGCAAATGTGCCCTGCAATTCCCCACTGTTTTCAGATGTCTTCAGCACCTTGACCATGAACTAACATCCAGTTCGTCTGCTTGAGTCAAGCACATCTCTTACAATTCCCGAGTTGAATGGTCAGAGCTTGTACTTATAACCTGAGTGCTGCCCTGGCATACCACCTCACACATCTCCCCGGCCTTCCTTCCCCCAGCTTGGCCATCCTCGCTGTGGCATTAGAGGCACCAGACTGGACCACTGGCTTCTCAGAACTCAGCTGCCACTAAAGGGAGAAAGAGCAGTTGAAAGCTGGTTGCTTAGATTACAAGGACAAGCTGTCTCTAGTTGGGGCCAAGCTCTACACCATTTCACCATCAAAGACCATGAAAAGCCCCACACATCTCCTGCAGTTTTCCAACAACAAGTAGGAGGGGTGTCAGTGTTCTATCTTCCATCAGCTGCTATTAATCTACACAGGGAATGACCAGCTATCAGTTCTCTTCAAACATTTACTGAGTCTATGTATCAGATACGACTCTAGGTGTCTCATGCACACCTCTTGCCTTTACAACCACCTATACTAAAGATGATGTAGCTGGAGAACTGAGAGGTTAAGAAACTTTCCCAAGGTCACAGAGCCTTATAAGTGGCAGGGCAGGAATCTGTTAAAAAAAAAAAAAAGAACAAAAAACAAAATTCAACCAAGTAAATTTGAAGATCTAATTGCTTTACTGAACAACTCACGAATTGTAGCATCCGAGTAGTGCAAAATGTGATTCTTAGAGGAAACTGGTCAGGATAAGAAAGTTATTAGGGAAAAAAAGGACTGTTTCAGGCCAGGTCACCAGTTTTGGTGGGGGAGGGGGGCAGGGGGCTCTTATGCAGATTACCTCTCTGGTGTCTATGAGGAAACTACAGTCAAATATTCCACACCTAGGAGGGCCGAAACTGCAATTAAGTCTTGTTTTGCTGACATGGGAGCAAGTGACCCCACCTAGGGCTTGTCTCTTTATTTAACAGAAACAAGCCCTGTCTGATGCTCAAGATAGCATTCTTCCTTCAGCAATTGTTCAGCACCTTAAAAACACCAGTTAATCTTATACTTACTTTTTTATCCCTCACAACGCCAAGCAGGTGAGACCTTAACTCCTGCCCACCTTGTAAAGAGTTCAGAACACAAGATTTGCAATGTCCTTCCTTCATTATCCCGTTCATACAAGTTGTAGTTCTACTCCCAGGATGGCAAGATTATGGGTTATGTCCACCTTTTAATTTTGTTTTGGGTGGATTCGCAAAGAAGACACAGCCGAGACATTCTTCTGCCCGACTCAACGACTACTTTCTGTTTCCTTTCCCAACACCAGGAAAGGATGCCTCCCCACACCCGCCAGCCCCCCCCCCCCCAGACGACCTGATCCTCCCGCGCCTCCGCTCCCCCTGCCCAAACCGCGGTCACAGAGGAGGCAGCACCAAGCGGGGTGCTGCCAGCGTCGGGCACCCGTGTTCCACGTGGCGCAGCGGAGGGGTTGTGATGCCCCCCACCCCCGCCCAGCCAGACGGCGGGAGGCGGGTCGGCTGCACCCCCAGGCAAGGCGGTGGAGGAGGGAATGGCCCGCAGGGGAGCCTGGGACCCCCCCACACTGACCACACTGGCAAGTGGGTGGGCTTACCCCTTCCAGCCCCCGCCGTTGCCCGGACAGCCTCAGCCCTGTTCCCCTCAGCTCCAGGTTCCTTTTAGGCCTACCTTGCTGGTGAGGTCCAGCTCCGACTCGCCGTTAAGCGCCTCGCCATCCTCGCTGCAGTCTGAGTCGAAACCACTGTGTAGCCGGGCGGCAGCCGCCGCGGCCCTGGCTGCCCCCGGGGAGCTAGGCTCCGGGGCGAACATAGAGGCCGGGACCGGCGAGTCCATAGGGGAGCGACTGCGCTCCGCCGCCATCTTTAATAACTTAGGCTAATTCGTACCGGCCTCCCATCCCTCCTTGGCTCATTTGTCTAATTTATGCGTAGTCCCGCCCCAAGCCTTATCGGAATAATTTATGCGAACTTTTTCCAGCCTCCGGCAGAGGGCTACACGTATTTCTAGCTAAGAAACAATCGACGGGGTGCTCAGCTACCAATCGCAGCAGCCCTTTGAAGTACCTAATGAATAATTAATGAGCCCAAACCCCAACAACAAATACCTGAGACGTCACACTCCTGGATTGCAGCTCCAGAGGGAGCAGCACCAAGTCCACGCTACCAGCTGGAGCCTTCCGGCCAACGGGCGCAGTGCAGAGTATGACTGACACGGTAGCCATCCAATGAGGAGGAAAATAGACGCACACACACGCACGCACAAGCACAATTGGCCCTCACCTTTCTATACTGTCGTAGCTTTCCAGAGGAGGTGCTTAGCTTCCGAATCTCACTGCCAAACCGTTGGCGTCGCCCAGAGCCTTCGGATGATGGACAGGGTCAAGGCCCAATCCAGTTATTGGATAGGTCCTGCGCCTGGGGCCACCACCCACGGAGGTAGTAAACAGCACAAGCCTCAGGCCACTCAACTCAATGGCTCAGGGCAGTCAGTGGAAAGCAGGACCAATAAAATGGCATCGGTCCGATTAAGATAGCATGAAGTATACAAAATAAAGTGGAGTCATTTCTGCCAGCTAAAATGGCTGTCAGTCAGCCATGCTACTTTGGTTCAAGAGGAAAATACCCTAAGTCAGGGTAAACACATCTGGCAAGGTGACTTATCTGCCCACGTGGTCAAATATCCTAAGTGTATCTCCTTGCCAAGCGCGTCTCCTATCTGTTCTGACCACGTGGGCAGATATGTCTCCTTGCCAGATGTGTTTACCCTGACTTAGGATATTTTCCTCTTAAACCAAAGTAGCATGGCTGGCTGACAGCTATTTTAGCTGGCAGAAATGACTCCACTTTACTTTGTATACTTCATGCTATCTTAATCGGACCGATGCCATTTTATTGGTCCTGCTCTGCACACAATCCCTGGAAGACCGAGGTCAGATCTGCTGGCAATCTCCAGGAAATTTTTTTTTTTAAGATTTTATTTATCTTTAGAGGGGAAGGGAAGGAGAAAAGGAGAAAAATATCAATGTATGGTTGCCTCTCAAGAGTCCCCTGCTGGGAACTGGCCTGCAACCCAGGCATGTGCCCTGACTGGGAATTAAACCGTGATCGTGTGGTTCTCAGGCCCGTGCTAAATCCACTGAGCTACACCAGCCAGGGCTAATCTCCAGGAAATTTTGATAGTAGAATCGTATTGATGCCTAGAATATTACAGCAGCCAGAACAGGGCAATTAATTAAATGCTGACCTTAAGGAAAATTCTCCATTCACTACCTCTGCAGAGAGAAATTACACAACCAAAAAGAGGCAATCAGCTGAAATATTAATAGGAGCAAGAAGCACCTGCTAAAAAGAAAGACCCCAAATGGAGTCACGGTGGGAAGCCCCACCAAGGCTCAATACCTAACTTTTTTAAAAAAGATTTTTTTAATTTATTTTTAGAGTGTGGGGAGAGAGAAGAAAGAGAGGGAGAGAAACATCAATGGGTGGTTCCCTCTTGCATGCCCCCTGCTGGGGACCTGGTCCCCAACCCGGGCATGTGTCCGGACCTGGAATCCAACCAGCAACCCCCTGGTTCTCAGGCCAGTACTCAATCCACCGAGCCACACCAGCCAGGGCTCAATACCTAACTTAATTGCAGTTTCATTCTCTCTCAGGAGTGTAATCTTAAATCTATCAATCTGCAATTTCCTGATCACTTATGAGGTAAACTGCCTGAAAAGACCTCATGCCGTCTCCTAAAGGAAGGTGACCTTGCCTGAAATGAACCACTCTCTTAACCTCCTTGGCCCACCCTCTTTCTGCCCATGAAAACCTACCATCTTGTACAACTCCTTGGACCTCCCCTCTATTTGCTGGGTTGGTTGCTTCGGCCAACTCATGAATCATTAACAAAGCCAATTAGATCATCAAAGTTACTTGAATTTTTGTTCTTTAACTGACGCATCCCCATGTTTGTTAACTGTGGAGCTGAGATCCAGCGAGGGTCCGTTAAGGCAGTTTCCTGCTGATGATTCTTTCGAGTGGCATCTGTTGTGGAAGGTCCTAATCTAAAACACCATCAGCCCAAGTTTTAGTATCTTGAACTCCCGTTTCAAAAATCCGAAGAGCTTGATGAAATTAGGGATTGGCCACTCATCTCAGGTAGCAAGAAAGAAAGCCATTTGAGAAGGTGACATGCCTAAGATTTAGGGTTTGGAACACAGGATTTAGTGAACAAAAGGCAGGGATCTACCTGACAGGAAAGAGGCAACCTTCTTTTGGTCCTGTTTTCAACTACAGTCAAGTCTTATGTAAAAAAAAAAAAAGCTGGGAACCCTGGACAAGAAGACATCCAACTCCAAATAGCTTTTTTAAAAAAGATTTTATTTATTTATTTCTAGAGACAGGGGAAGGAAAGAAGAAAGAGAGAGAGAGAGAGAGAGAGAGAAAGAAACACCAGTATGTGGTTGCCTTTCACATGCCCCCAACTGGGGACCTGACCCATAACCCAGACATGGGCCTTGAGTGAGAATCAAACCAGTGACCCTTCGGTTTGCAGGGGGGCGCTCAATCCACTGAGCTACACCAGTCAGGGCCAACCCCAACTATCTTTCTCTTTTAATTGTTATTCAAGTACAGTTTTCTGTCTTTTACTCCCATCCCAGCCCACCCCCAACCCTCCCCACCTCCCTCCCATTTTCACCCCACCTTTTTTTCCCCATGTGTCCTTTATACTTGTTCCTGTAAACCCATCCCCTTTTCCCCTGAAATCCCCTCCCCTCTCCCCTCTGGTCACTGTCCAACTCCAACTATCTTGATAATAGTTCTTCAAATGTGTTTTTTTTTTCCTTTTTTACTGACTAAATTGCTCACCACTATCTTATATTTCTCTATGAGGCAGTTACAAATATTAACATCTTGATTTGTCAGAAAAACCAAATATCAAGGCATTGTACTCCAGAATAACAATTGATATTTAGTATTTTACTAACACAGAGGCTGGCTTTTCTAGAAGGAGTTAAAGTTCAGAATGTCTGACACTTGATGAGATACCAAAAAGCATACTCTTCTCACCATAGGGCTTTGTCCAGAATAAATATTCTGAGTAAGAGCTTCTTGAATAGAGAAGTCTTAAAATCACATTTTATAAAGGGAATTCCCTACCCATCTTCACATCCTCTTTCCAAAGACACATCAGAGCCTGCGTTTCAAACCCCAAGTCCACTGCTTACTAGCTATGTGACCTAGAGCAACTTAATTAACCTGAGTGTCAGTTTTCACCTCCAAAAAAAAGTATCCACCATATCGGAAAGCAGTAAATAAGTTGGTCTTTGTAAAGCACTTAGAACAACACTTGCAAAGCCTCAGTAACTAATCTTACATAAATAGAACTGTAACCCTTAGCAAGCTTACAAATTACAAAAATTTAAGGTAATTCAAAAGTTGTCTGGATTATCCCAGAGGACTCCAAACCATGCCATGGGCACTCAAACATGTGTTAAGTGATGATAACTCTGTTGAGCGTATGGGTGTTAAGAATACTGTTGAAGCAGAGTTAAAGACCTGACAGGGACTTCCGGTCAAGATGGTGGGTAGGTAAACATGGCTTGCCTCCTCCCACAAGCACATCAAAATTACAACTAAATTATAGAACAACCATCACTAGAACCAGCAGAAATCAGGTGGAATGGAAGTCTGACAACTACGGAATTGAAGAAACCACATCCATCCAGATTCGTAGGAGAGGCAGAGAGGCAGAGACGCAGAATGGTCTGGTCCCACAACCACATGTGATGGATAAAAATTAGGGATGGATATCTCAGGAGCGAGGAGTCCCAGCCCCACCCCAGGGTTCCAGTACCAGGAAGGTAAGTCCCTGTAACTCCTGGCTGCAGAAACCAGCAGGGATTGAGTCAGTGGAAGAAACTGCTGTGGTCCCAAGCAGTTCCACTTAACAAACCTACACACAGACTTACTCAGACTCATTCTCTCTGAGCTAAGTTTGAAAGACACCAGTGGCACACAGAAAGGAACTGAAGTGTCTGGCATCAAGGTGAGAGCTGGGGGGACAGCTTTCTCCCAGACAGAGGCAGGCAGAGCAACAGAACCAGCAGGGCAGTGCCACATCTGAGACTCCATCAACCTGTTTGCCCTGCCCTCGAGGTTCCCTAAGACTCAATCCCACCCAATTTACAGCTGTTGACAGTAGCTTTTCCATATGACTGGCTAATCTTGGCTCATACTTCACAACTTCCTAAATCCTCTCAAACAAGCAATAGCTGGCATAATTGAGCCCCCAGTCCCCATACCTCTTGCTAGGTGGCCCCTGGCAGGGCACTAGCAGCAGCAAGTCTAGATTCACAGCTTGGCTTTTGCCTGTGCATCTCCAAGCCCAGCACAAGTAGTAGCCAACTCAGATTGCTTTATATAGTTCAGGCAGAGTGGTCCCACGAAAAACACAGGTGGGGGCTGACCTTGGCCTGCACCACTGGGAAACCCAGGGCTTGCACACCCAGTAGACAACTACAGACCGCCCTGGAGCACCACCACCCTGCCCCTGCACAGCTAATCTTCCACAGAGGTGGTCAGTGGTCACAGCCAATCCTTGCAACCGACTGGCTTGGATAAATCCCTCCCATTCACTTGCCAACAGCAACCAAGGCTCAACTGCAAGAGGAGGGTGTATTCAGTTGACACAAAGGGCACACCTGAAGTACCCAGCCTGGGTTATAGGGGAGGCTGTGCCACTAGACCCTACAGGACACCTACTTCATTAGGCCATACTACCAAGACATGGAGTCAAAGCAGCTCTACCTAATGCATAGAAACAAACACATGGAGGCTGCCAAAATAAGGAGACAAAGAAACAGCCCAAATGAAAGAAGAGATCAAAACTCCAGAAAAAGAACCAAAAGAAATGGAGATAAGCAATCTATCGGATTCGGAGTTCAAAACACTGGTTATACGGATGAGCAAGGAACTTAGTGACGACCTCAACAGCACAAAAAAGATCCAGTCAGAAAGAAGGACACACTAACTGAAATAAAGAACAATTTACAGGGAAACAACAATAGAGTGGATGAAGCTGAGAATCAAATCAATGATTTTGCACATAAGGAACAAAAGACCAATTAGAACAAGTAGAAAAAAGAGTCCAAGAAAATGAAGATTGTATAAGCAGCTTCTGGGACAATTTCAAGCATCCCAAAATTTGCATCACAAGGATGACAGAGGAGAAGAGAACAAGAAAGAAATTGGACACCTATTTGAAAAAAATAAGGAAAGAAAACTTCCCTAATTTGGTGAAGGAAATAGACATGCAAGACCAAGAAGCATAGAGTCCCAAACAGGAAGGATGCAGAGAGGCCCACTCCAAGACACTTAATTAAAATTTGAAAGGTTCAAAATAAAGAGAGAATCTTAAAAGCAGCAAGAGAAAAAGCAGTTAGCTACCCACAGGAGAATGTCCTTAAGACTGTCAGCTGACTTCTCAAAAGAAACTTTGCAGTCTAGAAGGGACTGGCAAAAACTATTCAAACTCATGAAAAGCAGGGACCTACAGCCAAGGTTACTCTATCCAGCAAAGCTATCATTTAGAATTAAAAGGCAGATAAAGAGCTTCACAAAACAAACAAACAAAAAAATGAATGGAGTTCATCATCACCAAACCATTACTATATGAAATATTAAAGGGGTTTATTTAAGAAAAAGATCAAAACTATGAATAATGGCAATAAAATCTATCAACAATTGAATATATGAAACAAACTAAGCAAACAAGAACAGAGACAGAATCATGGATATGGAGAATGTTTTGATGGTTGCCAGGTGGGAGGAGGGTGTAGGGGAAAGGGTAAAAAGGTGAGGGGATTAAGAAGTACAAATAGTTATGGTAGTACAAACAACAGCTAGGGGGATGTAAAGTACAGTATAGGAAATGGAGGAGCCAAAGAACTTATATACCTGACCTATAGATGTGAACAGTGGTGTGGGGATTGCCTGTGGGGGTGCTCGGTGGAGGGGGGTAAAGGGTGAAAATCAAGACAACTAATAGCATAACCAATAAAATATAACTTAAAATTTAAAAAAAGGAAGTGACAGAATTGTAAGCATGATCTCGTTTTTTCCATTTTTCTGAATAAAAATCCACAAGGAGGGCAGCTAAAGTGAATAGTGAATATTTGTTGATGCCTTCCATATGCAGAATGGGTAAAGCGGAGGGGAGGTCCACTCGGGACCAACACACTGCGCTTAGGTAGATCTTAAGAAAACCCGGAGGAAAGGTCCATAGGCAGTCACCCTAAGGGCGAGAGGACAGTAGTTCGTGTATAGTAAATAGAAATACGACTCCAAGGAACTGAAATAGGGCTCTTCACCCTGCTTGAAAAGAGGCTCAGCCTCAGTGCTTCGGCAGAGCGCGGAGCCGTCGGGCCCACTAACCAAAAGAATGTGCGCCCGACCGAGTCGGTCAGGTGTTTTGAAATCATCTGGTGAACAGCATGCTAGACTAACAAGAAACGGTGAACGCAAGAGCGGCTGGTCCAGGTTAGCGAAAGCCCTCAGCTGGAGTAACACAGCCCAGAGCAAGGGGCAGGGTGGGGAGGGCCGCTAACTGCAGCCGCAGGCAGGGTCACCGCCCGAAACGGCGGCGACGCCCAGAGGAGGGGTGGGCGTGGCGGGCATGGAGGCGGGACTCCCGCTGGCCGCTCCGCCCCGCGCAACCTGGGGAGGAGCAGAGCCGGGGTCCCGGGCTCCAGCTCTACTCCTGGCCGCTGCCGGGCTCCGCAGCCGGGCACGCGGAGGCCCTCTGGCCCGCACCCAAAGCTATCAGAACCCAGCCAACAGACGCGCGGCAGCCGAGGCCCCCGAAGCCGGCGCCGTTGACGTCAGGCCGACCTCAGACGTGACGCCGCGGCGGGGCGGGAGCCCAGGCGGTGCTGGAGGGCGTTTCCGGAGCACGCGCTGGGCGAGGGCCGCTGACGTCGGGCTCAGGTGCGCGCGCTTGGTGGAGCACGGCCCAGGTGGTGGCCCACATCTCCAGGTAGCACCCTGCCGCGGTAAGGGGGTGACCTGGGGCGCGGACGCGGGGCGCTATGGGGGCCGGGTTTAGGGAGCGACGGGAGGGCTCTCCGGCTTGCACTCACATGACTGGCGGGGAGGTTTGAGTGGGGGCGGCGAGACGGGTGGGCCCTCGAGGGCGAGGCGGATTGTGCGGCCCCATACCTCGTGAGTCTGCCGTCGCATCGATGGGTCTTCCCTCGGGCTGGGGCCGAACTTGCAGCGCCACTTCCCCGGCCAGCCTGGTTTTCTGCGGTGGTCCGTCTGACCGCCAGAGCTGACTGGGGTTGTCTTCCCCGCAGGGCCGCGACAAGAAGGTGAGAGTCCACGCTTTCCGAGGGAGCTGTGCCCACCTCGGTCCGCTCGCTGCTGGGCCCCACCGCACCCGAGGGGATGGAGAGCCGCCTGGGAGGCCCCAGCGCTACCTGTGATCCCACGCTGGTCGGCCCTCGCTAGCTGCTCGAATTATCCGTTTTATCCACCACCGAGGCCTTGTCTCCTGAGTCAGTGGCGTTGTGGTTCGAAAGAAATGGAAGAAAAGGAGCGATGTGACCGATTCTGTTCGGTCCTCCTGCATTGAGGCCTGGTTGGCTTTTGCAGAGAGGAAAATATAGCAAGAAAATCGTGATTTTTTTTTTTTTTTTTTGGTTCTTGGAGGGGAGTGGGAGGGTAGGGTAGGAAAAGGGAGCACGGTTTTAGATTTTTTTCAAAATCTGCACTTTGACAGTGGTGGTGAACTACGCTAATCCAAAAGTTATTTTTTTTTAAGAAGAGATGGATTGTGTTTCCTTTTGATTCCAATTGTTTTTCCCCATGACAAAGCGTTAATCATGGACACCAGAAAATAAGGTGGACCTCAGGAATCCTGCAAAGACTGAGAAGGTCGCATTCTTCCTCTGGAGGGAAGGGTGGGGTGTTTTTAGCCCTCTCTGGAACCTAAAACGAAAACATGAGTTGCGTGCCATGGAAAGGAGACAAGGCCAAATCTGAATCACTGGAGCTGCCCCAGGCAGCTCCCGCACAAATCTACCATGAGAAACAGCGCAGGGAGCTTTGTGCCCTGCATGCCCTCAATAACGTCTTCCAGGACAGCAATGCATTCACCCGGGAAACGCTGCAGGAGATTTTCCAGAGGTAGGGGGCCCCTTCTTGGTTTCTTGATACTTTGTGCTATATCTGAATTTCTGTGGGTGGGGCAATGTCTCAGTTCTGTACACCTTCACACTAACAGGTATGATCATCTAGATGATGTTCTGAGCAGGTATGAGGGACACAGAATTGGAAAGATAGTCACTACCATTTATTGAGCACCTGCTATGGGCGAGGCACAGTGCTAAGAGCCTTGGTGCTGTCATGTCATGAGGATTTGGAGTGTTCCCATGGAATACGTGTTGTTACTTCCATTAAGGGATAAAGACAGGGCTCAGAGAAGTTCGGTAGTACTCCCAGGTAACATAGCAAGTGATGGAGCTGAGTTAGAATTCAGGCTTGTATCTGTGCTATTGACCACGATGCTATAGTGCCCTCAGGACTTTGTGGCCTAGGAGGGAACGAGGGACAAGATAAGTGCACACTCAGTCACCTGACATCGGAGGTGGAGTGGTGGCCTTGGTGCTTTTCATGCATTGTCTGGTGTAGCCTCCCAGCTGTTGTGCTGTCTCTGTTGTACTGACAGAGACACAGGCAGAAAGCTCGGGTAATTTGTCCCAAGAGCTTCGAAGTAGCTAGAAGTAGCAAAGCCGTGTTGGAAAGCGGACTCTTGGCCCCCTCCCTTTTCTACTTCATTCTAGATACCCTTTCTTACCCACTCGGCCGGGTGCTACCCACTCAGCCAGGTGCTACCTGACAGGTGGATGGAAGTTCAGTATTTTTCTCTCTGCTCTGATGCTCTAAAATTCTTTTTTCAATGGCTTGAGAAATTAATTCTGCGGGAACTAGTCCCCTTCAGCAAATGGAGCCCTGGCAGGTGAGGTGATTTGTCTCAGATCACCGAGTCATGTCAGCACGTCTGCAGCCCGTAGTGGCTTTGGCAGTGAGCCCGTCGGGTTCCTCCAGCCAGGAAGTGTTGGGCCTGCTTGGTTCTCAGTGCAGAGAAAACTCAAGAATTCTTCAAGTAGTGCATGTTGGCAGTTCCAGAAGACCCTTTTCTGACTCCCTTCACCCAACGATGAAATTATTGTCCCTGAAGGACCTGAATTACAACCGGAAACAGCCTTCTTGGGGTGATTTGTGAAGCCATAGGCATGGACCGTTTACCCTGAAAGAAACATAGTCCTCTCTTAGAAGAATGTTAATCCCAGTGTACCGACAAAGTTATAATGAGGTAATTATTTTTCACTGCCAAGAATAACCATAGTTATGCCTCAGCAGGGTGGATGTGTCATTTGCATTATGCCCATTATCTGGCAAATAGAATTAACTCTTCAGGAATCGGGGCCCTGGCAGGGGAGATAATTTGTCTCATATCACCATGTCCTGTATCTGAAAGGAGCAGAAAGGAGGCCCATCCACTAGACCGCTTCCTTTTGACCAGCCATTAATATTTCTTCTAAATTGAATATTTGCACATTATTTCCTAATGGAAGACTAGCAAGGCGAGGACTTAAATGTGCTTGGTACTTGGTAATACGTAGCAATCTTGCAATAAGGTAATGTGTAGCAATCTTGCAAAAACCTTATGATTCTGTTTAAGCAATTTGCCCAGTTTCACTCGCCAGTAAATTTCAACAGTCAAGGTTTTGTGTGTTCATAAGTTTTTCAGGACTGTAAAGTTGGCCCCCGGTCTTAAGACGACAGCGATCACTAACACAGGTGAACACTCTGTGCAAAGCACTGATTCCTGTGGTAACTCATTCCTCACACTGATCTTACAAGGTAGATTCTGTTACCTGTTCCCCATTTTTCCAAACGAGAAATCACAGCACAGAAGAGTTAACAGAGCCATCGATGGCAGGATTGGGACCCAAGCTTTGTGACTCCGGGGCCTGTCCTCCTCGCTGCCCTGTTGCTGAGTACCGGAAAGGCATGTCATGACGGTCGTGTCGTCGGTAGCTGTTCCCCTGCCAGTAAGCTGGTCTGGGTCTGAAGATGCGGGCTGTGGTTGTTGGCTGTGAATTACAGTGGGGGCCCTCTCGGCTGTGTTTCCCCTCAGTGAAAGAATGTTCAGTATTTGCTAAACACTCACCTGGAACCAGCGTTCTATTCCTGGCTTTTAAAGCTTTAGCAGGTTGTATTACACTGCCCTGTTCCCTATCAGCACAATGTAAAGATCCACCTTAAAGTCGCAGCAAACCAGTGCACAAAGGGAGTGTACCCTGTCCCCGTTCCCATCTGTATTCAGTGCTTTGTGTGAAGGGATTCTGTGGGGATGAACAGAAACAAAGGAACAAAAAGAAGCCAGAAAGGAATCAGAGGAAAAGCAAAGGGAGAAGAGGTGAGACAGGAAACGGAGTTTTTTAAGCAAGCATTCCTTGGCCGCCTGCAGTGTGGCAGGCACCACTAGGCACTGTCTGGAAAGGGCAAGGACTCCACGGCTGAGAAGAACGCACATGTCGACCAGGCCTGGAGGACAGGCTCGAGTAAAGTTAGAGCCAGGGGATTTAGAACAGTCTGAAGGGAAAAGGCGGTCTCTGGATCCTAACGGAAAGGACAGTAATGATGGCAGCTTCAACTAGACCATCTGAAATTCTACGACCTGAAGTTCTGTGGTTTTTGAAGATGTGCTAATGAATAGTGGAAATGAGGAAAATTTTTACTAATGTCATTTGTTGAGAGGAAATTCATCCTGGCAGCTGAACTTCAGCCAGATAAAAGAGAAACACAAAGCAGGGTGGAGCTGCAGTGCAGCCGTGAGAGGGTGACTCATGTTGGGAATGGAAGCGAACGGGGACTTAGGGAGAACTGAGCTCGTAGCTTGGCAGCGTGGCGGGGACGGGAAAGAAAGAGGAGTCGAAGGTGTGGCAGGCCCAGTCCAGGGTTGGGAGGTGGTGGTAGTGCCCCCTGTGATGGCAAAAAGAGGTTGGAAAATGGTCAGGTTTTGATGTGAAGTTAGAGAAAAGGTTAGAAAGAGGGCCAGTGGCATCACTGCGCGCATGTGTAGATAGGGATATTTCATCATCTCAGACGTTTTAGCATTTGCGTCTATACATCGAAAAAGAAAGAACTTAGAAGTTAAACAGTATGGTATCAGCTTTGCAAGGTTGTTTTGAAAGCCCTTGGGTGTCAAACATTTTCACTACATTTGTCTCAATTTTTCAGTGCTCAGATGTTCTTGTAGCTAGGTATGTGTTCCTTTCCCCACTAAAATAGCTATTAAAATCTAAATAGATGAAAACTAGCTTGGTACTGGGGGAGAGACCTCGTGAGGTGGGAGGGACAGAGACCGATGCACAACCAGCACTCTCTACCACAGAGGGGAAGTCCTCCCGCCTGCCTGTTAAAAGGCCCTGAGCAGGTGGCAGGGGCCACGCGTTTAAGGCATGTGGTTCTAAGTTGAGAAAAGGTGGTGGTGAAGGCTAACCTGTAGAGATTCGACGTGTCTCTCCCCGGGTGGGGCAGACGCCATCACTCGCATAGCCAGCATCTACCGGCTACTTCTGAGTGCCTGGCCCTGTGATCTGTACTTGATGTACACTTCAGTGGTTTACAGGCACAGAGAGTTCTGAGCCGTAGTTCCTAATGTCACTACATCTGTTCAGATCTGATAAAAAGGGAAGTAATTAGAGGAGAAAGGCATGTGGATGAATGTCTACACATCTCCTTTTCATTAAAGTCTGAAGTCACCAGCAGAGCCAGACACGGTGGTAACCACGGGAGAGGACCTGGATTGAACTGGGGCGTGAGACCTGGACTGGAGCCCATCTCTCACCTGCAGATCCTTCACATCTCATGGCTCTAAGCTCTGGCTGTGACGACAGTGAGGAGCCTGCTTAGTGGTCCAGAATATCCAATGAATTCATTAAGAGAGTCAGTCCCGAACAGGAGTTTGCCCAGGAGTCTCAAGAAAACCATCCGTTGGAACAGAACAGGATCCTATGGAATTCTGTGGGACCAGTGCGTCACAGTGTCCAGGAGGCTGTTTGGTGTGGCCTTATCTCTGTTCAGAGTTAGGAGGTTGCATCCCGGCTCTGCCACTCACTAGCTGTAGGTGGCCAGCTGCTTACTGTCACTCCTCTGCCCCTAGTCTCCGTAATTACACTGTGGGGTCGATCTCCATCTCAAAATTGTTGGGGGAATTAAGTGGTAAAGCTGATCAAAGTAGCTGGTACCATGGGCTCTTAATTACTGTTGACAGTGGGCACACTGGTGGGCCCCACTTACGCAAATGACCACTCTGGAATTAGAGGGAGGCCATTGTCACATGTCCCGTATTGACCAGTTTGACCCAGCAGATGTTCATTCAGCCACCAGTGCCGACCTGTGAGGGATACAGAGGAGAAGGGCCATTTCCTGTTTGTCTGGGCACGTGAGAAATAACTGAGTTCTTCAATGGACCTGTGAAATAGGAATTACTCCCATTTTTACAGATAAGCTGATAGGCATGGAGATTAAATCTCACAGTTAGTACTGATGCTGCCTGGGTATGAACTCAGATACAGTCCTCCCAGTCCCCCTCCTTTTCTACTACAAAGGAGCCAGACAGGATTCCACGGAGGAGGCAGTATGTGAGGTTGAGCCTAAAGAAGCGACAGGGTTTGACTTGGGACAGGAAGTGGGACGGAGGAATGGAGGCCTCGTGGTCGCAGTGCCTGAAGTGCACTAAAGCCCAGTGAGGGAAGCAGCAGGCCGAGCAGGGCTGCAATTGGCCAACCAGGCACTTGGCTTCATTGGCACTTTTCTTTTTGCTTTTCTTTTCTTTTTTTTTAATTTTAGAAAGAGGGAATGGGAGGGAGAAAGAGAGGAAGAGAAACATCAGTGTGTGAGAGAAATAATGTGTTGCCTCTCACGTGCCCCCACTGGACACCTGGCCCGCAACCCAGGCATGTGCCCTGACCAGAACCAGTGACCCTTTAGTTTGCAGGCTGGTGCACGTCCACTGAGCCACACCAGCCAGGGCTCCATGGGCATTTCTTATATAAGAGAGTGAACTGACACCTTGGTGTCCATGGCAGGAACACGTAGGTAAATTGGAGAAGGAAGAGCTTGAAAGCAAGGAGGTCAATTCAGGACCCTGTTTAAAAGTCCAGGCGTGGAAAGACAGACTCAGAGAGCAGGCTCACGGCTCTGGGGTGGTGGGGTTAGGGAGTGGAGGGGTCGAGCGAAAAGGAAAAGGGACAAGGGTGTGGCGATGGGGGGCGGGGTGGAAATGGAAGAGGGTGTAAGAGGAATGAGTAAATAATGGTAGTGGGAAAAAATACCAAAAAAGTGTCCAGGTGAGGGGCCTCCAGGTAGGGGAGAGAGTGAGAGGAGACAGGAAGGGACATGAAACTGAGCAGGTGTCAGACAGAAAAGGCCCTTGCAGGACACACCTCCCAAAAACTGTGCGTGTGGTTGAACATGTTTGAGAACTGAAAGATGCCCCCCACTTAAGGCTCCAGGTGGTGGGAGGAGGTGGGGGACGGGGTGAAAGATGGCGGAGGGGTCAACTGGAGAACACCGACGCGTCACCCACGGACACAGAGGACCTAAGTGAATATTACTGCGTCAGGGGTTCCGAGAATTCTTGCAGCAAACCTGTTTTCTTGATTTACGCAGCCATTGTATTGAATGTTTTCTCTAGCACACTTGGGAAAGCACAGCCGTGAGGTTTGAGCCTGGGAGGGACTTAGGTGGTGAAAGAGGAGGCAGACTCCGCAGTTTCTTTCGTGGCGCCTACATGAACCTACTGGCTGGAGACTGCTCTGGAAGTAATGAGAAAAGGGGGCGAGGGGACGGGAGCCTGGTGTGTGTTGAGCTGGGCTTCCTTTCGTGGGCTTCCGCATTTAATCCGAGTGCCTGAGCCTCGGTCCGGTTAAGCCACATTTCAGCCCAGGCCCCAGGGGCTCCACTGGCCTTCGTTCTCATCACCTTGCCACTGCCATTCCGATCGTGGATCCTTGCTGTAAGACAGGCACAGCGCTGGCTGCATTGTAACAGGTTTGCATTTGAATCCTAGCACTGTCACTTGAAAGATAAGTGATCAGGCCTGGCTGGTGCGGCTCAGTGGGTTGAGTGCCAGCCTGCAAAACAAGAGGTTGCTGGTTCAATCCCCAGTTGGGGCACGTGCCTGGGTTGCCTGATCCCCTGTTCTGGGTGTGCAAGAGGCAGCCAATTGATGTTTCTCTCCCCACTTTTCCTCTCTAAAAATAAATAAAATCTTAAAAAGAAACAATATTAATAAAGAAAGATAAATAATCAGGGACAAGTCATTCAAACTTGAATTTTTTAAACCTATAAAATGGAGATGATTCATAGCCTCATAGGCTTATTTTGAGGATTAAATTAGATGCATATGAAAGCCTGTCATGGGCTTGGCACAGACATTTTCAAAAACTGGTAATTATCGTTACAGGGAACGCACGTTTTGGTTGCAGGTTGGGACTTAGTGTCTTCGGATACCTTTGCTAGCTCTGGGGACAGGAGCGCAAGCCCTTCCCACTTTAAGGGCCCTACTGCTGTTTTCAGGGAAAGAGACAGAATGACAAACAGAGCGTTTCCACAACATTCCTTAAGCACCTGTCATGTGCCAGGCACCCTGTGGGCCCCGGTGATGTGGCATCAACAGGACGGAGAAGGCCCCTGTGGTCCCTGCTGTGCCTCTGGTGTGGAAAAACACAACTGAGAAGATGTGTCAGGTAGTGACAAGGGCTGGAATGTAACTGAAGGAAGTGCCTGGGAGAAACCTACGGTTGGGTGGTCAGAGGAGGCCTCTAAAGTGATAATACTTGGGACCCAAATGATGAGCAGACCAAGTGACGACCTAGGGGAGAGTATCCCAGATGGTGGCAACCATGGGCGGGTACAGAGGCCCTCGGTGAGCCAGAGCTCTGTGTGTGCAAGAAGCTGAGGAGGTTGTGTGGTAGGAGGTGCGATGAGGTCAGCAGGACCCCGAGGCCTTGGCAGGCCAAGGGGAGGTAGTGCAGATTGCAGTTCAGTGTTTGGGGGCCATTAGAGGGTTTAAGCAGTGGCAGGAATATTTTCTATGTTGAAGAATTACCTGTCTTTGTTGTATATAGAAGTTGTATAGTTTTTATGAGATTTCTTTAGTTTTCAGAACTGACCTAAAGTCTCATTCTGGACACAGCATTGAGCAGCCTCCTGGACGCCTCTGCTTCTACTGCCCACTTCCCTTCCTCCGCACTTGCAGCCCTGCCCATCAGGGTGGCTGTTCCTCGGGCCCTGGCCTGACAAGCCTGTGAAAGCAAAATGCAGGATTGGAAATGCCTTTGAACTGGCCTTGCCTTGAGATGAAGGCGTGGCTAAGAAGCGGGGCCAAGAGTGGCTTTTAAGCGGCTGGGTGAGCGAACCAGACTGCAGTGGGGTTTTGTTTGTCTGGCACCAACATTTTTTTCAGCCGATTCTCGGTGTTTTCAGGTTTTAAAAAATTCTCATTTATTTCACACGTGGACGTATGCATTCAGCATGCTTCCGGTGGGTCACACACCCCACTTTAACATAGGCCTTACTTCTTTTTATTGCTTTGCATCTGGCCCCAGCTTGCATTGAACATTTAGGCTGCCTGCCTGGGCCCCTGTAGGCCTTTGAGCATGAAACAATTAATTATCATCAAGTGTGCAAGCCTTGAATAGAAAGCATTTGAGCTTTAAAAAAAAACAAGAGTAACAGATACTACCCATGCAGATATCAAATACTATTTTCCATTGTTAAAAGAAAGGCTTGTATCATGGCCGGAAAATCAGCAAGGAAAGAGACTGCAGAGATGAGTGGGCCCGGGATTTCACAAAGGAGGTTGTTCCATGGACACTGTGCCCATGGACTCCACTGTGGACATGCTTTCTAAATGAAGGTATAGACCCCATCTCTGTGAACTACTGTTTTGCATAAAAAGAGGGCTAATCCCTAGGACAGTAGGAGCCCAGCCTACAGGAGTTTGTTGAAAGTTGGTTACAGTTGACTTGAATGGAGGAAACGAGCTTCCAGGGGACAGTGGCACAAAGGCCGTTTCTGTCTCTGGTGGTGCGGGCTCACGAGGTGTTAGGCTGATCAGCAGGGCTCAGCCCTCCTCTCACATCTGTAGGTTGTCTCCAAACACCATGGTGACTCCCCACAAGAAGAGCATGCTGGGAAACGGGAACTACGACGTGAACGTCATTATGGCAGCACTGCAGACCAAAGGCTACGAAGCGGTTTGGTGGGACAAGCGCAGGTAACTTTAACGAGTCTTGACTTGGGAACCGGCAGGCAGGGTATGAGGGAGGAGGTAGGTGGCACTTACGGTGTGACAGCCGGGAACCTTGAAGGGTTGGCCGCCTTGGGGCCTGACACTGCCCCTCCTCCGCAGGGATGTCGGTGCCATCGCTCTCACCAACGTCATGGGCTTCATCATGAACCTGCCCTCCAGCCTGTGCTGGGGCCCGCTGAAGCTGCCTCTGAAAAGGCAGCACTGGATCTGTGTTCGAGAGGTGGGCGGTGCCTACTACAACCTTGACTCCAAACTGAAGATGCCCGAGTGGATTGGAGGCGAGAGCGAGCTCAGGTGCCTGTGGGGGCTGATGTATGGGGAGGGCTCCTGCTGCATTGGGGAATTCCAGCTCCTCTTTGGTTGGCAAAGGAAGTGCAATTCCTAGCTTCTTGGACCTCTCTCTGCCTTACTTGGAATCATAAGGTCTCAGACTTGAAAGACCTGAGTCTTTGATGGCCTATGGAGTTCCCAATCTGGGATGCTGGCCTTCTGGTCTGGTGGTACCGGCATGGTAGTGTCACCAACACTCAGACAGCAGTGACTGCGAAGCTGCCAGGTCAGAGGAAGGAAAACGTTCAGGCCAGAGAGGGTGAAATTTTTGAGACCAATGAAGGAACTTTTTTTATTTTTAACAGTTGGAAGTCCTTTAGAGTACTTTGGGCTGGCTGTCACAGAACTAGCTGCCTTTGACGATATGAGGGACATCAGAAGTTCAGGCTGAAAATCTAACTGGACAGACTGAAGGGATGGAAGACTTGGAGGGAGATCTGTTCCTCCAAGAACAGATCACTGCGAATGTTCTTTAGGATTGCCAGGAGTACAAATAATGGTTACTGGTGAACGTAGGGCACCAAGACTGGAATTTGCCATTTTACCAGCTTCTTTTCCCCCCCATAGGAAATTTCTAAAACACCATTTGCGAGGCAAGAACTGTGAACTCCTGCTGGTGGTACCAGAAGAGGTGGAGGCCCGTCAGAGTTGGAGGGCAGACCCGTGACAGTTCTGTCCAGCCTCCGTCCCGTCTGCCCGAGCCCTCTGTGATGTGCTGTGGCCTGTGCAGTGGGTCTGCCCCCGCCACTCCCCCAAACATCTCAGGGGGTCTCTCCCCACAGATCTGACAGTGCAATAGGCCAGATGTGTGAAATGTCACAAGAACCAAGCAGTGTTCCTTGTTCCTAGGAAGGGAAAGTAGGGGCTTTCTGTGTACGGCAAGTGGCTTTCATTTGAAGAGAGGAGGGGGAAAGGTGGGTCCTAGCTTATTTCTCCCTTTCCTCTGAGGACTTGACAGAGGCTCTGCTGGAGTTCACTGCCGCTCTGACCTACTTGGAGATGCTGCCTCCATTTCCCCTTTCCTGGCAACCAGTGGGTCTGAAGACACAGTACATGCAAAGCCCGTGTGACTGGTTTAAAGGACCCAGAGCAAAAGGGCCTCTCAGGAAACGGTCTTCACAACCCCAGCAGCAGTGCAGCGTGCTGTCTCCAGCCCTCAGTGCCACCCCTCACCCTGTTTTTAAGGGTGGTTTGTGGCCACCCTTGTGGAGTTTTTTAACGCAGAGTTCTCTAAATTTCATACGGAGTGGTTGAATCCTGCGACGTGGGAGTGTGACAGGGTGAGCTAGACCCCTAAGAGGACTTGACTAAACCTCGGTGGGTGTGGCCACCCCGGCTGCCTCACTCCAGCATTGTCCCTGCCACTTCACTACAGTCATTTGGGAGGCTCTGGGGCACAGATAAGCAAAGGGGCAGTTTTCCCAGTGGCAAAAACTGGAAAAATATAAGCCTGCCTTCAACGTCAAGTTCCACTAGTTGAAGCAGAGTTGGATGAGGAAAGTATTGTGAAGAGACTAGCTAGAGTCGGAAGTCCTGGGCTCCGAGTCATCACAGTGACAAGCAGAGTCCTCAAGTCAGGTGGTCATGTGCATTATGTTACAGGACCTGGGTTTGTCATCTTGCTGTGATTTCCTTTACAAATCAACTGAGAACCGACCACCCCAAACCTCTTTTAAGTAGTTGCAGGCCACTTTCTTCCTGTAACTTTGGAAAACAGGAGGGGGGAGTACATGCCACACACATTGCATGTCACCAAAATGGTTATAATTGCCTCAAGGCAGGTGGGCAGGCAGAGATGACCTGTCTGGCCCTTGCAGATTGATGGTCTCGCCAGGCCTGAGAGCTGCTGACTTCTCCAGCAGTAAAGCCAGCCTGCGGCTTGCACGTCAAACGTGAGGAGGCCAACTGGGACGAAGCCGAGGCTTTCTCCTCCCCACTGTGACTGGAGTGCATGTTTACACCAGCACTTTTTCTGCACATGTATCTTCAACACGGCTGTTTTCTATGCTTAGTAAGAGGGCACTAAGCAGCTACTGCATTACACCATCTAAGCAACTGACTGCAGTCTCTTCTGTACCATTTTCTACATCTGACCTGCTTGGCACCACAGAGAGCTCTTTACCTTACCCCTGCACAATGACATTCTGACCACCACCAGCCAGAAGTTACAGCCAACCTTGCTGATTGTCGCAACCAGGACCTTGGCTCCACCGGCACTGTCAGGGACAGATAGTCATTTCCTGGGAAGAGGGGGAAACTCCTCCAATCTGCTTGGACCTGTGCAGATGGCACTTCAAAGGAGTCCCTGTGTCCTTGGAGTCTATGAGCCAATGGGATATGCAAAGACGCTTAAACATTTCAGGGCTGGTTTCTCTGTTCATATCCAATTCTGGTGCTTAGAAACAGGGATCCATGCTGATGCCCAAGGGTGAAAGCCCCATTTCCTTTGAAGAAAGGGGCAGGCCTGACCCTGATGCCCAATGAGGGGCGATCCTAGGCTTTTTGTTTTTCTTGCTTTTATTCCCCACCCTTTTTTGTTGGCCTTGTGCTGGGTTTGTTTACAAAAGATGTATTTTGTTTAACCAAATATTAAAAATGGAAAATCCGTAATAAACCTCACACCTCTGAATTCTGTAATTCCGAACTTAAAGGAACAAAGGGTCAACAGTGTGATGCTGCACAGTGTGAAGGAGGAATTCACTCACATCCACAAGCCACTTTAGAGATACACTGTGCTCTGGTGCAGTTTGTGTTTCTGCCCTGAAATGGTCTAACTTCGAGGTATGTATGTATTAGAAGTACACAACATAACACTTTGGGCCGGAATCATTTTTAATATTTAAATACAAAAGTGAGCATTGACTCTTACTGTCTTACACACACAGGGGTCTAACAGCCAAAATGTGCAGCAGAAGGAAGCTGCTCTGCCCTCCCGTCCCCATCCTGTGCTTTAAAGCTGCTGCCAGCCAGTCATCTTTTCCAAAATACAGAGAAATTCACAGTGGCTTTTACACTGCAGCTATAAAGTGTTTGTGTTTCTTACGGTGTGCATAGCAACAGTCAGCAACGGTCAGGGGTACGTCCTTCCCAATGGCCCCCACATTGAACTACTGAGATCTGGTCAGGAGTCAATTAGCAAAAGACATGGGATGGCCAGAGTGGAGGACCCGTCTGCGCTGCCGCACTCTGCTATCAGAGTGAGGACAGAAGTAGTAAGTCAGGACAGCTTGGAGGGCACAGTTGCAAGTAGGGAGTCTCCATGAGATGACATGGGGAAAATTCTCCCAACCAGGTTTGGATAGGTCAGTGTACCCAAGTTAAAAAAAAAAAATCAGGAGTTCAAACACTATTGAATTTTCAAACTTCTGCCAAGACAGGTCAGGTCAAATAGCAGTAACAATCTAGATCTTCCCAGGAAGTGAAGGTAGAGCCCCTGGCATTCCTCCTGACAGCCCTGTGTTAGGCCCTAGAAGTATCTGGAACAGAAAAGGAAGGATATAAGGCACTGCACAGGCCCAGGGATCTCAGTTTTCCTCCTACATAATGGGCATACAAGCGCTACAAAACAATGCTGATAACACAATCAAGAACATGGAATAGATCCCAACCTCTACCCACACATGAACTGCTGATCCACCCAGGTGCGGGAACCGTAACCAAGTTGTGGCTCCATCGCTGGCAAAAAACCCAGGGCCTGGGCTCACCTGCCGTTGCTGCAGTTGCTGCTGCTGTTCCATCTGCAACTTCTCAGTCTCAAAGACAACAGGAAGAACGAGGATCATGAAGGAAGTTGTCCCGATCCACAAGGCTGCCCTGGAAAACCTGCAGGAGTATTTGACAGCACGATGGTGAGGCAAAACCAGGCACCTGCACCAAGAAGGAACAAAGTTTCTCACGCTATGTAGGCCAGTATTTTTGATAATCGTATTCTATCTGACTCTTGCACCATACTCCGACCAGAAACAGGAGCAGCAGTGCTGGTAGCTGTGCATCTAGTGAGAGCGGTTTTAACATTCTCCTGAGTTCTTACAGAGATATGAATACGTTAATTAACTCACCTATTCTAAAACGACCCTAACAAGGCCCCTGCCCGACAAGAATCCCTACTTTATAGAATAGCTAACTAAGACTAAGAAAGGTTAAGGTACCACAAGTCCAAGGTCACACTCAGTGACCTTAGGTGGCAGGCTGGCTCCCAACCCAGGTATGCTACCGCCAAAGCCCGTGTTCATTCATGGCACCCCAGGCACACCCCGCCGTCTTTGCCCTTGTCCCTTACCTGTACATTTTTTGAGCCACAAACAGGGAGAGGTCAAAAGTGGCTCCGGCCGCGGACCGGATCCTCTCCGGAAACATCTCCGTCAGACCCCAAAGTCTTTCCAACAGGGTCTCATCCGGCTGTGGTGGAGGAGGTCGGAGTCTTGGCCAAAGCGGCGATTACCTCCTCCCGACGCCCGGACACGCCGAGCCGCCCCCCACCCCCACCCCCACCCCGGAGCTAGGGCACCCTGGGCCAAAAAAAGCCCCAGCCTCCGCTTCTCGGAGAAGACGCTCGGACCTCGCCAGGCTCAGCTACGCGCTTTTGCCCCGGTACCGCAGCACGCGGAGCTCAAACTCCCAGGCAGGACGCTCCCGTCCGGAATCCCGCTTCCCGCCCCGCCCTGCGGGGCCCCAGTACCTCCTCGTCGTCTTCCTCTTCCAGCTCCTCCTCAGTCCTCTCAGCATCACCCTTCGGAGGCAATTCGTCTGGGGACAGGGGAGCTCCAGGGCCAGCGGCGGCGACGGCGGCGGCCATGGCTGTAAGGAGACACCGGAACCGGAAGAAAGGCGTGTAACGAGGAGCGAGGGATAGAGCGCCCTTCCGGGAGCTGGAGACTGGAACGCTGCGGGCGAGCGACGCCCTCTGGCCCGCAGTCAGAAGGCGGCTGAAATTTCAGTGGAAATGGGAACATCGGGGAAACTTGCTAAATGATGGAGTAATTCTGCAGTAATTTTGGCTAGGGGGTTTCGCGGGTCCAGAAACCTGCATTTTTTAACACACCTCCCACGGATCTCATTTATTTTATTTTTAATTATAGATTAATGTATTTTAATAGCAAACTTACAGGAACAGCCCAGAACACATTAAAAATGTGCCTGCATGTAGACAACTCAGAAAAGTATAGTGAATGGATGAAACCGACTGTGTGATAAAAATGCTACAAACACCATGTAATTGCCATCAATAAGAAATTTACTTGTTTTTAAAGATCCAAAGCTGACATCATCCAGAAAAATGTAGCAGGGTTATTTATTTATATTGTCATCAAGTTGAACTTGTAAAATTGTTCACTGGAACATTTTGACTTGTATTAATGCGTTATATCCCCACACTTATATTTTAAAAGTTCATACACAAATGAAAATGGAAAAACTGCCAACACCTGATTTCTGTTCCCTATACTTAGATACCTTTTGACTCCACAGTGGGGGTGCAGGGGGAGAGGGTGGGAAGAGAAAACATTCAGAACTACCAACAACAGGAAGAGAATTTTTTTAAAGGAAATGTTTTCCATCATAGTGGATTTTTAAGCAAGTATGCGGCATGCTAGCTGGATGTCTTTTGGCATAATTGTTACATGGTTGCCACGGAGAGCAGAGCACACAAGTTGGTGTTTTCAAAAAGGCCAGACCAGACAGGCCTCACTTGCCTCCTGCAAAGCACCAACAGCTGCACTCTGGAAGTGCAGACCTGTTTTCAAGTCCTGAGCAATTTCTTGCACCAAACGGCTGGAAGGGAATGGAAGGGAAGTTTGCGGCTGGAAGGGAAGTTTGCGAATAAAAAGTGCCAGTGCCTTTGGCCCCATTACATGGCACTCTCTCCTAGGACCTACTCCACTAGTTTGGCTAAAAAAAAAAAAAATAAACGACTCCCTGATCAGCAGATTTCTCCCTATTCTCCTAATGAGTGTTTCTGGAGGTCTTCACTTCCTTCTCCGGTTGACACTCTTCAGTTCATTCAATTCCTTCTTCATTATTTGGAATTCGGCAGTGGTCTCAGAGAACTGAAAGTAAAGCAGCAGACTGTTAGAAAGGACATTTCTGGGCTCTTTCAGGTTTTCCAAGACTAGCCCTGTGCACTGGAGAAAGGCCCTGGGCATTTCTCTAACACTGCCAGCCAGCCTCCATGACAGGAACCGCTTTGTAACTGGGCAGAACCACTTCAGGTGCTTGAAGAACACAATCTACTCCATCAACGGTTTTTAAAAAATAACTTAAAAATATATATATTTAAGAGATTTTATTCATTTATTTTCAGAGAGAGGGGAAGGGAGGGAGAAAGAGGGAGAGAAACATCAATGTGTGAGAGATGCATCAATCGGCTGCCTGTTGCAGCCCCCCGTTAGGAACCTGGACTGTAACCCAGGCATGTGCCCTGACTGGGAATTGACCAGCGATCTTTGGTTCGAAGGTCAGCACTCAATCCACTGAGCCACACCAGCCAGGGCTCCATCAACGTTTTTGATCACCTAGGATTGCATGGCACTCACTGTGTTAACAGCAGCATACCCCAGGAGATGAAAAAGGCAGACACTGGTGATTCTAAGCTAAAGGAATAATTGCTTCTAAGCTGTAGCTCCCATGATGCATAGGGTGAAAAATGCTTCAAAAAAAGAATACTGGTTTCCTCACCGGAATCTTTCAATGGACTTCAGATACTCACGACAGGGACAGAAAGAGAGAGAGAGAGAGACACTCTCTGAAGTAGAGGTCAGCTTACTATGAAGTAAGAGCTACACTTCCTGAGCAATCCACTATCCTGAATGTTTTCCTTGTATGATTAACTCACTACTAGTGACTCCCACTATCATGCGTAGTTAATTGCTGACAAAACTAAGTTCTTCACACAGATCTCAAAAGTTGCCTAAAGTCACACGACTGGTATGCAGCTGGGCAAGAAGCCAGGAAGTTTAACTCCAGACCACACACTCTTAACCACCCCAGTGTACACTCTCCTGCTTCTCAATCGGACTCCTGTGTATCTCTAGGCCCAACAGGCTGCTGGGCTTTGTTGTTGTTGCTGTTTTAATCCTCAGCTACAGAAATGTTTATTGATTTGAGAGAGAGAGAGAGAGAGAGAGAGAGGAAGCGGGTGGAGAGAGAGGGAGTGGGAGGGGGAGAGAGAGAGAAACATCCATCAGCTGCGTCCCTTAACGTGCCCCACCCGGGATCAGACCTGAACCCAGCTGTGTGTCCTGACTGGGAACAGGACCCACAGCCTTTCTGGTGTGTGGGCCGATGCTTCAACCCACTGAAACATGCCAATGCGGCCAGGGTGCCTGCTGGGTATTTAACAGTCACAGGAAATAGATGCTGGTACAGAGAGCTCCTGGGCAGGTCTGCGCCAGGCACAGGCGAAGGCCTGCACAGGACAGGACACCTCTAAGCCATTAGCAGACAGTCCTCCCTCCCTTTATCCCAGCCTCCCTTTATTGTTATTCCTCATTCAGCTCAACTGCCCCTTCCTGTGTGGCGCCCTCCTGGCTCAGAAGAACTCTCACACACTAACACCAGGCCCTGTACAGACTCTGAATGTCACCTTGACCATGAGAAACTGTCATTGCCTTTGTCCTCCATCTCCCCCCCTCTGCCCCCCACTAGACTGTGAGTGCTTGAGGGCAGGGACTATGTCTGATTTCGGTTTGTATCTTTGGATGCAGAGCAATGTACCTGGGCAACTGGCACTCACAAGGTATGAGCTGCACAAACTGACTTGAGGTGGAGCCTCCCTTGGAAGGAAAGCCCAGGCAGCCCTTCCCATCACCTTCCTCACCATGTCAAGCAGGAGGTCCACTTTCATCTGCAATAAACTGTTCTCTTCTTCCAACTGCTGGTTCCGCTTCCGGAGGCGCAGAGCCTCCCTCTGGTCCACACCTCCACTAATCCCTGCCTCTGGTGGAAAGACAGAGGTGGTGTTACAAGGAGGGTTTCCTCCCACAGTCCTACTACAAAAAAATGGCAGGAAATCAGCACACCTGCTATCCAATGGCCATTTTCAAACTTCAGGTTTTGTCCAGCCAGGTTCATAGTGGGGGTTCCATAGTCAAGGCCCAGCTCCACCTCCCGGGCTGACCGATCCAACTGTGGGTGAGACACTGCGTGCCACTTCAGGTGGCCACGGCCCTCACACCCCAGTCCCAACACCTCTCCTAACCACAGGACCCCGGTAACTCCTTTCTCTCCTTGTTCATTACCCAACACATTTAACAATGTTTTTTGAAGTCAGAAAATCAAGTAATGTGTGACAAACACTTTTAAACTATAAGAGAAATGACACATACTGCTTTATATAATAGATGTTTTCTGAAAAAAAAAAAAAAAAAAAAAACTATATATGTTGAAATTTGTAAAATGAATTATTTCACATCTACTGTGAAAAATCCTTTTCAAGTGTAATAAGCCCAAGTTATCAGCTGCTTTCTGTGGAGGTATATACAGGGTTGAGCAAAAGTAAGTTTATAGTTATGAATATGCAAAACATAGTTTATTCCTGTATTATTACCTATGAATTACTGCATTACTTTCCATACGGACAACTGTAAACATACTTTTGCCCACCCACATCATGGACAAACATAAAATGCTAACACCCTGCTGGTGGTAGCAGCTGTTCTCTACGTATTTTCTGACGTTTCTCCTCCTCACTGAGCACCCGCGTCAGGGGGTGTTCTCTCAGCACAGGGAACATCGTGCTGGGTGTTCAGAGAGAACTCCACCAGCTCTGCCCTTGAGGAGCCTGGACACTGCCTCGGGAGCTGTGACGGAGCCTTCTGCATGCCATGAATGGTGGCAAAACACCGTCTTTTCAGAATGACTTGATTCTTAGACGTGATTGAAATCGATCCCTGGCTACGTCTTAGGAATAAAGTGAAGTCAAACTGGATAATACAGGGAGCCAACGATCACAAGACTAGACTGACTGCCTTACTAGGTTCCTGAACAAGCTCTGACTGATTTCCACAGAGGAGTTAGAAGTGATGTTAGCAAGAGCAGCATGAATGAAGAGGATGCCCCCTCCCTGATGCCTCTAGGGGACCCCGCTCCCCATCCGGGACCAGGCTCGCCACTCAGTCACACGCATACTGGGCTGCCCCTCCTCCTGACACTCACGTTATGCAGGTTGGACAGAGAGGCAGACTTCCGAGGCGGAGTCTTCTTTGGGCTGAACGTGTTCCCAAAGAGAGGCATCTTTGGCCTGACCAAGGAAAGGTCGATGTTCCCTGTGCTGAGAGAAGAACAAGTCACAGGTACAAACAGTGGAGTGAGCGACTTTATGTTACTGCCCTAAAATCACTGCAACATACATCCTCTGTGGCTATTCACAGCCCTGGCAGTGGCCCCCACATGTCGAGTACTCGCCATGTGCCAGGCGAGCAGAGGCTACAACCTCTGCATGGAGATCTCAGCTCTCACAACCAGCCTCTGTTGGCTCCTCTCTTTATTCCCATTTGACAGATAAGGTTTAGAAACACTAAGATCCTAAAAGGGAGCTAGAATTTGAACACAGGCGTGTGTGGCTCTACAGTTTCTGTTAACACAGGCAAGTGCCTGACTTGTCACAAACTGACATCAGATTCGCAGTCTGGAGCAAAGGATGCAATTCTACTTACACCCGTACAATGGCGAGAATCACCCTAGGCAACAGCCTGGGCATAGACTCCGTTTCAAAGAAATGAAGCTGTATTTATACTTCACTTTCAGGTGGATAACAGTGCCCCTCACTCAGTGTATATTCAAAGGTCACCTGTCCTGTAGGTAGGTGAGGCGTCCAGTGGAAGGAGGAGGCCCATAACATGGCAGAGCTGACATCATCAGTATCTAACAGATGAGGAAAAGGAAGGGTCTGCACTCGTCCCCTTTTAAGTCAGATCCCATCATCCACAAACAGCTCTGGCAGAGACCCATGGGAACATTAGGGCGGACCTGGAGGTCCCCTTGGCAGCCTTCTTTCTGGTGGAACTCCCCGGGGAGAGTGGACCCGGTGGGCTCAGCTCAAAAGAAGTGAAGAGAGCATCTGGGTCCCAACCACCACTGTGCGCTCCTCCGTCCCCCAAGCGGAACCCTGGGCCGCAGGCTTCTTTATTTGTGATCAGGGAAAACAACAGAACCAGACCCACGGGTGGTTAAAGCGCTTCGGTGTTTATAAAAAGCCGTGCCGTGTGATGCTTACAGCAACCCAAGGATGTCCCCATCTATAAATCAGGGAACGGAGGCTTAGGGAAGTTTACTAACTTGCCCCCATCAACCGCGGGAAGGTGGTGGAACTGGGCTTCAAAACAAAGCCTAAAGCTCCGCGCCGACGAAGACAATCACTGCATAACTGTGCAGCGCTCTACAGTTTGCAGCGGGCCATCAACCTCATTATCTTATTTTAACCTAACAAGAAAGTGAGCCTTCGGCTTTCATCGGATTCCCAAAGGGATCCGCGCCACCCAGGGTTCAGAGCCAGCCAAGTAATTGCCGCGCAGGTACCCGGCTCCCGCCACACGGCCAGTGGGTTCAGTGGACGGCAGCGAACAAACGTTCGTTCGCGTGCGCTTCACAGCCCACCTACGGGAGGAATTACTATCCCAATTTACAGTCAGGGTCTGTCACCAGCCTGGGGTGAAGCCTGCCTTCGCCCCCGGCCCGGCGCCCTCGGGCCGCTCCAGCTGCCGGGAGGCGCTGGGTCCCCTAGGGAGCGCCCGGACATCCTACCCTTCTTCAGCCCTCCGGAGACACCGGGATGGAGGCGTACTCTACAGGTTCCAGAAATCGAATTTCAAATAAACGCCTATCCCACCCGCAAGGCGCCCCGGCGGGTTCGCGGTCCCCGCGGGCCACGCCACCGCCCGCCCGCCGCGCGCATGTGCAGCCCCGCCTCGGCCTCTACCACCGAGAAAGTGGGGGTGCCAGGCGCGGCAGAGCCCACATCGAGAGCCTTTGAGAAGCACCAGAAACCCTCGAGGAGTGCTCTTGATATGTTAAATGGACTCCACAAAGGGACTGTCTTCTGGAGTCATTTACATGTTTCCTTGATATAGGATAGAACGAGGAACAACACTCGCTCTCCCCACAGACCCACAGTCTGGTCACTCTAACTTACTCAGGCCGTCACCTTGGTAACCGCGTCTGGCGGCCGCGCACGAAGGTTCCATTGTTGTGGGATAGGGGGATATGGAGGTCGCGCCCGGCGTTGCCTGGGGAATGCAGGGGCTCATAGTAGCAAAATGGGCCTCTCCCTGTTTGCCCCTCTGCTCTTCTTCCTTGCGACCGCAAAGCAAAGGGCACCCCTTCCTAGTGGGTGTAAGGGCAACAGGCGTCCGCTGTTGCATGCAGAACTTTGCAGGGTCGCCTGGGGGACCTGTGACTGAACCGGCCCTGAGTTCGCGGGCCACGGCGCCTTCAGGTAAGCCCGACAGAAGAACAGGGACTCACCCTCCCCGCCTGCCCTCGCCGGACTCTCTTGGGTGTCTACAAGCGGGGGAAACAGGCTCGGGGCCGCTTCAAGGCCTCACAGCGAGCAAGGGGCAGGGAACTTCTACAGCATCAACTCTAGATCTCCCGAAGTCTTAACACAGTGTGTTGTTAGTTCCCTTTGATAAACGAAGAAACTCAGGGTGCGTGGTGGGTGCGGGCTATCCAGCCAAGGAGGCGCTCGACCCATGCAATGAGTCTGCGGTCCGAGTGTAATTTTCTTCCAATTACACTGATTGCACGGAGAAGGGGAGAGTCCCAGGTCCTAGAACCAAAATCCGCACGGTCTAGCCAGGCGCTGGCCATGAAACATAATGTGGGCCGCATATGTCATTTAGAATTTTCTAGTAGCCGTATTTTTTTAAAGTGGGGGAAAAAAACCCCAAGAAATCAGGTGATATTAATTTGAATATTTAATTCCAAGGGTCTCGAGTATTATAATTTTAACGTATAATTAATATATTTAGAGTGGTACTGCTTCATTTTCTAATTTTTAAAAAGATTTTATTTATTTATTTTTAGAGAGGGGAAGGGAGGGAGAAAAATCGAGAAAGAAACATCAATGTGTTGTTCCCTCTCATATAGCCCCCACTGGGGACCTGGCCTGCAACCCAGTCATGTGCCCTGACTGGGAATTGAACCAGCAACCCCATAGTTTGCAGTCCATGCTCAATCCACTGAGCCGCACCAGCCAGGGCTCTAAATTTTTTAATTGATTTTATTTTTATTCAGAGGGGAAGGGAGGGAGAAAGAGAGGGAGAGAAACATCCACCGCCTCTTGCACACGCCCCAACGGGGCTGGCCGCACCCCAGCATTTGTCCTGACCACCTCTCTCTTTGTGGGATGACACTCTACCCCAACTGAGCCACGCTGGTCAGGGGTATTGCTTCATTTTCATATTGAAATAAAAAGGTTGCTTGTTCAGTCACACTGACCCAGTTCTAAGGGCTTGCCTGTCACGTTGGCTAGTGGCTACTGTGATGCACAGGTTTAGCCTTTTCCTACCTTTCTGCCCTTGCCTCCCTCTGCTTGGATGGTGTTTCCCCTCTCCTTTTTTTTTTAAATTTAAGTTACTTTTACTGTTGTTCCATTATAGTTGTCCATATATTCTCCCCACCCCTCCCCTTTCCTGTAATTAAATACTGCTCTTCCTCCAAGTCTTGGCCACGCTGACCAGGTCGGTGCCCACTATTACGTCATCTTGTAACACTGTGTGACCCTTTGAAGAAGTGGTCGGCGTTACCTGATAGAATTGTTTGATCGTCCCATGCCTCCTGCAGGGCAGGGTCCAGTCTGGTCCGCTCACCATCCTGTCCCCGGGAGGAGTAGACTGTTAGCTTGTATTAGACACTCTCACTAGACATTGAATTACCCAAGGTTAAACCCAATAAAAGTAAACTTGTTTTTTTTTCCTAAGGTTTTATTTATTTTTTGAGAGAAGGCAGGGGAGGGAGAAAGAGAGGGAGAGAAACATCGATGTTTGTGAGAAACACATCAATCTGTTGCTTCTCACACACACACCCTACTGGGGACCTGGCCCACAACCCAGTCATGTGCCCTGACTGGGAATTGAACCTGCCACCTTTTGGTTCGTAGGCTGGTGCTCAATCCACTGGGCCACACCAGCTAGGGCAAAAGTCAATTTATTTAAGTTAAAACATGTTAACTTAAAACAAGAATGTTCCGGTCTCAGCAGCCAGAATCTGCTCCGTGAGGGCAGGATGTTTTTTCTCCTCATCTGCCCCCCCGCGCACAGCGCAGTGCTGGGCTCGGGGCAGATACTCAACTAATTCCCTCCCCTGTCCTTTGTTCCTCCTTAAGTGCTGACAATGAAAACTTAACATGGTTAAGAAATGCTTATTCTAAAATGGCATGATGAAACATTCAGAAGGGAACAAACTATGTATTGTTAACATTTCTCTTAAAAAGCATAATATTCAATTCTCCCCATTAGACATGAGTGGTAACGTTAAGCTGAAGCAAGATGCTTCATGGCAGGGTCACGCCGAACCCAGCTTCTCAGAGAACATGTGATTCGCCCGTCGTGCTGGAGAGTGGGTGGGAGGAAATCGGGGGGCCCTGCAATGCACCTGCCTCCTCTCGACTGGCTCCCCTTGCCTGTTAGCTAAAGGCTAGGAGTAGGAGGGAGGAAAGAGTATTGACCTGGGCCTGGGCCAGCCCCTCCTATGATCCCACTGACTTGGGATAACCCGAAATGGACAGCCTCTTTGGACTAGAAAGAAGTGTGGCGGAAACAACTATGGAGTGACCCTAATCCCAGTTCCGTGCTCTTGGTATTGTAAGTGCCATGACGGAGTGGTGAACGCAGATCCCTGGGCTTCACAGAGGACAGGGTGGTACCGATGGGCTGGGGTAACTGAAGAAGGTCTTCCAAAAGATGCATCACCTGGCTGAGCTTTGGAGAAAGGAAACAGCACGTGCAAAGGCATAGAAGCATGAAGCATAGCGTGGCGGAGGCCAGGAAGGAGTTCGTGGGGCAGGCGGCTGGGACGCAGGCCTGGGGAGGAGAGGAAGGGAGACCCGGGGAAGGGCCCCTTGGTTGAGTGTCCCACCAGACTCTGCTTCCATTTTCTCTTCTATTCTGAATTTCCTTCTTGGAGGCAGATGGCAATGTTTCTCCCTCACAATAACCAGGCTTCTTCCACCGGGCCGTGGATGTGGAGGGCCCACAGATGGTAGTGGTGAACTCCTGGCCGAAAAGCAAGGACCCAGGAGGCAGGGTAGAGGTGGGGCCAGTTTCCTGAGAAGGAGCAGGAAACCTGGGGTAGATCAGGCCCCTCATGCTGGGGAAATGGACCCGAGTCAAGAGAATCGTAGAGTCTGAGAGCTGAAGGGGGTCTTAGGGACCTCATCTGTATCTCTGGCTTCCCTGGTGGGGCTCAGAGAGGCAAACAAAGTTTGATTTTATCTCTGATTTGCAGACTAGCTTGCTGGGTCCTCTGGAGCCTGAGCCATTTCAACATCCCAGTCTCCTTATTTTTAAAACTACAATTGTCCCTTTAACTTATCATGCGTTTTTTTTTCCATCAATAGGTATAGTACTTTAAATATTTTCTCTTCCTTGTGATTTTTTTAAAATAAATTTTATTTATTTAATTTTAGAGAGAAGGGAAGGAAGGGAGAAGGAGAGAAACATCAATGTGTGGTTGCCTCTCACGTGGCCCCCACTGGGGACCAGGCCCACAGCCCAGGCATGTGCCCTGACTGGGAATTGACCTGGCAACCCTTTGGGTCACAGCCCGCACTCAATCCACAGAGCTACACCATCCAGGGCTCTTCTTTATGATTTTTAAATCATATCGTCTGTTTTCTAGTTCACTTTGTTGTAAGAATAAAGTATGTATAATACATATAACTTATGAAGTGTGTGTTAACCGACTGTTCAGGCTGTTGATAAGGCTTCCAGGCTCTCAGTAATTCAGTTCAGGAGTCAAAAGTTATATGTGGATTTTCAACTACATGGGGGCGGCCCTTCCTCATTCCCTTATTATTTGAAGGTCAAGTGTATAACAATTTCATTGGGGCTGGGGTGGGGGGCACCAGCAGAGAGAAAGGAAACGCGTGTATGTCACCGTCACTTGACAGTGGGCTTCTCGGACCGCAGCCTCTGCCCCCCACGTTGCGTGCAGCACGTGCCTGCGTCAGCCCTGCCTGCCGGAGGGGCGTGGCGGTGCTTTCTAAGATAGTTCCGTGCTCTTTGTGATTTCTAGGAGGCTGGTCGAACAGAGAAGATCAGAGGGAGAAATGGGAGGCTCCTAAAAGTGGAAACTTGCCACCATTTGTCAGTTTACGAGAAACTGGACAGTGGCTTATTGCAAGAAGATGGAAATCATCAATGTCACCGCCATGCCAGTGGTGCCACTGGCCGACCCCCTGGCCGTCTCGCTCACCGCCCAGGACGCGACGCAGAATGCTGCGAGGAAGAGTCTGGAGGGCAGTCCACCCTGTATCCTTTCGTGGTGCTGTTCACGGTCAAGACCAAGTGCACCGGCCGCAGAGGCGTAACCTGCACCGAGTTTAGGACGTGCATTACTTCCTAGCTCGTACATTACTTTTCTTCATGTCTTAAGTTCTTCCTAGCCTCTAAAAGCATTGGAGACTCTGCAAGATTATTTGATTTGAATTTGGCTTGCTGAGATAATCAGAAAGAGCTCAAATACAAGTAGTACTGGAAATACTTATTGAAAGAAGGAGGAAGAAGAGAAAAAAAAGCTCTTTTTTATCATTGTCTCCTTTTCCCTTTACCTTCCAAAGAATTACAATTATAGATAGCAACGAAAAGGTCATTGTCCAGCCTTCTACCCTCAGACAAGTGAACTTAAGACTCAGTTTTAAAAATGTTCAAATTGAGCTTAGAGAAAGAGAGGAAGGGAGACAGACAGACACACAGACACATCAATTTGTCGTCTACTCATTTGGGCATTCACAAGTGCTGTGTGTGCGCATCCTGACTCGGACGGAGCCCACAGCATTGGCATATTGGGGTGAGGCTCTAACTAATGGAACCACTCAGCCAAGGCAAAAAAAATTTTTTTTTTAAATTTCAGTTGATCTCCACTCTTCTCACCTGCCAGTCCATTTGCCTGAGCTCCACCTTTGCCCTTCTGGCATCATCCAGGCTCTGCCAGTATCTTACTTCCCTAGTCCTGCCTTTGTTTATCCCCCTCTCACTTCTGACCTTGAACTATACCCCAGGGGCACACAGAATCCCATCTCTGAACGGCTTAGAGCTTGTCCAGCAAATACCCCTCTCAGGTTATAAATAATCGCAGAGGGTATTTATACGATGGATTCCTTCCATCTCCTAAAGAGCTAATTTTCCTTCAAGTCATGCTGCTGCCAGCCAAACAGCACAAACCCCGCTGGGTCCCCTCCTGTCCCACACCTCTCCGAAACCCGCCTCGAGATGAGCTCACGGGAGCTCATCAGGACCTGCATCAGTGTCTCGCTTTCCTGAGCCTTTTCTAATGCTCCCTCTTTCTTCTTAATCCCACATTCATCTCCTACCCAGCCCGTGGGGTTTGTCCTGTCCCTCCTCAGCACCTTCACTTGTCACGTACCCTCCAGTTTGTAAGAACCCTTGAAGGTAATGGAAGAAAGAGCGAATCCTGCTTTTTGTGAAGGCAGCTAGGAGTGATGGGATTAGGAGGCTCTTACAGAGGATCTGTCCTAGACCAATTGAAGCTAAGACAGAAGGCAATTGAGAGAGAGGGAGACCAGATGGGCCAGGGACGTGGGCAGAGATTTCGACAGTGATAAACAAGGTTGAGATGCACTTTGACCCAGGCATCCGTCTCCTGAAAATCTCTCTTAAAGGAGAAATTCAAAATATGGAAACAGCACTCTGTGCGACTGTATGTATAATTTGCAATTACTTATAGTTGCAAAAAGTTGTAAATAATTTAAATATTCAATAGCCAAGGAACAGTTAAGTGTATTAAGGTGCATCCTCTACAGGGATTCATATAATGCTGTTTAAAATAGTATGAAAATTATGTAGCTCTCCAAAATTCTTCTGGTGGCATAATGGATGATTGCTTTTTAAGTTTTCCAAGGTATTTAGAATGTAATTTTCATTTAGAATTTATAAAGCAACTCATCTAAAACAAGAGAAAAGAAGTGTTAAATAGAATGGAGTGGACAGACGACGTAGTGGGGGGGGAGCGAGCCTGGGCCCTCGCCAGACGGGCGCCATCCTGCTGGCGGTGCCAGGAGGGTTTCCTTAGCCGCCCTCCCAGCCTGCCTCATCGGCTCCATCCACCAGGTGAACCAGAAGATGGCCGAAATAGACCTGAGCTGCAAGCTGTTGGACAGCAGCCTGGTGAGTGTCGGGTGCTGGGGCCGGAGCCAGGCTTCCAGGAAGGAAGGGCCCTGCTGGCCCCCCATTTGCCTAATAGAGGTCTCAGAGATAAATTGTTTCATTGATGAAATTTATTTTTTAGAGCAGTTGCGGGTTCACAGCAATGCAGAGCTGAAGGTAGAGAGTCCTTGCACACCCGTCCACGCATACACATGCACACGCACGACCTCTCCGTCACCAGAGTGGTGCGTTTGTTGTGACTTAGGAACCTAAATTACTACAAACGTTGTCATCACCCAAAGCCTGTCCTTCACATTAGGGTTCTCTCTTTGTGCTGTGGGTTTGGACGGATGTGTACCCACGTGTATCCACCTTGGTGGTGTCTCACAGGATCGATTCGCTGCCCTGAAACCCTCTGTGCCCCTCCCCCCCAACCCCAGCCACCGCTGACCCTGTTACTGTCTGCACAGCTCTACCTTTTCCAGGATGTCATACAGCTGGAACCCTGCACCCTGGGGCCTTTTTAGGTTGGCTTCTTTCACTTAGTGATTTGGATTTAAGGTTCCTCCATGCCTGTTCGTGGCTGGATGAGTCATTTCTTTTTACTGCTGAATAATACTTCATGACCTGGATATACCACCGTTTCTCTGCCACCCACTGAAGGACAGCTTGGGTGCTTCCACGTGTTGGCAGTTTGGAGTAAAGTTGTGATAAACATCTACATGCAAGGTTTCATGTTGGCCGTGATTTTCAGTTCATTTGGCTGAAGACTAGGGAACGTGATTGGTTTGACCGTGTGCTGAGTGTATTTAGGCTGTGAGGCACTGCCAAACTGCCTCCCAAATGAGGCGCCGCAGCAGTGAGGGGAAATCCTCGTCGCATGCAGTGACCGAGGCTCTGACCTCACGCTCTTCACAAAAATTAACTCGCAGCGGCTCGCAGACCTACGTGTACAACACAAAACTAGAAACCTCCTGGAAGGTAACACAGGAGAAAACATCCGCGTCCTGGTCCCCGTCTGGTAGTGTCAGTATTCTGGGTTTTGGCCACTCAAGTCGGCGTGCAATGGTGTCTCATTGTTTTAATTTGAAATTCTCTAATGGTATGTGATGTTAACATCTTTTTTATATGCTCACTTGCCACCTGTATTTCTTCAAAAAAAATTATGTATTGATTTTTCGCCCTGGCTGGTGTAGCTCAGTGGATTGAGCATGGGCTGGGAACCAAAGGGTCACCAGTTCGATTCCTGGTCAGGGCACATGCCTGGTTTGCAGACCAGATCCCCAGTAGGGGGCACATGAGAGGCAACCACACATTGATGTTTCTCTCCCTCTTTCTCCTTCCCTTCCCTTCTATCTAAAAAATAAGTAAACAAAATCTTTTTAAAAATTATGTATGGATTTTAGAGAGACAGAAATGAGGGAGAGAAACGCAGATTTGTTGTTCCACTTACCACACATTCATCGGTTGCTTCTTGTACGCACTCTGATGGGGGATTGAACCTGCAACCTCTCTGTGTTGGAACGACACTCCAACCCACTGAGCCACACAGACAGGGCTGAAGTGAGGTATCTGTTAAGTTCTTTGCTCCATTTGTAAGAAAAATTTATTGCTTTTTTAGAGAGAAGGAAGGAAGAGAGGGAGGGAGAGAGACATGAATTTGCTGTTGCACTTACGTACATATTCGTTGGTTGCTTCTTGTACATGCCCTGACCAGGGAAGGAACCTGCAGCCCTGGCGCATTGGGGTGACACTCCAAGCAACTGAGCCTCCGGCCAGGGCTTTGCTCCATTTTTTAATTGACTTGTGTATTTTCTTATTGTTGAGTTTTAAGAGTTCTTTGTGCATGTTTGATAACAGTTCTTTATTGTGCCTGCCCTTTACCACTGGGTTCTCCCAGCTGTGGCCTGTGTCCTCCCTGTCTTGACTTTGTCTGTTGCAGAGCAGGTTTCAATTTTAATGAAGTCCAGCTACCCACCGTTGGCTTTCACGGATTGTGTCTTTGGTGTTGCATCCAAAAAGCCACTGCCTTACCCAGGGTCATTTCGGTTTTCTCCTATGTTACCTTCTGGGAGGTTTATAGTTTCGCGTTGTATACGCAGGTCTGCGAGCCGTCCCGAGTTCATTTTTGTGAAGAGCGTGAGGTGTCCAGCGGGTGTCCAGTGTCAGCACCGGTTGTCGAGAAGACTGATTTTGCTCTGTTGAATTCCCTTCACCCTTCGTCTGGGTTCAGTTGGCTGTATTTATGTGGCTCTGTTTCTGGGCTCTCTGTTCTGTTCCACTGATTGTTCGTCTGTTCTTTGCCAGTACCACCCTGTCTTGGTCACCGTCGTTTCATGGTGACTCCTGCAGTCGAGTAACATCACATCTCCATCACTGTCATGTGTGTGTTTCTGGGTCTTCTGTCAGTGTCCACACAGTTTAGCGCTAGTTTGTCAATGGCCATAAAATAACTTGCTGGAATTTGGATTTCAACAAATCAGAAAACAAGAATGCATTTACATGTGTCACCTCCGTGACTTTTCAATGACAACTGTAAAACCAGGAAAAAGAAGAACTCTCCTCTGAGAAGCAGGGTCTGGTGGCTGTTCAGGGCGGCCCAGCATGGGCACAGCTCCCTCAAGATGCCAGTCACAGCCAGCACTGGGCCGGGAGCGTCTGGGTCCTCCCATGGCCTGGCAGAAGGGACCCCTTGCCTGTCCTTCCTGCTCCTCGGCCCAGGCAGCTGGTCAGATCTGCCAGAGGCCAACTGCCTCCTGCCCCCTGCCCTTAGAGCCCACCCCTGGGCTACCCCGCCCAGCCTCTGTTGGCCACGGTTTGCCCTTTATACATCCGGCCTTGACCATGTGGCTGCTTCTCCTGAGCCAGCACCTGTGGCCAGATCAGTTCCTCTCGCCTCCGTGCTGCCCTAGGGGACGGCACCGGGGAGCGCGGGGCCCATGAAGTGCTCCCTAGACGCATACCGGTGCAGGAGGGGGCCCTCTCCCGCTGAGTCCCAGACCCTCCTCCCGTCTCCTGTTTCTCTTCCTTCTCTCATGCCCTCCATGTGCGTCTCCCCCAGGCTCTGGCCGTGAACCTTGCTTAGGGTCGTTGCCAGTCTCCCTGGAGAGCATGTTCACCAGCCACCACAGCTTCACCATTCACTTCAGAGGCAGGCACGTTCCTTCCGCTCGCTGCCTTCTCAGCCACTCCACCCAAGATGAGCACAAGTACCCCTTCTGGGCACACTCCTGTCGCCCTGTCCCCACAGCAGCTCCACTCACCTCTTGTTCACTGGCTTCTCCCACCAGTCCCGGCTCATGTAAGGCAGGGACAGCGACACTGCACGCCGCTGCATCCTCGACAGCGGCACAGCGTTCGGCTTTTAGTTTGGCTCCGGGAATATGTGTGGAGTGAATAATACATTTGCAAATTGTAGCCTCTGGCCTGTATCACAGTCTCATGTTCCCAGCTACCTAGAGGAGGGATACCTAACCCTAACTAATCATCTGGGTGCCCTGGGGCTTTCTGAAACTCAGAGTGCAAATTGCAAGGTCTGGGGCCATGTGCGTCTTGTTTGGCCCCCTTTGAACGGAATGGCTCTGGAAGGCTCCTGCAAGATATGAAGGGTACTAGGCAAGGCGTAGGAGGAGGATTTTTTACTGTGCTGTTTGATTTTGTACTGTGACAATTACTGGTTCTTAAACGTTTAAATAAAGAGCTAACTATTCAGGAGCCACAATAAACAATTCGGGACCCGACACAGACCTAAGGAATAAGCCTCTAACAAGTCTGGGTGCCTGAATGATCCCCCGAGAAGCAGTCACCGGCCAGGTCTGGGATCTGCCTTCCCAGGAGCAGCCCCGCTGGAAGGTGCACTGTCACCTCACATGCAAACGCAGCCCCAGGCCAGTCTCATCACTTCCCCTAAAACTTGCTGCTTTCCAGGGTTCGGCTGTTGTTTCTGTGCCCTCGGTGTGCAGGGCCCCCCACCCCCGTCCTCCTAAGGCCCTGACTGTGGTGGCATCCTGGGAAGGAGCAGAGACCTCGCTGTTTTTCTACCTTGCCATCCCCCCACCACTTCACCACCCTCATCCTTGTGCACTTTACCAGAGCAACAGTGTTGACACATGCCTTACTGATGGGACCTTGTCCCCAAACACTCACACCCACGCACATGCCAAGGGGCATTTCAGTGTGTCAAGCCCAGGAGACCGGTGCTTCACCTCTTCCCCCAGCCCTCACGCCTCGCCCCTGCTGGGCAGCCCCGACTGCTCCTGCTCACACCAGTCTCCCGTGGGTGAACCCTAAACCCCGAGGTTGAACGTTCCCCAGGCGCTGATGTGGCTCTCGGCACAGGCTGTAAGTTCCTGCAGGGTGAGAACACCGCAGCCTGCTGCTCTGCCAGCTCTGCGTGCGATCCAGGCACTGGGGCCTCTGGGCGGACGGTCAACACAACTTGTCAGGCTGCCGACACGGGTGCTGCTCGCTTCCCTCTTCGGGCGGGGGTGGGGCAGGAGAGGGGTGTCAGAGATCAAGAGAAATTTCTTGAGAGGTCAAGTGTGTGGTGATCAATGATAGTAATAATAGCCTTTATGGAGTAGCTCCCATCCGGTAGCCTCCCTGCTTATATTTTAAGATGCATTCAATGCATTCTATATGATCCTTGTAAGAACCCTGAAAGGTAAGTGTCACTACCCCTCCTTACTCTCTCTTAGAGAGAGTAAGCGGTAGTGTGCAACCTGTAGGGCTGTGTTGGGGACTGCTTCAGTCCTGTGCTCCTGGGATGTGTAGCCAGGAGGAGGGGCAGTGTGAGGGGGGGGGTTGAGGGACGTATTGGTGGTGTGACACAGGAGGGGCACGAGGTCAGTGGCCACCGAGGCCCTGCCAGCCAGGGAAAGTCCTGAGGCCCTGTCCCAAACTTTGCTGCAGGCTGTTTGCCCACTCACAGGAGAAATGGCCTTGTCCCTGACCCCCCCCCCCCCATCAGCTAGTATTTGTATTAATCCCTAATGTCTCATTTCTTTCTGGTTTTTGAAGGCAATTGAGAGATTTGCATTGGAGAAGAAGGCTTTAACAGAGAACAGTCACGGCAGCTCGGGAGACAGAGGCAAAAACCCTTTCTCGTGGCCTGGGTGGTGGTTTGCAGGGTTTGGCTTTTCAGTATCTGGGATGCATTGAGTAGGAGTCCAGAGTTTCAGACGAGGATACTCCTGTCCTCTTCTGAAGGAGCCTTGAACCTGACTTCTTGACACTGGGCCACAGAGGAGGGGAGGACAGTATCGTTCCGAGACCCACCTACTATGTTGTACGTTGCGCCGGGTGCTCTCACCATGTTCCCCTGTCAAGTCTTCCTGGTGCCCCAACCTGTGAGGCCGGTGCCACTGAATGTACTTTGTAGATGAGGAGCCGCCTGGAGGCCAGAAGTCTTAGCCTGCCTGGCGGGTCCTGGGTTCATCTCAGCCTGACTTCAAAGCCCATGTGTTGTCTGCTTCTCCCGGCTCCTTCTCTGGCTCAGGTGGTCCGATCAGATAAGGAAGGGACTCGCCTGGTAGATTGAGCACGAACCTGCGAATCAAAGGATCGCTGTTTGATTCCCAGTCAGGGCACATGCCTGAGTTGCAGGCCAGTTCCCAGCAGGGGGCGCACGAGAGGCAACCATACATTGATATTTCCCTCTCTCCTTCCCCTCCCCTTTAAAGATAAATAAATGAAGTCTTAAATAAATAAATAAGGAAGGCACTCTTTTTTTGTAATTTTAATTTTTTTGATTATGCTATTACAGTTGTTCTATTCCCCCCTTCATTCCCCTCCACCCTGTACCCCCCCACCCCTACCATTCCCCCCTTTAGTTGATGACCACTTGTCTCAAGTTCTTTAGATTCTATATTTCCCCTACTACTTGCCCTCCCCTATCTATTTTCTTCCTACCATCTATGCTACTTATTTTCTGTACCTTCTTCCCCCTTCTCCTTCTCCCACTCCCCTGTTGCTAACCCTCCATGAGATCTTCATTTCTATGGTTCTGCTCCTGATCTAGCTGTCCTTTTAGTTTGCTTTTTGTTTTAGATGTGGTTGTTAATAACTGTGAGTTTGCTGTCCTTTCACTGTTCATCTTTTTTATCTTCTTTTTCTTAGATAAGTCCCTTTAACATTTCATATAATAAGGGCTTGGTGAAGATTTTATTTTATAGAGAGAAAAAGAGAGGGAGAGAAACATCAATCAGTTGCCTCTCTTATGCCCCAACCAGGGACCGTCCCGTAACCCAAGCATGTGCCCTGACCAGGGATCGACCATGACCTTTTGCTTTGTGGGACGACGCCCAATCAACCAAGCCGTGCCAGCCAGGGTGGAAGGCTCTTAATAAGTCAGCACCACAGGCGGGACTAGGGGTACGAGTGTCGTCAGGAGGTTCAGGGCGAGTGGAAAACCACAGCTGTGATTGCAGTGTAGCAGGGGCAGCCCACGGTTCCTCACGCCCCATCCCTCTTCTATTCTCCCGCAGACACAAGCCAAAGAAAACCACAGGTTCCTTGCAGCAGCCCGGAATCCAGGAATGTCAAGTCTGTCACTGTTAAAAGGGTAAGGGACCTACTCCTGGGTCTCTGGCTGCTTTCTACTGGGCATGAAGTCACTTTCGTTCCTGAGAGGAGGGGTGCCGGGATGGCAACGGCAGAGGAACTTGCAGAATTCTCTGTATGGAGGATCTTAAAGGGTTTTAAGAATGCTAAAATTTCATATAACACCCTGAAAAGGGTAGAATGGGGGGTGTTCCAGAGGTCACTCGTCTGTCTGTTTGCAGAACCTACCAACAATGAGTTCAGATCAAGCTCACAGAGCCCCTGGGTCTCACTGCTCCGAGGGCCCGTTCACACTGCAGGACGAGTCTCGGTCCCTGCAGATGCCCGAGAAGCTGAGATTCAGGCGTAGCTGACCTGCCCGCCCTCATGCATGGTTGATGGCCAGTCCCCACTTCCTGCTCGGATGCTCGGGCCCACAGCCAGTCTGCCGGCCCTCTCCAGCAGCCTCCCCATTAAGATTCTCCTGAGCTTGCTCTTTCAGCTGCTCAGGTGCGATGTGTTCAAGCCCTTCAGTGCTAGAGAATGTGAACAGTACAGTATTGCTGTCTCTTAAAAATCTTTCAGCTTAGAAAATTCCCACACAGCATCAAGTGCAACAGTTGAGAGTCAGCATTGAAACTGTCCTGTGACCCATAATGGTGGCCAACTGGATTTAAATGTCCTGCCCCAGGCAGCACAGCTGCTACATGGTGGAGCTGGCGTCTGAGCCCAGGCTGTCTGACTCGGAGTCGGTGCGCTCAGTCAGTGGTCCCCCAACCCCGCGGGCACCGCACCCATCAGAGAGCAGGTCCGCCCTCAGAACATTCCTGGCGGGTGCCTTTGGCTGGTGGTAGTTGGTTTCCTCTTTCATCTTTTCCAGAGTTTTACATTTTTTTAGTCATATTTTATTTTTACCTTAAAAATTCATTTAATGATATAGATTAAGAACCATAAGGATAGTCATATTCTTTGACCTCATATTGACATTTTGAGAAAGTCATACTAAAATAACCCAAAGAGGGGGAAAACTATATGTTCCCAGTTTTATCATGAACTTAAATATAATGGCAGTAGTATTAATTGGAAGTAATTAATTTAATTATAGCCCATCTTATTAATAGGGTATGTTATTATATTTAATTTACTTTTAGAGAGAGGCTAGGGGACAGGAAAGAGAGGGGGAGACACTTCGATGTGAGACAGAAGCATCCATTGGTTGCCTCTTGTACATGCCCTGACTGGGGACCGAACCCACAGCCCAGGCACAAGCCCTGACTGGGAATCGAACTGGCAGTCTTTCGCCTTGGGGAGCAATGCCCAGTCCACTGATGTGAAAATACCTGGCAAGGCAAATAGTCAGCATTCACTATAAAGTTAGGTGTTTGGGTTTTGTTTTGTTTTTTTAAGTTTTATTATTTTTTTAAAGATTTTACTTTTATTTTTAGAGAGGAGAAAGAGGGAGAGAAACATCAATGTGTGGTTGCTTCTCTGCTCCCCCTACTGGGGACCTGGCCAGCAACCCAGACACGTGCCCTGATGTGTCATCTCAGATAGAAATTTGAAGACGGTGTAGCAATGTGAAAAATGTAAAGTTGAGGAGGACATAAGTGTGTGTAAAGTACAGTCTCATGTACATGTCTGTACACACGTGCTCACAGCCTGAAAGGGAAAGGGAACTAGTGTGAGTGGGTGTTCGGTTAGGGGGGCCGGGGTCGTGCACGCGCCCCGTTCTTTCCAGCATTCGGAAGGTCACGAAGGAAAGATACCCTGTTGTCGGAAACTGTCAAAACGATGGAGCCCGTTTTCATGTTCTGCTTCTTTTGCTTCAGAAAACAGCAGATAAAAACCTGCTGGCAGAGCTGTACCAGTGCACCCAGTTTGACAGCTCCAGGCCGAATGAGCTCCCCAACGGCGTGGTGTTCTGTGACATGGTGGACAACGTGGTCCAGTCCGAGAGGAGCACCCTCAGTGGCAAGGTGAGAAGGAGCGGACGGCTCACCCGTGTGCTCCCCGGCTGCGCCGGCACCCGGCGGCAGACGCAGCTGTCGGGTTTGACACCCCAGGGCGTCTGAGTATGTCACTGAGGGCCACGCAGTTTGCAAGTGACTTAGGTAAGATTAGACCCCAAGCCCATATTACCTCCAAAACCTGGATTCTTTCTACTGGAGCACTGCTCTTCAGGTTGTTTCGGTCACGTATTCAATGAGCAAAAAATTCTGAGTACACACTCTCAGGGTATATGCTTTTTAAAAATTTTTTTTTAAGATTTTATTTATTTATTTTTAGAGAGGGTAAGGAAGGGAGAGAGGGGGAGAAGCATCAGTATATGGTTGCCTTTTGAGCGCCCCCTACTGGGGACCTGGCCCGAAACCCAGACATGTGCCCTGACTGGGAATCAAACCAGCGATCCTTTGGTTCATAGGCTGGCGCTCAATCCACTGAGCCACACCAACTAGGGCGGTATATGTTCTGTTGTCAGTTGCTACACTGTATATCAGTAAACTTAATTTCTTTTTATCTTAATTAGACATTAGTTAGAATATTTTCTTTCCACACCCTATAGTACACCGTGGGGTGAGTGACCCACGCAGAGAGCAGCACACACTGGCTTCCTCAGGGAGGAGGCGGGGAGTTTTCCGAGGCCCCGAAGAACCCATGTCTCATGTAGAGACAAGGCCGGCTGCTCCGGAGGGAGGGACAGTTGTAAGAGGTGCAGGGAGGGAGGAAGCCCAGAAAATGGTCTCGGCCACTCTCCAGGGTGGCTTGTTGCCCTTCACAGTCACACAGCCCGCATGTTTCCAGAGCAGCTGTGGTCATTGTCCCCTCAGCTCCGACTACTCACCCCATCACCGCGCTTGCTTCACATCACCCTGCCTCTGTTTCTCCTCCCTTTCTCTCTCTTTCCCTCTTCCCTTCCCCCCGCCTGATCCTGGCCCTGCCACTTGCAAGCTGTATTAGTTTGAGCATGCGACTTCAGCTCTCTAGTCCTCGGTTTCCTCATCTGTAAAATGAAAATAATAACACATGCCTCGTATGATTATTCTAGAGCAGGAGTGTCAGACTCATTTTCACCGGGGTCCACATCAGCCTTGCGGTTGCCTTCAAAGGGCCGAATGTAATTTTAGGACCGTATAAATGTAACTGCTCCTTAACGGTTTAGTGAGAGCTCGCTGCTGCCACCAGGTAGAAACACGGTGGAGGGAGGATTCGGCCCGTGGGCCTTGAGTTTGCCACCTGTGCCCTTGGGGTTAAAAGAGAAGATGTGAAAACACCTGGCAAAGCAAATGGTCAGCATTCACTATAAAGTTAGGTGTTTGGTTTTTTTTTTTTAAGTTTTATTATTATTTTTAAAGATTTTATTTTTATTTTTAGAGAGGAGAAAGAGGGAGAGAAACATCAGTGTGTGGTTGCCTCTCTTGCGCCCCCTACTGGGATCCTGGCCAGCAACCCAGGCATGTGCCCTGACTGGGAATTGAACCAGTGACCCTTTGTTTCTCAGGCTGGTGCTTAATCCACTGAACCACATCAGCCAGGGGCAGGTGTTTGTGTTTTAAGTTGACTCCAAAGTACGTTGACTCCAAAGACAGCTGGTGGGAAAATGGGGTGATTAGTAACAATGACAAAGTGTGGGACACACAAGGAGAGGAAGGTTTTGAAGTAGAGAGGATTATGAATCTGCCTATGACTCCAGGCAAATAATAAAAAAAGAACAGTAACAGCAACAATAATAATATGAACTTTTGTTTCTTTTAAAGTCTTTCTGTTCGCAGAGAGAATTAGAGAAGTATCTCTCTTCTCCCTCTCTGAGAGCCATATGGCTGGATAGCTTCTGGTGGATCTTTCATGAAAGGTTCCAGGTAAATGCAAATCTGATTGTTTGTCTCCCTTGCTCACTTTATTTGTGCTCCCGCAGCACAAATCCCACCTAACCTCGTTACCACGGGCTGTAAGCCCCTCTGACTCCATGGACCACCCCTGTGGCCTCCCTAGTCAGCCCACCCCTTCCCCTCCCACGCCTCGTCCTCACTCCTGCACTTTGGCCGTTGCCCCCAGTCTCACAGCTTCCCTGAGCTTCAGGAACTAGTCCACTACTCCGTGTGGCAAGGCTGCTCAAGGCTGGGGCTGAGAGTAAAGTCAGGACCTTTCTTCAGCTCTCCGCCCCTCGACACATTTTATAAACTCTATAAAACCAACTGCTATGTTATTTCCTAAATAACAATTTTAAGAATGAGATTCCTAAAATTAAGAGAAATTCTTATTTAAAAACCTCAGCCCTTGGCTCCTTCAACAAGGGACTCAGTAATTCCTTCTCTCTCTTTCTTCCCGGTAGCCAAACAGAGAGATCCAGAACAAGCTGTTCGACCGGATAGCCCAGCACTACGCCCTTCTCCTGTTCCACGGGTCCAGGTCCCACTATGAGGAGGCGATCTTAAAAGTGAGTCACGGCCGCCATTTGGGGGAAAAGATCACACACCGTAGCCGTTCGCTCTAATGCCAGCGGAATGCCTTTCACCTCTCTCCGTGATGGAGTAACTAGCAAGTTGTGTGTATTCACGCACTGAGTTTGAACGTGGCAGCTACAGTGAGGCAGGTCTGTGTGTACAGGCTGGGGCAAAAGCAGGTTACAGTTTTTCAGGTGGAAAATAATACAATGATTAATAAATAATAAGTAATACACAAATGAACTCTCTTTCGGAACGTATTCACAACTGTAAACCTACTTTATCCCACCCTGTAACTGATCAGGAAAGATATAATGTTATATTTTAAGTGAAAAACAAAGCAATTTATGTAAGTCTATGTTAAAAACATATATTTATAGGTATGTATGTGTGCCTATGAATAGAAAAAAGTATGGAAAAATATTTTCCAAACTCTTAGCAATGGTTATGTTCTGGGAAATAAGGTTATAAGTGACTTCCTTTTCTTTTATTTTTAAAGATTTTATTTATTTATTTTAGACAGAGGGGAGGGGAGGGAGAAAGGGAGAGAAACATCAATGTGTGCCTGACCTGGCCCACAACCCAGGCCTGTGCTCTGACCAGGAATCAAATCCGTGATTCTTTGGTTCACGGGCTGGTGCTCAGTCCACTGAGCCACACCAGCCAGGGCTCTTTTTTAATCTATGTATTTCTGAAGCATTTAAATAAGCATATAATTTTTTAAAATTATATGAACATACATACTTTATATATGAACATATGTGTATATGTACTAAAAGGATTAACGAAAGAAAATATAAGTGAATATTTGCCTGATTTGAGGATGGGGAAGGACTTTCTAAATACAATCCCAAATAAAGGAAAAGACTGATTTAATTACATAAAATTTTTTAAAAATTAGTACAAAGTTAAAAGGCAAATGAGAAGCTAGGCAAAAATACCTATACTGTATATGAATATGTCACACAACATAAAAACTCTTACGAATCAGTAAGAAAGAAATGAAACACCCTATAGGCCGATGGGCAAAGTTCATAAACTAGAATTTCACCAGAAAAAGTTCATCCTTAACAGTAATTAAAAATACGAATTAAAAAAATAATAATTCAATACTTTGTACCTGATAGGGCAGATTTAAGGATATAATCCCCAGTGTCGTTGAGGACAGGGATTATAGGAAGGAGCAGAGTCACAATGTGTGTGGGAGGTGAGTTAGCACAGTGACGCTGGGACGCACTTACATCCCAATGATTAGGTGACACAAGTCACCTAGGCTTTCTGTGCCTCACCTGATAATGCCTCCCTCACCGAGTTGCCCCAAGAGTTCAGCGGGACAACATTTGTAAGGCCTCTGGGCGTGATAAGCCCCCAGTGTATCACCACAGCTGCTGCAGTCAGCACTATTGTCCCAGCTCCTGGAAGACATAATTCAATATACAGGAGAAGCTGCTTTTATTCATGCATGTATGCATTCATTTAGCAATTTTGACCGTGCAATATGTGCCAGACAATGAAATAGTTTAATAAATAAAAATAATTATTCAGCACAATTTGTAATGTAAAGTCTTGGAAAGAGGATATTTACCAGTGGGGGTTAAGTAAATTTTGATAAACCCACTCAGCACAAGATTATGAAGGCCAGTATTGGGGGGAGAAATCCCAAAGAGTTTAGAATAATTTGGGGAAGTGCTTATGTTATAATGTTAAATGAATAAAGCCAAATATAATTGTAGAGTCTGAGCTCAACCAGAGTGAGCAAACCGTACCACCCTTGCGTAGAAAAAAACCAGTGAGTAGTGCTGACCGGTACTGTCTCTGGGGGACAAGAAGGTAGGCCGGCCACAGGTGTCTTGTCCTCTTCTGGGCTGCCGTTTGGCCGGGATGCGGACAGGGCTGAGGCTGGACCACCTCCGGAGGAGCTGGAGGAGGGGTGGCCGGCCTAGCGTGTTTGAGAAGTGGTCCCCAGGTAGCGCTCTGGTCCTCCCAACCATGGGGCAGCCACAGGTGGGAACTTCTGCCCTCGTAACCAGGAAGGCAGCAGCACGGTGCCAGGGAGAGAGTTTTGTCAGGTCCGTTCTGACGTCAGGGGCTCTTTCCCGGGGGTGGGAACATCCAGAACAACGTTGCCTGAGCTCTGCTTGCCCCACAGAGGTTGCCGTCACTTTTGAGTAAGGGCCTGTACACCAGCTTCTGCTGCTGCTTCCCTCAGTCCTGGTTCAACTCACACGAGTTCAAGTCCGACGTCTGCAACACCATGAGCCTGTGGATCTCAGGTAGGAGGCGCCTGCTTTCTCCTGGGGAAGCAGTTCTGCACGTGTTTTTTCCGCTCGAGTGTGTTACTCTTTGCCATCACCTCCCTTCCCTGAAGCAGTTGTCCTTTGCTCTCCTTGATATTAAAGAAAGTAAAGTGTACGGTTGGAGCTTAAGAATAGAATTTTCCTGCTTCCTCAAAACAGTTCTGAGACAGTTCTTGTCCCCTTCTTGTATCCAGCCCAGAACTCAGGAAGCCGAAAGCAGTATGCCGGTTGCAACCTCCCGCCCTCCCTCACACCCTGCCCCGGCGCCCCCAGGCGGCCCCACTGGGCGCAGCACACACAGTGCCCATGTTACGTTTGCTGTTCAGCTGGTTTTCTGTGTCCTCCCTACCTCCCCCATTGCAACCCAGATATTTTCTGAGGTCACAGGAAAAGTGACCATTTATTGAGAGGCTCCTGTGTACTGCATACTGTGCAAATATAAGCACTTCTTGTTTTAAGATCTTACATATTTTTAGAGAGAGGGGAAGGGAGGACAAAAGGGAGAAATACTGATGTTTGAGAAAAACATTGGCACCTCTCGCACGCCCCCACCAGGGACCTGTCCTGCAACCCAGGCATGTGCCCCAACTGGGAATCCAACCAGTGACCCTTCATTCTCGGGAGGGTGCCCCACCCACTGAGCCGCACCAGCCAGGGCAAAGGGAGCACCCCAGTCTCGGAGACAATCCCCACGTTAGGAGACTGGCAAAGAGAACTCACACGTTGTGCTCATGGCTAAGATTCATTGCCTTGATGTGGTAAGGATACACAGCTAGTTCACAAGGGGAAAGACAGGCAGAGTCTGGGGGAGTTCCCGTGCAGGCTTCCTTACTCCCTCCCCCTGTGAGGAGTTAAGCAGAACTCTCTCCTTCTGCAACAGAAATGAAGCAACGCACATGTGGTATTTCTGCCCAGAATCTCACTTGAGAAGCAGCACCCAAGATTTTTCCTGGGTACTGGTCATGTAGACTCTGTGTCATGCACCCCAATGTCTGGAGGGCAGGGGTTCAGCATCAACCACGTTGTTTCACAGTCTGCACACAGCGAACCACTCTTGCCCACGGCGGAAGCGACCTCCCCCGGCTTTATGGAGATGTGGTAGACATGTGACGTTGTGTGGGTGTAAGGCTCAGTGTGATGCTCTGATAAATGTATACACTACACCGTGTTGACCATAACACGGTTGGCTGACACACCCTTCACCTCACACGATCCCCATTTTTCGTGGTGGCTGTTATGGTGAGGGGCTTTAAAGAGTGCTCACTCTCGAGGCAGATCTCAAGTAGACAGTACGGTGCTGTTACCTGCAGCCACTGTGCTGCACGTCAGATCCTGAGCCCCTGTCCCTCCTGTAACTGGAAGTTGGTCCCTCTGACCGTCAGCTCCCTGGCAGCCACCGTTCTGCTCTCTGCTCTGGCTTCAGCCTTTTTAAAAATTAAAAAAAAAAGTTTTTATGTTGTTCAATTACGGTTGTCCCCATTCCCCGCCTCCATTACTCTCCCCGGCCCTACCCACCCCCACCTTCCACATTCAATCCTCCCCCGACCTTGTCTTTGTCCGTTATGCATGTTCCTTTGTCCTTTGTTCTTTGTCCTTTATGCATGTTCCTTGATGACCCTTCCCCTTCTTTCCCCTGTTATCCTTCTCCCCCCTCCCCTCTGGTTACTGTCAGTTTGTTCTTTATTTCCATGTCTCTGGTTCTGTTTTGCTTGCTTAAGGAGCTCCTACCCTTTGCGACAGCATGGATGGAACTGGAGAGCATTATGCTAAGTGAAATAAGCCAGGTGGTGAAAGACAAATACCATATGATCTCACCTTTAACGGGAACATAATCAACAAAGCAAACAAGCGAGCAAAATAGAACCAGACGTGGAAATAAAGAACAAACTGAGTTTAGCTTTTTAAGTTTCTAAACACAAGTGAAATCATACAGTATTTGTCTTTCTCTGTCTGACTTATTCCCCTTAGCATAGTGCCCTCGAAGTCTGTCCATGTTGTCGCAAATGGCGGGACTTCCTTCTTTTAGTGGCTGAATAACAGCCTGTGTGCAGGCACCGCATCTTTGCCCACCGCCCACAGGCGGGACTCCGGGTGGTTCGTATGCCTTGGTGGTTGTCGGTAACCCCGCGGTGGGTGTGGAGGTGCAGGGGTGTCTTCAGGGTAGTGATTTCATTTCCTCTGGATACGTATCCAGAAGTGAGGTTCCCGGATTGTGTGGCAATTCTGGTTTCAATTCGTTGAGAAACTTCCATACTGTTTTCCGTAGTGGTTGTGCCACTGTGCATTCTTGCCGACGGTGCAAGGGTTCCCTTCCCCCGCCCCTCCCCAGCATTCGTCTCCTGTCTCTCTGGTGATGGCCACTAACGGACGTAAGGCGACATCTCACTGTGGTTCGGATTTGTATTCCCTGATGACCCGTGGCGATGTTGAGCACGTTTTCATGCACTTTTGGTCATTGTATGTCTTCTTCGGAAAAATGTTTGTTCCAGTCCTCTGCCCACTTCCTACTTGGGTTATTTGTTTTGCTATTGAGTTGTATGAGTTCCTTACGTACTTTGAGTATTAACCCCTCATCCGATGTCAGATGTATGGTTTGCAAATGTTTTCTCTCAGTCAGTAGGTTGCCTTTTCATTTTGTTTTTTCTCTTGCTCCGTCCGTAGAAGCTTTTTAGTTGGATATAGTCCCACTTGTTTATTTTTACTTTTGTTGCTTGTGCTTTGGTGTGATATCCAAAAAAAGTCATTGTCAAGACCAACGTCAAAGAGCTTTTCCCCTGGGTTTTATTCCAGGAGTTCTGTGGCTTCAAGTTTTACACTTACATTCTTAATCAATTGTAAATTGATTTTTGTAAGTGGTCTAAGATAGGGGTTTAATTTCATTCTTTTGCACGTGAATATTGAGTTTTCCCAACACCGTTTATTAAAGAGACTGTCCTTTCTCCATTGAGTATTCTTAGCGCTCTTTTCAAAAAGTAGTTGACTGTATATGTGTGGGTTTATTTCTGGGCTTTCAGTTCTGTTTCATTGATCCATATTTCTGTTTTAATGGCAATACCATACTGTTTTGATTTCTATAGCTTTGTAACATCATTTAAAGTCAGTGTGTGATGCCTCTAGCTTTGTTCTTTTCAAGACTGTCTCAGGAGTTCAGGGTCTTATATGGATCCAGACAGATTTTAGGATTTTTTTCCTACTTCTGTGAAAAATGCCTTTGGAATTTCAATAGAGGTTGCATTGAATCTATAGATGGATAGGGTAGTATGGACATTTTAACGATATTAGTTCTTCTGATCCCTGAACATGGGATATCTTTCTGTTTATTTGTGTCTTCAATTTCTTTCATCAATGTCTTATAGTTTTCAATATATAGGTATTTTAATTTCTTACCTAAACTTATCCCTAAGTATTTTATTGTTTTTGGTGTTATTGTAAATGGATTTTTTAAAATTTCTTTTTCAGATAGTTCTTTGTTGGTGTATAAAAACACAACTGATTTTTGTGTATTGATTTATATCCTGAAACTTGACTGAATTCATTTATTAGTTTTAACAGTATTTATGGACTCTTAAGGGTTTTCCGTATGTAATAGCAAGTCATCTACATATAGAGACTATTTTACTTCTTCTTTTCTGAGTTGGATATTTTTTACTCTTGTTCTTGCTCTGGCTAGGACTCCTGGTCCAGTGTTAACTGGGAGTGGGAAGGGTGGACAACTCGGTTTTGTGCTCCTGATCCTGGAAGATCTTTCGCCGTTGAGGGCGATGTGGCTGTGGCCTCGTCACAGTGGCCTTTGTTATGTTGACATATGTTCCTTCCGTACTCAGCTGTTTGAGAGTTTTTATTATGAAAGGGTGTTGAATTTTGTTAGATGCTCTTTCTGCATGTATTGAGATGAACGTGTGGGTTTTACCTTTCATTTTCACTAACGTGACGTATCGTGTTTACCGTTGTGTGCATGTCACACGGCCCCGGCGTCCCAAGGGTAAGTCCCGCTTCACAGTGACATGTGCTCCTCTGACTGTGCCATTGAAGTCTGTTTGCCAGTGTTTTGTTGAGCATTTTTCGTCAATATTCATCAGGAACAGTGGCCTGTAATTTTCTTTTCTTACTGTACCCTTCGCTGGCTTTGGTATCAGTATAATGCTGGTCTCCTAAAATGAGTTTGGGAGTATTCCCTTCAATGTTTTCTGAAGAACTCGAGAAGGATTGGAGTGAATTCTTTAAATTTTGTTAGAATTCATCTGCGAAGCCATCTGGTCTTGGGCTTTTCTTTGTTGGGCAAGGGGCTTAATTACTGACTCCGTCTCCTTGCCCATTATTTGTCCGTCCAGATTTCCTGTTTCTTCCATGATTTAGTCTCGTAGGGTGTATGTTTCTAGGAACGTATCCATTTCTTCTGGGTACTTAGGGAAAGTTTATATCGGTGTAAGGAAATATTTACCAGCCAAGGTCCCAGGTGCCCGCCGAGGGCCAGTCTTGCCCGAGGGCCCCTCTACCCATAACGGTCTGCCGTGCCCCCGTTCTCTGCACACCCGTTTAATCCTCTCACCGTGTTCCGGATCAGAGAAACTGAGCAGCAAACAAGTGAGAAGCAGCTGTTCAGACCCTGGCGTCGAGACTGAGTCCACACAGAGCTTGGTCCCCGGCTGCCCTGCCGTTCTGCCTCCTCTTCTCTGTTTCCCTTTCCTGTTCCCCTTTTCGTCCAGGGCGGAGCCTCCTTCTCCTAATTCATCCCTGGTAACAACAAGCCTCCTGGCTGCTGACTTTGTCCAGCAAATGGCTTTCCTGGAGGCTCAACTGTCTCGACCGACCCTTGGTCTTTCCTTTCCTAAACCAAAGAATGAGGGAGACAGTCCCTCTGATGTGTGACGGTTCAGGTTCTAGGAAGCCAAGACCCGGAAACACTCGGTTTCCTTAAAAGAAAAGCATTAATCCCATAAGCATCTCCATCAAATATTTAGGGTGAACCTATTTCTGGTACTTAGCTTAAGTGTGATAATAGGTTAAACAAAATTTACTAAGTACAGATTTGTTATGTTCTGGGCAGGTGGAAAGAGAAATAAGACCTGTGTTCAGCAAGCTCAGAGTTCAGTAAAAGCAGAGGAGGTGGACAGGAAGACAGATAACTGCAGGGCCTTTGCATCTGTGTAGCACGTCACAGGTTCACAGGTCCCTGGGGTGCGCTCATCTGATCCTCACACCCATGCCGTCCGGAGGGCAGAGTGGGCATCACCTCCTGCATCTTCTAGATGAAGAAACCGAAGCCTCCTAGAGAGGAAGGGACACCCAAGACCACAGTGCCGGTGTGGGGTGGGGATAATGCTTTGTTGGAAGCCCAGACTCCCCACGACCAGCAGGGGGCGTCCCAGAGGCCTCTGTCTTCTGCCTCCTGTTCTCTTCTGAAGTTTTCATGATGGTTTCTGACTCCCTCTTAGGTATATATCCTTGCCCACAGAGCTATGACAGTTGGGACTACTCAAAACTGGATCCAGAGAGATTCTGGAGAGAAGAATTAATGTCGCATAGAAGAAAACCGATAAAGGGTAAGGTACCTCTCACGGACTGGGCAGAAGTGCCCGGGCTGCGCCCAGCCACCGTGTAGCTGGGGCAGGGAAAGGCCTTAGTACTGAAATCCTCAGGCCAGGTTCTGTCTCCTGTATATCCCCAAACTAGTTTCCAGAATGCCTGAAACGTTCATATGTTAACTGTAGTTAGAGTCAGCATGGCATCATTGTTGGGGTGCGGGGGCAATATTTTATATTATTACAGTGGGTGCCAGTTATTGCGTATCTGCTGTGTGCCAGGCAGCATGCTGAGCTCTTCACCTTTGGGAAATGCAGGCAACACAGTGATACTGCAGGGGACCGGGTGCTGTGGCAGGGATTATGGGTGCTGAGCGGCCTGGGAAGGGGTACCAGTCCAGCTGCTCAGCGGGTGCTTCTGGTTTGCCTGGGGCCAGTTCTCTTGCTGTTGCTGTTGCGTCCAGGGAGGGGGCCGCTCAAAGCTCAGAGCCTGCAGTGCCACACCAGGACAGGAAGGAACTGGTAAGCAACTCTGTCTCTCCCCTAGGAAGAGAGCGGTCCTTCCTCACTTCTAAGACACCCTCTTCACAGAAGTCTACCCAGAGCAAGAAAGTCCCCGGTCTTCAGGTGAGGAGGGAGGCGCAAACCCAGGCCCCTTGGAGCCCCCATAAACTTCCCTGGCTTCTGGTCAGCCCCGCATCTGCACTCCCTACCCCGTCATCTTGCACCCTGAATTTTCCCGAGTGCCAGAGCACGGTACAGCAGGGTCAATGACAGCGCTGACCCCAGTCCCTCCAGCCTGTGCCCATGCCCACCAAAATGAGACCTCAAAGCCCATTCCCCTTTCATGTCTCCAGGCATGCCCCTGTTGAGTCTCACCCCGGCTCAAACACAGGCTCTCCTGCTGCTCTGCCCCACCGCAGATAAGTTCTCGGCATACAGAATCAGAGCTGCAGGGTGACCACATGGGTAGAATGGTCCCATGTCCCCTGTGCTGTGGTGGGGAGGGGCCCCGAGCAGTCTGATTGTAGCCACCATCCCAGCGATGGTCGCCCAGCCTCATACACCTAGAGGGTGGTCGCTGGTCATAACACGAGGCTCGATGGAAAAGTATTTTGGGGAGGCCACCCCGTGCAGATTTTCTTCACATGTATCCTCGCTGGTCCTTTCCAACATTCCTGTGAGGTCGGCGATGGTTATCTGCATCTGGCACAGGAAGAAATACTTAAAGAGGTGAAGCACTCGCCCCAGGCCACACAGCTGACTTCAGCAGATGTGGGGACGCTGTCAGTCTGAGCTCTGAGCTCCTCCTGCATCTTCACGCTGCCAGAGTCTAATCCACATTCATTCTCTGCTCTGCTGTAGAGCTGAGAGGCCTATTAAGGATGAGCATGATGCCTCATTGAGCCCTGGGAGTGTTTTCTCTGTAACAAGTCCCAGTAACCACTTCAACACCATAAACATCAGTAGCTGTCAGACAACCAGCTGCATGGTGTATGGGAAGTCCGTTCGGCCTTCTTCCTCCTATTCAAATACATTTATATGAAAGCCAAGCCATGCTTGTTGAGACTGGTAGACTGCTCGTGTGCCACTGGGTGGGCCATCTGTTTAGCATCACTAAACTCCTACTCATCCTTGAAGGCAGAACAAAAGTGTCTTCTCCGCTTGGAAACCCTCCAGCCCTCCCCCAGACAGAATCAAGCATCCCCCACTCCACCGCCTTAGGATACTCTGCTCATGCTGCTTCTGGCCTACTATTAGTTGTGCCGCAGTGTCTGCTGTCCCCTTCCTCTGCAGAAGGAGCACCTCTGATGTTTATCCGGGCACGTACCTAGCCAGATAAAAGATTCCATTTCCTGGCCTCCCCACCCCCCGACATCTGTGTGTAGTCCTGTGACTAAGATCCAGCTAATGAGATATAAGTGGATGTGCGTGTGGCAGTTTCTGGGAGCCTTAAGAAAATAGCTCATATGACTCCCTTTGCCTCTTTGCCATTTTCTCCATTCTGCTGCCTGGAAGGTGAACGTGATGACTGGAGCTCTGGCTGCCATTTTGGACCCTAAGAACAAGGGTTCTGTCTTAGCAAAGGTGGGACCAGGATGTGGAAGAAGTCAGAGGCCCTAAGGACTTATCCCAGCAGGCTCGAATGTGGGAAGGAAATTTCTATGTAGTTCGAGCCACCGTTATTTTGAGTCCCTATCACTCATATACAAACCTAATCCTAATTTATACTGCCTCTGTAATAAATTTGTGGTACTTTCTACACCATATCATAATTGTCTATTTACTGTTATCTCCCCTGCTAGATGAGGATCTCCTCTGGGCAGGGGCTAGGTCTCAGGGTCTTCCCAGTGCCAGACACGTAAGTAGTGGCTCAGTGGCATGTTTGTGGAGAAGGCGTGGTGATTGCATGAGCAAAGGCTGCGGTGCTTATGGCGCACTTTGCACATGTTCGCTGACTTCATGAGAACCCGTGCAGGAACCCAGGCCAGTGAGACATGCAGTGACTTCCCCAGGATTGGTAGCTGCTGTGCGGAGGGCTGGGACCTGGACCGCCGCTGGCCACAGCCCATGTGTTTTCTCCCTCGGCCACTGCTCTCCACCACACTACTGGATGGAGGGCTGAGTTGTCCAGCTGTGCCTGAAAGCTGTCCCTCTACAAGGCCGATCAGAAGTAGCGGGTGTATTTGTTTGTATCCCTCTCACTGCCACTTGGACTGAGTTTGCTCTGTTTTTTTCCTCTCCCCTGGAGTCTACTAGTGCAATTTCAAACAGCGAGAAAGACTCTGTATCCAAGAAGACTTCAGAGGACACCTCCCAAATACAGAATGCCATGAGAGGTACATTAATTGCCTAAAAGAGAAATGTAAGCTTTGGACTGAGTTATCTTTGAATCCCTTGTTTCTGGGGTTTATTTCAACATAGTTTGTCACCCTAGTTTACACCCAGTTTCAAGCCCGGGCCTTGGCACCACGTCACATTTTGTGCGGGGACGCACTTGTCTTTTCAGTTCGGCAAGCTCTAATTAAGTCCCGCTTCCGTAACGGGGAGTGCAGGACGGCGCTGATGTCTGTGGGGAAGCGAGGCTGTGGGAGGGGAGAAACTAAATCCGAGACTGGATTACTGCTCCTCTCCCCATCAGAAGCCAGCATTTACTGAGGCAGGAACTGATTTGTGCCTGGCTGTTGATCTATAGTGGTGACTGAGTGACTTCTCAGGGTGGCCAACGCTGTTGTAAAAGTTTGTTGTTCACAGTTCTGCTGGGAACAAGAGGCATGGCTTGCCCCACAAGGCTGCGGGGTCGAAGGGGGTGAAATTCTGTGACTTTACCTGAGCTGCTTCCTCTGGAATCTCCCAGTGGTCTCAGCGCACCCAGGCCTTTCCACGCTCAGGAAACTGAGGTCTGCCAGGTACTCTTTCATGCGACAGCCACCGGCTCCAATGATCCTTTTCTGCCGACATTGCATTGACAGAGCATTCTGGTCAGCCTCGGGTCTTGAGGAGAGCTACACAGCAAGTCTTGAGGATATCAGAAGCAAGACTGTATGAGATTATGCATCTTAAGAAGGTGGGCACATGATGGGAAATTTATTTATATATTTTTTAAGATTTTATTGATTTATTTTTAGATAGAGGGGAAGGGAGGGAGAAAAGGAGAGAAACATCAGTGTGTAGTTGCCTCTTGAGCACCCCCTACTGGGGACCAGGCCCACAACCCAGGTATATGCCCTGACTGGGAATCGAACCTGCAGCCTTTTGGTTCACACGCCAGCACTCAATCCACTGAGCCACACCAGCCAGGGCTAGAAATATAATAGTCAAGATGATTTAAAAGGGGGTAGGGGATATGGCTATAAAAGCCAGCACCATAGAGATGTCAGCATAAGAACTGGGGTATTTCTGATGTAGACTCAGGTGATGGTCAGGAGATCTCCTAAGGGAAGTTCCTGGCTGAGGTAAGTACAAGTTGAGTACACACTTTGTCTGAATTTCTCCAGGGATTTAAATGACTTGCTTGGAACCCGGGAGCCTGGGTGTAGTAGAGTGGGAACACTGAGTCTGTTTCCTGCTCTCTAAAGTGGAGACGGTCATTTGTAGGCCGCAGCACGATGAGGTATGTCTGAGGCAGCGATGGTAATGGCCGTGTGATGGACTCACAGTTCAAGCGCTGCACCAGACCTGTGCGTGCAGTGTGTTTCGTTTGACTGCCACGGTCCTCCGAGATCACCACACCTAGCGCTCTGTTTATCTGCGAGGAATAATACACGATGCTCAGAGCAGGTGACTCGTTTGTCCAAGTTCACAAAGCAAGTGAGCGACAGAGCCGAGACTGCAGGCAGATCTGCCTGGTTCTGGGCCTGAGCCCTTAACGGCTGAGCCTTGTCACCTGCACAGCCTGCGAACCACGGGACTCACTGGACGATGCGTGTTCTCCTCTCCTCGTCCCCCAATGTTCCCCGCAAGCCTCAGCGCTTGGAAGTTTGTATCAGTGGCCCCGACACTCTCGCGTGGTAGGGGGAGGCCCTTAGGACCCTGAACGGGCAGGAGGTTGTGGGGCTTTCCTGCCACGTCCTCTTCCAACCATGCTGTCTGAGCAGGTCCAGGCATAGAGGAGTCGAGTTCAAGGAACTCGTCTCCCCGGAAGAGAACGTGGCTTCCAAAATGGGTTAATAATTGGCTGTTTTATTTTAATTATTTTACTATTGCTACTGAATATAGACGTTTTGTACTGTACTTACTTATTCCTGTGAAAGTCACCCAAGAGGAAGGGACAGTCCAGGGGAAAACATTAGTATTCCCCACGGAACTGCCTGAAAGGATGGAAAAATCCCCACAGATTCCCCTCTCCCTTGTACAGGGTGTACGACAGCCAGGGCGATATAATTATTAACCACAAGGGAAAACATGTCCAGTTGTATAAATGACCCTGGTCTGAGCAACTTAAAGCGATCAGGACCGCCATGGTGTATCAGAAATAAGAAAAACAAGTTAGATCTCTCAAATCAACAGTTAAGGCCAGTTAACAAAGAACCAGGTTATTGTTGCAAACACAGGTTGTGCCGCCAACAGTTGAGGGAATGAAAGAACAGATTAGAGAGACTTTCCCACGACTGTTCCTTACCCACAGATACAAAGGGTCTTCCAAGAAAACAAGTAAAAACTATATAGACCCCTCCCCACTGCCCAGGGATACGGTCAGGACAGTTGAGATGCATCTGCAAGGCAGAGGCAACTGTGGCTGGATTTCCTGGGTATCTCTCCTTACATGTTTGTTTGGGTGATCAAAAGGTGTTGGGATTGTTAGACATTTGTATTTCAGGTTCACTGATTTGCATAATTCCAATGAAGTTGTATAAAATAATTTCTTGACCAGAGAACAAAATCCCCTCTAATGAAATAGCTCCTGAATGCCTAAAAGTTGTTAGAGTAATAGCTCCTCCTTTATCTTGAATAAGAATATATATCAATTAGACAGGCAAAGAAATAACAAAAGCTGGCTAGTTATTACAAACTAAACATGTAGAAACAGTTACTAAAGAGTCAGAGTTTATAGTACACAGAGAAAAATTTTAGACAGAAAAAATAATTAGACATCACAAAGGCCCTATAATAAATTTCCTAACCTCTGCTCAGTCTAGCGTACCTTTTGCCCAATGCCAAATTCTAAGACCTTTAATAAACAATAAGACATTCAAACTCTGTACATAGAGCTATTTCAAATTGTCTGATTAATGGCTCTCCTGGTCAAAACAACTTTTGTTTAACATAACTGAAACTGTGGAAATTCTTGTACTTTTCCTGGTTACCTTTGTATTGATTTTTTTGCTTAACTGATCATACCACGCTGCAAATGTTAATCACTACCTAAAAGGAAAATATAAAAACCTGCTTGTACTTGCAATAAATGGAACAGAGCTTCACTGTCCTTTGAGGCGTGATGTCGTCTGTTACCCATCGCCAACGCCTTACCCACCTTTGGGAACCCATGGACCCTGCTGCGCCTGGTCTGCGGCACTTTCCCAAGACGCCAGCTGCCAAAGGAGTCGGACCGTAGAGTCTGGGCCAGGTGCAGCAAGTGTTGTGGGAGATTTCTTGAACCTTCTTCATTTCTCCATGTTAATTACCACTGCCCATTGTCTGCCAGCTTCTGGCACGAAACTTTTGAGAAGTAGCAGGGCGTGGTGGGAAAACAGACAGCTGCGGACTCACATCCCGGTGCTGCATCTCATCGGTGGGTTGTTTAACGTCCTCAACCTGCTTCTCTAAAACTGGGAACACGAAGCCGGGCAGTGGTGCCGCGGCCCCACTTTTATTTTTGGCTTGAAGCCCCCGCCCCCGAGTGCAGCAGAGGGTGGGTAACCCCCCAAACCCCTGAGTCCCGGGGCTGTCAGGGAGGAAATGGAAACTGGCAGCCAAAAGGTAATTCTCTGGTAAAGTCAGTGGGTCCTAGGTCTGCTTAGATTTTTCTAGACTTTGAAAATCTTTGTTTTTCTAAATGAGTTCACTAAGGCCAGATAGCTGCTATCTGGCATCCTTATTTCATGAAAGAAAAGTCACCAACCGTAAAGAAGTAAAGAAGACCATCTCAGGACAACAGAATCCTTAGAGTGAATGACCTGACTCCGTGTCAGATGTGTTATGATGTGTTTTTCCTTGCTTCCCCCATTTCAGTGGCGACCGGTGACCACCAGTGGGCCCTGTTTGGAGGAGGGGTTTCGGGATCATTGGACTGAATGAATGTCTTCTAAGTTCCCTGCTGACCCCGCGCTGCTGTGGTTCCAGAATCTTGCTGGTTTTGCCCGCTCAGAGATGTCTGGCCGTGGCTGGAAACACTTCTGGTTGTCACAGTGGGGGTGGAGTGGTGCGGCCTGTCGTCCAGCAGGTGGACGCCAGGGGTCACTCAGTGTGCACCCTGCGCAGGGTAGGGTCCCACAGTGAAGCATTATCTGGCCCCCAGGGTTAGGTGCTGAGGTTGAGAGACCCTGCTGCAGACAGAAATCTCGTGAGGCCGTTAAATTGGGGAGGATCAGAGCACAGTGTGGTCAGGTGCTGTCGCAACCCTTATTCACGAGATGAAACTTTCGTTGGGTTAAATTATAGCCACTTTTTCAAAATACAGCGTATCGGGGTTTTTTAAATATTTTATTTTTAAATTCCAGTTGGTGCTAAAGTCTACTGTTTTTTAAATACAAAAGTGGTGCATAATCATTACTGACATTTTTAGAAAAAGACAGAGGAATATAAAAATAGGAGGCAGATCGCTGAGCCCCAGCCTGTTCCTTCCGGGTTCGTTTCCTTCCGGTCGTCTGTGGGCATCTCCAGTGTAACACGGCACGTCTACGTGAGACCTCGATCTCCCCCCGTTCCTCCCCAGGGCCCCCCGGCAACTGGCACCGGAACCTGTGGGGCATCCTTGCCTCCTCCCTTTTCCACACATACATTGAGTCCGTCAGCAAACCCTGCCAGTTCTGTTTTCACTATATACTGCATATTTGATCACTTTTTAAAAATGATTTTATTTATTTTTAGAGAGAGGGGGAGGGAGGGAGAAACAGAGGGAGAGAACCATCAACCAGTTGCTTCTCACACACCCCACCGCTGGAGACCTGGTCCTCAACCCCAGCACGAACCCTGACCCGAAATCCAATCTGGGACCTTTAGGTTTGCTGGACGACGCCCAGCACACTGAGCCACCCCAGTCAGGGCTGTATTCGATCACTTTTCACTCCCTTCCCACCACCCACCAGCTCCCCCAGCCCCTGCGGAAGCCTCCCAGCCGCCCTTCTCACGTCCACTCTGACCCACTGCCATCATTTCTCCACATGCCAGTCAAAGGGATCTTTAGGAAAATTAATCATCCTATATTGTACCTGGATCACGATTTTCCAGTGGCTTCCATCACTCTGAGAGAAGATTCTAGGGCCCAGAGCCCCGCTCCCTGCTCAGCTTCATCAGATTGGAGCCACACAAGCCTTGCGTGCGTCCCCCTGCCACCCTACGCTGCTCTCATCCGCTCAGGCCCCCTTGCCTGGAACCTGGAGCAGCTCTTCCTCCCACCCATCCCTCAGGATGTGCTGGGGTCGCCCCTCCTCAGGGCAGCCCGCCCTGCCCACCCTGAAGAAGGCTCCCCTCCTCTCCAGCCTCCCTCCCCTCCACACCGTGCTTTGCCCCTTGCCCTGCCTGATTCTTATCTGAAGCGCTTATCACACAATATCTTGGTATTCTTCTGTTTCTTGGTTTGTTCGTTGTTTTTCTTTCAACTGTGAGTCCAGCCCTGCAAGGACCGGAATTTGTCTTATTTTCAGCTGAACGTCCAGTGCCTAGAACAGGGTGCGAGTGGTGGTCGCCCCTCAAATATCTGGTAACTGTGCTTCCAGTCTCTCACCTGTTTTGTTACCCAATTATTTCATATAGTTATATTTATTTCATATATGTAATATGTGCTCAATTTTGCATCTTGTTTTAATCTGTTATATCTGAAACGATATATTTTAATGCCAGCTCTTCATAAACATTCGAATAATGGCATACTATATACCTTTGGTTAGGGATATTAATAATTTTATGACTGTTATTCTGATACTTCATTATAGTAAAAATGTCTGCAGTAAACATCTTTGTGCCTAAACCGTTTTTATTTTGTCCACCTTTCTTAGGAGAGCGCCCTAAAACCGGAGGTACCGGGTCAAAGGACAAGAGTGCCTATACACTTCCTAACTCGTGCTGTGAAATGACAGGACTCTTTTTTTCTCCTCTCTTCTGCTCAGTCTCACCCTGCTTGCAAAAACCCTGAGCTGACTTCAAGCCTCTTCAATGTTTACGGGAAGAGCCCTCTGATCGTGTACTTCCTCCTGAACTACGTCACTCTTCGGCGTAGCGGTCAAGACGTGTTGATAACCCGGAAGGAGAAAACCAAGACCATCCCATATCCTTTCCTGCACGGGCAGGGCGCGCGTTACTCCGGCTTCCTCTGCCCGGAAGCAAGGGTAGCGGAGCCGGTGGGGGTGAGGCATCCAGCCCTCAATGCAGCGCCTGGCACAGAGCAGGTGCCTCTCAAGGACCATGGTTGATAGAAGCCTCAGGGTCAGCATCTTGCTCATTTAGATCCACATCTGCCTCAGGAACTGGCTGTGTGGGACCTGGGCAAGTTGAATGACCCTGTGTGCAAAGTTTCTTCCCATAAACCAGAATGAAAGCGTTAACTAGATATCCTCACATACCTTGCAACCCAGTGATGCCTCCCAGGTGCCCAGGGACCCTGGAGTATGTATTGAGCAGGAATTTTGGTGTCTGGGTGTGTGTTATTTTCTAACACCCTTTTCACACCCACCCCTCCCCCAGACACACCAGCACAGTCCTGGCCCCACTGGCATTTACCCTGAAGATCTGGTAAGAAGCTCAGACCTTAAGAAAGCAGGTGTGACATGTTGGTGGCCTGAGTCTTGGCAGCTTACCACAGAGGGTCTGCCATGGCCTAACAGGGACTCAGGAACCCACTCAACTGCTTACCAGCTGAGTGATCTTGGACAAGTTCTAGCTTCCCTCCGAGCCTCACTTTCTCATCTGTAAACTGGGGATGACTGTCCCTTCCTCATAGGACTGTGTCTCAGAGTGCAAGCACAAAGAGGTCAAGGCTTCCTATGGTGCCTGGTGGGCAACAGGTGCCTGAATGGTCCCAAGGACCTATAGCTCTGACCTGTCCAGGAGTGCGGAGGGGGCAGCGGGAGGTAGAGGAAATCTTTCGACAAACAAACATGAGCAAGGCAATGAGTTGGACCTGAAAGGAAAAAAGAAGTTACAGTTCCTTCCTATTCATCACTAAGAGAACAGAGTGAGACTTTTAGATGACAGTCTTAAAAAAGCATCACCTAGCCCTTCGGTCAGCGGGAAGAGAGAAGGGCTTTATTCAGAGCTAGGGAGCAGCCTGGCCGCAGAGAGGATGGCCTCCTTCCAAAGCGGGCCAAGGTCAAAGAGCAGAGAGTCGCTTCCTGCTCAGGCTCCCGTTACCCCATCCACAGAATTTCCCCACTGTGCCGACTCACTGCCCCTCCTCCCCATGCTCCAGGTGCACCCCAAGTCAGTACCGACCAGCAGAGTGGGTTCTCCTTGACCGTGAAGGCCACTGAGTCCAGCCTGACCTATGCTGATATCATCAGCACAACCCTGTGCAACATCAAGAGGCGAAAGGAGACCCTCCGGCAGCTGAACCTTCTCCACTGGAGCGAGTGGACTTACTTTGACGAGTACCTGAAGGAACAGCAGGACACCTTCCTCAGGTATTTCGGGGCCCCGGGGAGTGGCAGGTTCCAGCATGCGTCTTCTGCAGCAAGCACATCAGAGGAATTTGCATTGTGGGGCTGGCCCTGTAGCATCTTAAGTACATTGAGCTTTCTTATGGTCAGAATGTGAACTCCACAATAACAGAAACCAGATTATTTTTGAACATCGACTGGGTTTTAGATGATGTTAAGGAATTCCTTTTATTGCTGTGTTCCCATTGAAAGGAGATTATAATCGTTTTGTAGTTATTTTCAAGGGGTCATCTTAAAGACGGACATAATGAAGTGTTTATGGGTCAAATGACATGGTGTCTACCATTTGCTTTAAAATAACCCATTTGGGGTGGGGTCGGGGGGCAAAGGGAGCAGTAAATGAGTCCAGATGGACCGCCTGTTGGTAACCATTGAAGAATGGGTAAGTAGTGTTCGTTATACTACTTTCTTTTATATGTAAATTTTATATGTTTTCAAATTTTAAGAGTTGTTTTAAATGATAGACATAACAAACTGAAGGCAACAGCTGTCGATGTAGAACATTACCTGTAGATGGGCCAGGGCCCTTTGGGGACATCAGTCACACTTAGTTCCCCAGTGGAGCACATCAGTGAGCGGGCTCGCACCGAAGCGGGACGGACCTCAGGGCGTCGGACCGCAGCGCCAGGCACAGCTGCCTCGTTCTCTGTGAGTCAGGTCCGACGGTCTGCCCCGGGAGGCCTGCACACCACCTGCACACTGGGGACACGCCCAGTGGTGCTCACAGAGTGGGCGTGGGAGTGAAAAGAGATGCCTGGCTCAGCGCCTGGCTCGACCTGGCGGTGACAGAACCTGGGGTTGTGGGGAGGACGGTGTCACTGCAGGCTGGTGACCACTGGGTTCTCCCTTCTGGCAGAGGAGGGGCCGGTTTGCACCTGCAGGTGGAACTGCACCCAGCCTCCTACTCCTCTCACATACATAGTTATTGCTGTTTTGTCGACTTGAACACTCATGACCTGCTTCTTCATGAAGTAAATGTGCACTCACACTTCACAAGTCAGCTGGTGCATTTACCCAAGTCAGCGTTCCCTGTTCGGTGCACCCCAAGCTTACCGAAACACAGCCCACATTTTGGAGCTCTCGCTGTGTGCCAGCTCCTGACCTGTGGTAGCCCCGCCCCCTCCCCAGCCCTGGGCTCTGTTACCATGGTGCTGAGACAAGTACACTGGCACAGAGAGGTCACACGGTTTGCCCGAGGTCACAGAGCAGGCGGCAGAGCCCAAACTTGAATTCAGCTTGCCCTCAAAGCTCACGCTTCAGCCTTCTCTCAGACTGTGGAGTTCCTCACCTCACTTCCTAATTTGGATATGTGCTCCTTGAATTCAGGGACCGCCCGCTCTGTCCCCAGGGCTGCCAGGACCCCCAGCGCACAGCAGCGGTCGTGTTGCTGCTGTGTGGTCCACTCTCGGCTCAGTTTCTCTGCACGGACGCAGCAAGTGACCGTAAACATTGGCCTCTCTCTGCAGAGATGAGAGAGGAGAGGTCATGCTGGCTCTCCTGTCTTTTCCTTCGTGTCTGTGTGATTTTCCACAGGGAAGTGAAGAACGTAGACCAAAGAGAAGCAGAGAAGAAGAAGGCGAACCACATGTTCATCCACCCTTCGGTCCTCAATGAGGGGATGACAAAGAAATCTAGAGGAAGCATTCAGAGGGAGATTGCATTCCTTTTAAGGTTGGTTTGAAAAAATACCGCAGGAAAAGTAGAAACGTGAATGAACAATGGAAGAATTCTTAGCATATGGAAAAGAACACCTGAAAGTTCACTCACTTTTATGTGTGACTCACTCCATTCTCATTTTATTTTTTTTTATTAGTGGTAGTAGAAAGAGGCACCAATGATTCTGTACTCCCTCTGTGCTGAGCGTTTGTCCTTTATAAACTGTGTTGGTCAGAGCTCTTTGGCTGCAAGGGCCAGGAAAGCAGCTCAAAGGAGCTTGAGCGGAGGGTCAGGTTAGTGGCTTCAGTAACCAGGCAGCCTGCAGATGAGCGGCCGCGGGCACGTCGGCACCAAGGGCTCAGCAGTATCTCCAGGCTCTCTCTCCCTCCCTGTATTGCCCTCTTTCTGCCCGCTGGCTTATTTTTGCAGCTGCCCCTTCTCCCAGAGAAATAAAGAAGGCCAGAGATAAGCCTATGGTGTGACCTAAAGGAAGGGTTACACTCCTTTCCAGCCTCCAGGCACCAAACCGAATCGAAGTCTCTGCTTGCTCTGCTTGGCCCCGGCCCGCCTACCTGGTCTGGATCAGCACCGAGTGCAGAGAGAAGCAGGCTGTGCCGAGCCAGGCCTGAGAGAGCAGGGTGCAGTCAGTGACGTGGGGTAGAATGGGTGACATGTCATCAGACAAAGACATTGTGCCCACTTTATTTTATTTGCATCTCATCAAACCCTATTAGACAACATCACTCCCATTTTACTGAATAGAGAAGGGAGGCACAGACATGCTAAGTAAACATTGACTAAAGACCTTCTATGCCAGGCACTTAGGATACAAAGAAGGAAATAAGTTAAAAGTCCTCGCAGTCTGGAAGGAGGAAGAAAATATGTAAATAGGTAACGTGCCACAAGTTGTGTAGGTCCTAAGACAACACTGCAAAAGGGAACACGGCAGGGAGTGGTCAGCGCTGCTGGTTTGCTGGGGTGGCGAGGAATGAATGGGCTGCCACTCTAGCCAACTCGAAGAGCTCCGAGTTACCAGCCCGCCCCTGCGTCTGGCTGGTCGGGAGCGAGGGAGAGCTGAGGAGGGAACGCAGGGGCCTCGGGGGGGGTCTCACAGGCCACACCTGAAGTCTGCTGTCCTGTGGCCCCGAGGTGGCCTTCCAGGAGTGTCCTGTACAGAAATCTCCGTCTTCGGCTCTGGAACTTACCTCCATTCTTCTAAATAACATGCTTACCTTGTGTTTCTTGATTTTTTTTCCTTCTGTGACATAATCTGTTGATCGTTTCTGCCAGATTGTTAAGAGCTGTCAAAAACTCAGCTGCATCACTTTCCATATTTTCAAACATATCATACATATTCTACGTATATTCTATTAGACAGTGTGGTCGTTACAGGGGCAGATGCGGTTTGCTGCTTGTTCTGTTCTCTCCACTACAAGCATATGCAGCCTTCGAAGGCTAAGAAAAAGTTGTGGTGGAAGATCCTAAAAGTGGGGAGACATTCTAATAATTTCTCCTGCTTCTTTCTTTTCTTTGTTTTAATTTTGGCGTTCTTCTCAGGCCCTCGTCCTCCACCGGTCTAGCCTGGCATGTTCTGCGTCTGCTCACAGTTACCGCCTGGGAGCCTTGCCCGCCATCATCCTCGGACTTCCCTTCCTCGGCTCCACTCGGTTGGAGTCTCTTGTTTCCGGGTCACGTGTCTTTTTCTTTCTTATTTTACTTCCTCGTTTTGTTGGAACGCATCTTCTAGTGGTTCTTCGAGAAAAGGTACATGGGAAGGTTTTCCTAGTCATTACATGTACAAAATAACTTTGCTCTTGATGAATATTTGACAGATGCTTTGCTGGGAATAAAATTCTACTAGATTAAAAGTCCGTTTGCCATAGAATTTTGAAAAAAAAAATTTTTCCTACCTTTTAGTTTTTGTTGAAAAGCATGATACCGTTCTGATTCCCATGGCCTTGACTGTTCTACGACCTACTTTTTTCTGTGGAAGGGTTTAGTGGATTGTCTTTGTCCCTAGGGGTCTGAAATTTCACAGTCATGACCTGGGGTCAGTCTTTTTGTTACTGTTTCACTGGGATTGGGAACCCTCAGACTGGAGGGTTCTAACAGTTCTTATTATTTAGTTATTTCTCTTCCTTTATTTCCCTAGCTCTGCTTTTCAGGATTATATTGGCTATTGGAGCTTCCTGGACTGATTTTCTAATTTTCTTATCTTTATTCTCCTGTTGGCATCAGTATGAATTTCTGTCTGTATTTTATCTTCCAACATTTCTTTTAATTCTAAAAATTCTTACTTCATTATGAATTTCCTAGAGTCTGCTCTTATATTCTGGCTGTTCCTTTTTCATAGCATTTTCTTCTTTTTCTAGATGTGATATTTTCATCTATAACTGAGGCTATTAATCTTTTTCTTTAAAGATTTACTTATTTAGTTTTAGAGGGGGAAAGAGAGAGAGGGAGGAAGAGAAATATCAATGTGTGGGAGAAACATTGACAGCTGCTTCTCCCAAGCCCCCAAATGGGGACCTGGCCCGCAGTCCAGATATGCGCCCTGACCAGGAACTGAACCAGCAACCCTAAGACTCACAGGTTGGCACTCAGGCCACTGAGCCACACCAGCCAGGGCGTTATTTATTTTTTTTAAGTTGATTCTGACTCCATTATTTCTATGGGTATCTTTCTTGGGCATTTTTGGGGGGGGGGGTCTTGTTGTCTATTTGCCTGTTTTAAACTCTCACTTTCATCTTTGAGTTTTTCCTTAAATTATAAATGATCCCGGGCTGTCTTTATACATGAGAGTAAAGCTCTAAAAACTGACAGTGACAGGAAGAATCAGAGGCACAGCTTTTCGGTTTGTGGGCTTGCTCTCTTTTAGGCAACAGGAAAGAAGCCAGCTTTCTCACTAAAGGACCCTCAGGTATCAGCATCTACATGATTTTCTCAGCAGTAATTCTTTCTGTAGGAGAAGAAGAATCCTCCAGTCGTTTGCCTACGGGGTGTATGCCTGGCTGGAGACATTCTGGAAACAGAGGAAAGAAATGGGGGAAGGGATCCTGCGTTTAGTAGACAGACTTCCACTTAACTTTATTTTCTACCAGTCTGGTATCCTCAAGCCTGAAATCAGTTTATTTCCATTTCTCTGGAAAACAAAAGCAAAACAAAATCTTCCTAGCCCCTGCGTTCCTCCCCCCGGGACCCTCAGAGTCCATTATGTTGGCTGCCGGAGTTCCAGCTCACGGTCTGTTTTCCAGACCAGCCGCTCTAACAAGGGAAAGAAAGAAAAGGGCAGCCCCATTCCCTCTGTCTCTGTCTGTCTGTCTGTCTTTCTACAAATCCATCAGTCAATTAATCAATCACTAAAGAGAAAAGCAGGGATGAGGGGGATATCCTTGCCTTGACCCTGACCTCAGTGGGAAGGCTTCAGACTTCTCACCGTTGAGTTCGACATTAGCGCCAGTTTGTTGGTAGATATTCTTTATCAAAATGACGTCGTTCCCCCTGTTTTTAGTTTGCTGGGTTTTTATCATGAATTGTTGGATTTTTTTTTAAAAAGATCATATTCATTAATTTTAGACAGAGTGGAAGGAAGGGAGGGAGAAAGAGAGGGAGAAATATCAATGCGTGGCCACCTCTCCCACGCCCCCTGTAGGGGACCCGGCCCACAAGCCAGGCATGCGCCCGATCAGGAATCGAACCGGCGACACTCTAGTTCACAGGCCAGCACTCAAATCCACCCTGAGTTAAAATATTAAAATTTTTAAAAGATTTTATTTATTATTTTTTTTAGAGAGAGGGAAGGGGAAGGAAAAAGAGAGGGAGAGAAACATCCATGTGGGGTTGCCTCTCCGCTTTAGTTGTTTGCGATTGCCAGCGTCATTGACTGGTTTGCAAACCTTTTCTTTCCACACCCATCAAGATGCCAGTGAAAACTTCGAAGAAATCACCCTGAGTTTTTTGAGCTGATTGCTGTTGATGTCTTGTTTGTTTCCCCACAGAAAGGAAAAGGCAGAGAAAGAGAGACAGAAGTTGAACTGTCCTCCCATCCCACTTCCGAGCCCCAGGGAAGTCCCGTCCCTGGAACTAGGAAGCTCCAGCAGCTCTTCTGACGTTCCCGGTTCCAGGTGGGTAGAAGAACAACAGGGGGAAATGGCGGCCAAAGACCGAAAAATAAAAATGACGATTCCCGGGACAGAGGAGACAGTTCATTATATTAATAATCCTTCCTAGGCTGAGGGAAAAACAGGAGTAGGGGGGGTTTTGTAGGGTGACAACATTCATTTATGCATTTACTGTTTTACCTATTATTTTATTTAAAATGTTATAACTAACAATATTAAATTATAACATGATAATAATGGTTATCATTTATTAACTGGTCACTCTGCACCAAGCATTAAGCTAAACACTTTAGGAACATGACCTCATTGTAACCTTTATTTACTATTTTTTAAAAGATTTTATTTATTTATTCTAGAGAGAGGAGAAGGAGAAAGAGAGGGAGAGAAACATCAATGTGTGGTTGCCTCTCATATGCCCCCCACTGGGGACCTGGCCCGTAACCCAGGCATGTGCTCTGACTGGGAATCGAACTGGTGACCCTTTGGTTCCCAGGCCTGTGCTCAATGCACTGAGCCACACCATCCAGAGCTCATTCTAATCTTTGTAACAGCCATGGGAGGTGGATATTACCTAGTGCGTTTTATATAGGAGCAAGCCCCGGTGTGCAGAGTCAGAAGCTCCTTGCTGCAGACACTGGGTGACAGCGGTAGCCAGAACACAGTTCCTGTTTTCAGAGGGCTTACAGTCCGGCCGAGAGGAGGCAGGCGCGTCAACCAATAAATGCCGTCGGTTCCAGGGGTGCTGTTTGACAGGGTACAAAGGGTGCAGCAGCCTGGAGCCACGCAGAAATACTTTTAAAAAATATGTTTATTGGTTTTGAGAGAGAGAGGGAGGTAAGGGAGAGAGAAACATCGATGTGAGAGGAAGACATCGATTGGTTTCCGCCCATCTGTACCCTAACGGGGTCAAACCAGGTATGTGCCCGGACCAGGAATTGAACCTGCAGCCTTTTGGTGTATGGGATGACACTCCAGCCACCTGAGCCACGCCGGCTTTCCAAAAGCGGTGTATCTTGACCTGAGTCAGGTGTGTGCCGGGCAAGAGGCAGGGGATGAGAGAAGAGGCTGGCCTTCTCGGTGGGTGGGGCAGTGGAGGCCAAGGCTCCGAGGCAGGAGGTCGAGCAAGAGTGTGGGGGGCTTCCGGGAGAGGCGAGCCTGGAGGAGGTCCCTGGGGGTCATGAAGGGATGTGCATGAAGCACTTTATTTTCTAAGTCACGGAGAGCCCCTGAAAGATACTCTGTGGGGAAGCCATGTGGTCATATTTGGATTTTAAAAGTACCAATGGCAGATGGAGGTCTTCACAAAGGGAGCGTGGGTGTATTTGGGGGGATTTGTAAAGTCTCCTGTGAATATTTACCTTTATACGGAACCCTGGCCGTGCCTCTAGGTCAGTGGTCCCCAAACTTTCTCGATCTCATCTCTCAGTTAAAAAAAACATTTAGGAGCATCCAGCCCCTAACAATACATTAATTATTTAGAAATCACATCTATATTTCTATACTAGTGTAGCATGTATACTATAAAACATACAGAAAGTAGAAATTAAAAAGGATAAGAGAATCATGTATAAACAAACTCCAACACCTTCTCCCTTATAACAGCCCCATGGGGGACCCACGTCGTGAAAGGGACGACTGCTCTGGATGGGCCCCAGGTTCAAATTCATCAGGTAAAGGAGTCACTGTCTAGTTTCCCCCACGGGAAAAGATGGAGCAGTAGGAGGAGCTTTAACTGTAAAAGGATCTGGGGTTTTCGGTCTTCGCTCTGCCCCTCTATGACTTCAGGTCAAGTTCCCGAAGTTCTCTTGCCTGTTTTCCCTGCCATGAAACATATGGATGGTGTCGTGTATGAAACAGCCAACCCACAGAAAGAGCCTGGCATAGGAACTGCCAATAATTAATAGTCTTATTTTTTCCCTAAGACTTCTGACGTTCCTTAATCCAGCATGCCTGAGAGCACTGGCCAGCCCAGCCCAGAGGGACTCCGGGTTCTCCGGGCCCTGGGCCAGCTTACCGATTAGGACTGTGTTCATATCCTGCTCACTCACCGCTGGCAACTGAGATGGTGAAGCTCGAGAAAACACGCCAGTTCTTAACCCGCAGGAAAGCGCCTCCAAGCTCCAGGAGTTTCGTTCACATTTAGACAGGGCACAGCCTGGGTCCGCAACGTCCTCCTAGACACCTCTCAGAAGTCACCGAGGGTTGGTGAGCCCAGACGTCTAGAGCAGGCTTGCTCTTCCCGCTGCAAACACCGCGAGAGGAGTTGAGAAGTGGTCTTCCCCCGTGCTGGGCGCGGTCCATCGGTCATCCCATTCAAGTCCCAGCACAGCCTTCTGAGGACTTGTGTTTCGTTCTGTTTCTCAAAGGAGGCAACTGAGGCGCTCTGGAGTCTAGGCACAGGCTCCACCTCATGGATCTCTTTAAAAAATCCATATCTCATGCTGCTCTTTTCCTCAAAACCTGCAGCTTCTCCTCCTCCCCTAAGGATCCTGGGGGTAAAATCCAAACTCTTAGACAGGAGCAAGGTGTTTGTGAGGTGGCCCCTGCTCACCTCTCCTCCCTCCTCTCCCTCCACCCCCCGCCTCTCAAACCACACCGAGCCCCTGCAGCTGCCCGAAGAGGCCAGGCTCCTCCTGCCTCCAGGCCTTGCTTGGCACAAGCACCTCCTCTGCAGAAATGCTACTACCTCTCCCACCTTGGCCCTCCTTCCACAGCCTGCTCCTGCTGCTTCTTCAGAGTCAGGGCAGAGGATGTCTCTTCCTCCAGGAAGCTTTCCCTGATACACACACTGAAGATCAAGGTTAAATGCTTCTCTAAGCTCTCAGACTTTTGTTAACATGAAAACCTCCTGGGCCCAAAGCAGTGCAAGAAGCTGCATCAGAACATCTGGATTGGAGGATGTAGAGCAGACCATTTTGGAGAAAGCAGTCCAGCAGTTGTCTCACCGGGCTATGCTCTAGGGTGGAGGAGGAGGCCGGCTCCAAGCGCAGATGGACTGAAGGGTGAAGGAGCAGACGCTGACACACTCAGGGTTTCTCCTGAGCTCACGGCCTCATTCTCCCATCTGTCGGGGCGAGACAGGCAGAAGCCGTAGTGGAAGCCCATGAAAATGCTATCGTTTTAAATTCTGGTGTCCAGTAAAAGATTATTGAGTAGTACAAAATACGAATTTTTAGTACATCGGCAAAGTTTGATATGTTAAAGTATCCCATAATTTGTTAAGAAACCACAAGTAATATGTTTCCTAACCGTAACGTTTACTCGTTCATTAGTTTTCGTCACCTGTGCAGTGGCAGGCAGCGGGGTTTCCCACAGCCGGTTTACTCGGTGCTCGTTTTGGCCAGGTCCTCACTCCGTGCCAAGCACGATCTGTGTATTGTCTGTCGCAGCATTCCTGTGAGGTAATGGGAAGTTTTGTCCTCATTTTACAGTGGAGGCAGCCGACGCTCGGAGAGGCTTAGTGACTGCTGACCCCAGGCTCTCTCATTTGGTAAGTAGTTTTAGACCCCAGGGCCCGAGCTGCGGCCTAACTGTTCTTAAGATAAGGCTGAAGAGGTAAGCTTCATGTGAAGAAAGTCTTATCGGTTTTCTGGGAGGCGATGGAATCCTCCAGGTTAGGAGTAGCTTAGGCACACTATTCTTTGTAACATCCATTTTACAGTGGAAGGGAGACCAGTCAGTCCAGCGCATCTTGAGTAGTCGTTGCTCTTCCCTCTCCCTGAACATGTTATAGACACATGTTCATCTGGCTGATTCTCACTCGACCCTTACAGCCCAGCTCAGCCATCACTGCCTACTTTGTGATCTGTGCTTTATCAACCATGCTCCACTGAATAGGTCTGGGGACGTCTGTATTCCTCTCTCTCCTGTAAGTCTTCCAAGTTCGGGGACTTTGTCCCACTCAGCATCGAATGTCCTGCACCTGCTCCTGTGGCTGGCACATAGTAGGGATTTAGCAAATCTGTAAAATGGTGATAGTAATAGTATGTACAGCATAAAGCTGTTACAGGAATTAAATTGGTCAGTATTTGTAAAACACTTAGAATACTGCCTGATACAAATAAGTAAATGTTTATTAAATTAACCAATTAATAGTTCTACAAAGCTTGTTACAAAAGACTGCCCTCCCCTGCACCCCCTCCCATTCCCCAGAAACAACGCTTTCTACTTTAACTGATTGTTTTAGTATTTGTTTTCCTTTTTATGTCTCAATATCATGCTGCTCTGCTCCTTGATTTTTTTAAAGGAAGGTTTTTATTCCAATGCAGCATGATCTGGGACAAGGGGGGACTCCCCGTCTCAAAGCTCATCTCCTCCACAAAACCCAGCCGTCCTCAGCAAGACCCAAACAGAAGGCAGCGCCCAGAATGCCTGTTCCACCTTAAAGTCCTGTCCTTTGGAGTCCGAGGCAACTTCTCAGCCGTCACCCAGGCAGCTTAGCTTGTTGTCAGCTGTTGTCGTGCTTCAGGCCCCCTCCTTGGAGGTTGCATGCAGAGCCAGTGCTGCTGTTGGCTGTGTGGCTTCTGGGCCACAAGGTCCCATGCTCTCTGGCTGGTGAGCACACGAATGCTCCACCAGGTCAGCAGGAGAGAAGGACTCCCTCCCAGAGGCGAAGGGGACACGCGACAGGGCAGTACACCATCCAGCCTGGGTGCAGGTTCCGGGCAGCAGCCACGATCAAGAGCTGCTCCTTGATTTTGCACTGTTAGACTTGATCTATCGAGGTCTCACTAGGAGGGGGGGCAGGTGCTCTCTCACATGCACACACTTCCCAGGCCCCGTCCTTCCGATGTGTTTCTGTCGTGATTGTGATGGGTCGTTAATCAGCGTCGTTAGGCCATCGGTGCCATCACCATGCGCCATGTAGTGCACTGTGGTTGTTATTATTATTATTTTTTTGCAACACTGTTTGATGTCCCTGGAACTAAGTCTCTCTCTCTTTAAATCGGCCTGTGTTCTCATTTTTTTCTTATGTATTTATTATGATTTAGCTTCAAATTCTCCCTTGGCTCTATAAATCTCCCCCAGTACATTCAGACACTTCACATAGTCTACAGTTTCACCTTCTGACCTGCTCCACTCTGGGTGGTTGATTTCGAGGCTCCTTATATAATCTTGGGGATTCCTTTCTTCCTTCTCTTGATCACACTGGTTTTTAAATCTGTTTCTGTTTGCTTCTTTATGATCCATCCATAGAGAGGTCAGTAAGAAGTTGCAGAAAAATGAAGTGTTCTTGCCTAGCCCTGCGCCTTCCAGCTCACCTGGAGGAATCCTTGTCCAAGAATTGGGAGAACGTTAGGGACAAAGTCTACGCTTGTTGTTGCGTTTAATCTGAGACAGGAACAGCAAGGCAAACGAGAAGATGATACTGCAGCACCTCTGGTCACTCCCAGATGTGGGGCAAAGACTGTCACAGCGCGCTCCGCCCACGGCCGAAGCCTGGGTGTAAACTGAAGTTAGTTCACCTCATTCATCCATGCAGTTACTAGTAATTCTTTCATTCACTTGTTTATTAGTAACACCATGGAATATATAATATTGTGTAACAATAATCATAGGAGACGTAATTTATTGAGCACTTACTATGTACCGAGTGCTCTGTTAAGTCCTTTTTTAATTTTTCAAAATCCTCATCTAAGCACCTTTTTCATTGCTTTTAGAGAGCAAGAAAGTGGGGGAGAGAAAGAGATGTTGATGTGAAGGAGAAACATCAATTGGTTGCCTCCAGTACAGACCCTGACAGAGGACAGAACTCAAGACCTTTCAGTGCACAAGACAATACTCCATTCAGCAGAGCCATACCACCAGGGCGACATCCTTTTTAGACATCATCTCCCTTAATTCCCCAAGATGGCGCTGTTACCTCCATTTCTTCCACCGGGGCTTGGAGAGGTTGAGCAATATTCATTCCGTGTCTGTTGTGTGTCCTGCCTGCACTAGTTCTGTGGTTACAGGGATGAATAGAGACCCCGTCCCTGACCTTACAGGGCTCACAGTCTACAAGACGGGGTAGGATGTATAAACGAAGAATGCATTAATACTTTGCCAGAAATCTGTGTGGAATCCAAGAAAAACCCAGGGGAGAGAGACTTCACTGAGGCTCAGAGGTACAGGGGCCAGTGTGCAGAAGGACGTGCAGCTGGGCTGAGAGGCTCAGCCAATGTCACTTTGGCCTCATGGTCCAAGGAGTGACCTGTTCTGGGTGACAACAACCTGCTTGGCACAGCCAAAAGGGAGGAAACCATGCCAGTGGCCGTGTGCCTGAACCAAGAAGCAAGTGAGTGCATTCTTAGGACCTGTGGTGTCTCCAAGGAATATGGCTCTTCTCCTGAACCTGAGTGTCACTCCTGGTGACCACCCCTAGAGATACTACCCAGGTAAAGAGGTGCAGGACAGGTGGTAGAGAAGGAGCCCAAGCTTTGGCCCCAGAAAATTCAGGCCTTGGAGTCCCCACCCTGCTGCATAATGGATGTTGACTTCAGGCCCAGAAGCACTGAGCTTGTGCTCTTGAACACAGAGAAGAATGCCTGCCTGCCTGCCAGGGTAGTGTTGTCGTGAAGATTAAGTGATAGAATTTATGCCAGGTTCCTGGCACAGCGTATTTCACTTGGTAGTTGCTACCAACTATTATTATTTTTGTTGTTGTTTTCATTGCTATTGTAAAGCATGCTCTTCTGAAAGCAGCACGTGCTGAGCACCTGCCATCCATGTGTGAGGTGCCGTACGGCTTAGGTAACCAGAGCAGTCTGTCCCTCCCCTTTGTTACCTAAGCCACAATCAACTCTTTTTTTACATTTACTAAAGCTGGGACAGTGAAACCAGGAAGGGCTTAGGACAGAAGAAGGAACAGGAGAGCCCAGGCTGGGCTGCTCGGCTTACTGAGAGGTCAGAGAAAAGGGGGCCCTGGAGACAGAGTCAGGGGGTTAGCCCAGGAGGAGCTGCTCCTGCCCATGGCCCCCCTGGTTGCAAGTCTCAAGGGGACCCTTAGGGTTTAGGAGATGCTGCCTTTTGGGGAGGAAGAGGAGAAAGGGGAAGGTGCAGGCACGCTCCCTCAGGGACCGTGCCTGCAATCAGCTCTTTACTTGCAGTTTTCTCCTGAGGAGCCACGCTCACCCTCCTGTTTATGGGCCTTTTGCCTATTGCTGCTTCAGGACCTGGATCCCCCCCCTTTCCCCTCTTAACTCACAACATTGCTAATTCCTGCTCCTCCTCCAGGAAGCCTTCCCGGAAACACCACCAGCAAGGTGGACAGATGTGCCCCTCCTGCTCCCACAGCCTTTCGTGCACTCCTGTCGTGAGCAGTTCCCACAGGTGTGCTTACCTGCTCACCTGTCCCTGCCACTGGCCCCTGCTCAGGAGGAAGGCCACCTGGTTTTCAACATCCAAGATGAATTGCCCTACCGTCTTTCAAGACAATCCTTTGCATAGTGCTTGAGTTCAAGATCATCCTTGCATGGACCACTTCCCAGAAATTCCTGAAGACTCCTAACCATAGGCCTCTCAGGAAGGTCAAGATAAAAGACCTATTTTCCCTCTTTATAAATTATGGGGAAGAATTTTTTACCCTTTATAAGGGGAGGGGCATAGAGCATCAAAGGAAACTAACATTTAAAAAGCATTTACAGTAATGCGTGATACAGCAAGTAACCGTGTGACACTCCAGCTCTGTCATTCCCAGTGTTGCTGCGAACGAGTACTCTGAACATGGAAGAGAGGAAGTCCAGATGTTACATCAGAAGAGATAAGAGTCCTGTAGTCCTGGTTTTTAATTGATTATGAACTGAGGGTATATTTTGTCTTTAAACAAACAGTTGCCTAAGGAAGGGTGGTGGGGGTGGTTGGGGAGGGAAGGGGGGAATGGAGGGAATTACAAAGAGCCCCGAAGAAACTTTTGGGGTGATGGATAGGTTCACTATCTGAATGTGGTGAAGGGTGTACAGATAAAGACACAGCATATGCCCACATTTTAAAAATTTTAAAATTTTTAGAGAGAGGGGATGGTGGGGAGAAGGAGAGGAAAACATCGATGTGTGAGAGAAATGTTAGTCGGTGCCTCTTGAATGTGTCTCGACTGGGGACCCACAACCCAGGCATGTGCCCTAACTGGGAATCAAACCGATGACCTTTCAATTTGCAGGACAGTTGGTTGAGTGCTGGTCTGTGAACCAAAGGGTCCCCAGTTTAATTCCCAGTCAGAGCACATGCCTGGGTTGCGGGCCAGGTCCCCAGTAGGGGACACATGAGAGGCAACCACACATTGATGTTTCTCTCCCTCTTTTTCCCTCCCTTCCCCTCTCTTTAAACATAAATTTTAAAAATCTAAAATAAAAGAAAATTAATGGGCCACCTTTGAAGGATACTAAGGAACCAATTCATTATTTTGAGGACTGGTAAATAAAGGAAATGAATCAGTATTTATCATGTCATTCCCATGTGAACTGTATCACTAGATAAGCAAACAGATAAGGGGAAGTTTCTCTTCAAAATATTCCTAATATTTTGAAGAGAAACTTCAAATAAATAAATCAGAGATAAATCAAGGAATGATAGAATTAAACTATCACCATTTGGTAACACCCGATGAATTAATGAATCTAGGTTGATTATCAACAGCCGCTAACATTGGTTGCCTCTTGCAACCCAGGCACGTGCCCTGACAGGGCATCACACCGGGACCTCTTGCTTTGCAGGATGACACTCAACCAACTGAGCCACACTGGTCAGGGCGATCTCTGAACCTTTTAAACCCGCACCCGCCAGTGCCCTCCCATTGGCAACCATCAAAATGTTCTCTGTATCTATGAGTTTGTTTTTGGTTTGTTTGTTCATGTATTTTTGCTTTTAGATTCTACATATAAGCGGACTCATACAGTATAGTCTTTGACTTCTTGCACTCAGCGGACTCAATGTTTTTCAACGAGTAGGTTGCAAAGGAAAAGAAAGAGGAAAATCTGTATATTAAAAGACACTTAAAAGGCATCAATAAATTGCACTGTGTAGATATTTTTTGAGTCCCAGTGGAAACAAACTTTAAAAAAGGTATGACGTTTATGAGATAATTAGATGTTTGAATGCTTCCTGGATGTTTGATATTAAAATTTTTATTAATATTTAGGTGTGATAATGGTACCATGTTTGTTTTTAAAAGAGTTTGAGATATACACTGAAATATTTACATAAAATTATATGATGTACGGAATTTGCTTCAAAATAATATGAGAGAGGAAGTGGTTGGAAGTATACATAAAGCAAGATTAGCTATGTGTTGAAAATTGTTGAAGCTGGCTGATGGGAATATTATACTGTTTCACTTTTGAATGTATTTGAAATTACCCACAATAAAAATGAAAGGCATACACTATGGACTAGACACTTTCAAGCATATTATTATACATTATTTGTCTTGTCCTGTAGTCCTGTGAATGCGTAACAGTTTTCTCCATTTCAAACTAAGGCCTTTCTCGGTTGCAGCCACCGTTCCCCGTGGCTTGGATTTTTACGGCGTTCTCCCAGGCGTTCTTGCCCTCTCATACCCACTCCAATTCATTCTGCACACAGCAGCCCAAATACTCCGAGTGTATTGACCCACTTAATTCTCACAACCACTCAGTCCTAATACTAGTCTTGGTTTTCCGATGAGGAAACTGAGTCACAGGTTAAGTAGCTTCCCCAAGACCACACGGCCAGGGTGGCTGAACTGTCCTCCAGTAGGCTTATTGCTTCTCCTGTATGTGCTTATGCCATACTTCTATAAATGTAAAATAAAATCCATACGAATAGAGTCTGTCATATGCTGGTTTGGCATATTGGTTAAGAACCTATACATGAGCCAGACTGTGAGCCTTGGGCAAGTTATTTAACCTCGTGGTGCCTCCGTTCCATCACCTCTAGGAAGATGGAACGGCATCACCATATCGTCATCCTTGATACAGTGTCCACCTCGGGGTGCCTTTGTGTGGGATGGATGTGTTCATCTGTGGCAAGCAGTACGTGCTGTAAATGTGAACTGTCGCCAGATGTTACCTTGGGCTTTTGAGAGCTCATGTCTCCCTAGCACCTTTCACTGTGGCAGAACCCCTTGCAGCTCCCTAAACAAGCCTCCATGCTCCCGCTGCCTTTCCCAGGGCCCTGCTGGCATAGCCTTACTTATCCTCCCAGCCCCAAATCAAAGCTTACCACCTCTGTGAGGATCCATCCCCAGGGGGAGGTCTGCTTGGTGCCCACCTGCATGTGCGTATAATCTGCTCTTACCTTGCCCCGTGTGGATCTGTCCCTGTATTTATCTTCCCTGCTACACTCGTGGCCGGTTTTTTGAGGTCAGAGAGGTGGGGCCATGTATTGAATAAATGGTGGTTAAGTAAACTGTCAGGGGCAGGCCTCTCTGGGCAGCTATGTGCCAAATTGGGGAGTTTTTCAAAGTCTTATATAAATCTAAAAAGCCCCGAATGACTGATATATACAGGGTCCAGCACAAATAATGCCCCTTGTTTATGAGCTGGCAGTCTATTTCAAATCTTTTATTAGAAAATCATAAGCATGTAATTCCATGACATAACTATCACACTGAAGCACACCATATGGCATTTTAGGTGAAACGTTCAAATTGCTGTCCATCTCATGTGAGACATCCACATACCCTGCCAACCACACTCAATGGCATTACTTCTGCCAGACCCTGTATGTTTGCATATGCGTGTACATATATGTATATATGTAATATGTACACACATATATTACTGTATTTGCTTATATACTCATCTGGAGCCCCTGCTAGGGTTTGTATCTTATTTGTGGTGAATCCCTTGCATCCAGCACCTGCCACAGAGTCTGACAAAAAATCAATCTTTTGAATGAGTTAAATATGTTTAAGGGGAGGTGCACCCACTGAAATTCTTTTGCGATGACCCTTCATTCTTTAGTTGTATTAAACCATTTCTCAAACTTGAGCTTTAGAAACTCTAAGAACACATATCTGTAGGCACCAGTTTGAGGAAGCTCAAATATATGTAGTGAGGTCATACACACACATTTGATTGTAAGGTGGTCGTCCACAGGGGACAGTGAAGTGTACGGCTGAAAAGTCAGGTCTTCACTGTAATCCCACTGCATTTTCGAAAATTCCTAGAATATTACAAACATTACACAAAATTTTTAATTTTATAGAGAACTTGTGGACTTGCTGAAGGATTTGAGAAGTTGTGAAAACTAATTGACACAATTACTCATTGGTTACTAACGGACAAGGAAGTTCTGGCTCACCATGCTCTAGATCTGGGATGGAAAAGCAGGATTTTGTTAAATGTAGTCACTTTTATAAGTCTTTTATGGCTTTGGAGTTTCATATCATACTTAAACAGATTTTCTTTTTCTGGAATAATAGAAATTTGTCTCATTTTTTCCTAGCACTTTTATTATTTTATCATTCAGATTTAATTTCCTGATCCATCTGGCATTTATTTTGGTATAAGGTGTGAAGTATGGTTCCAATTTTACTTTTCTTCCAGATGGGCACCTAGTTGTTCCAACACCATTCATTGGATTCATGATTTCCCTACTGGTCTGAAAGGTCACCTTCATCATACTCAGAATTTTGTATGATATGAAAGACATCTTTTTTTATTCTGATTTCAATGGGGAAAGTCTTCAAGTATACTTTTTAATTACCCCAGGGTTTCTGGTTTGTTTTTTAAAAACATTTTAAAAGTTGTATATAACCACCGATATCCCATTCAAACAAGATTTTTATCCTCACTTCACGAATTTATTACCAAGCTCATTTCAGTTTCTTTAAGTGTACCACACAAACCTTCAAATATTTTGAACATTTCTCTCTCCCAGCTGTCACTACATCAAACTACATATGTTTTATTTTCCTAAATCATCTCGTTGTGCTCTTTGCAGCTCTTCTGTGCAGCTGATGTCTCCATCTAACAAATTGCTCGAAAGTCGCTACATTTTACTTTATTATTTTTGTAAAGAATGCTAATTTAATATTTCCCAATATTTTTAATAAACCCAGCTACCAACTTGGCATTCAACGTATTTTTATTTAACTACTGTTCAAGTACAGTTTTCTGTGTTTTACTCCCATCCCAGCCCACCCCCCAAAAGTCGCTATATTTTAAGTAAGTCCTCAAAGTGAAAGCCTATTATCCCTACCCAGTTCACCCCAAAAATGGGCATTCATTTTCATTTAACATCAAGGACAGGCAGTGTTTTTGGAAAATAACGGATTTGGAAGAGCTGTGGCATTTATTGGCTCTTTAAACAATCCACCTGGGGGCGGGGAATGCCCCACGAAATGTCAACTGCTATTGTGGGAATCTTTTTGCTATTTATTCCAGCAAAATGATTCAGACAATGAAGGAAAAGGGTCGCCCTGTACTAGGTCTTGAACTTAAAAAACTGTTAGCACAGATTTGCATCCAAAATACATCACAGCCTCCACCTCAACAGATGCTCGTTCAAATGTTTCACGACTTTCAACCGTCTCCATTTAAGGGGAAAAGGAAGGCGCTGCCAGAGGCGGCAGCTCTGCTGACATGAAAGCGAGCCTAAAATTTGTTTAAAAGCTGGACCAAAATATGTTTGGCTTCTGTTGTCTATTTAAAATTTCAAGTTAAGACGGAGAAAAAATTACTCTCCATCCTGAATGGGCCCTGGATGCCTCCCTCGCAGAACAGAGTGGCAAACGGTAAGAGAGTCAGAGAGAAGAAAGAAATTAGGATCGCTGGGACATCAGTGAAGCCACCGATATATAAAAAACTGGGAGTGAAAAGGGAAGCCTTGAGCAGGGGGCAAAGGGAGAGCCCCATATTCGCCCTCCTGGCCCCCTGAGGGTCCTATCGCCACTCAGCCACCCTCCCGCAGCACCCGGTCTCTGCCTTGAGGTCTTCCACCTCTCGTCCCTAGCCCGCGGTCTCGCCATCGCGGAACAATCCCCACCTCAGGGCCTTCTTTGTTGCAGCTGCCGGACCTCACCTCCGCGCTCACTTCCGTGAGTGCACTGGGTGGGTATCAACGCAGCTCCTCAGGGAACCCTGGGCCCAGAGCCCCCGGCCCCCAGTTCCGCCTAAGGCCCCGCCCACTCTCGGTCCGCCCCCTTGGCCTCGCCCCCATCTACGCCCCGCCCCCAGGTCCCAGAGGAGTCTCCGCCCTGAGCGCGTCCAAACTGCCGCGAACTGGTATCAAACCTCCTGCTCTGGGACGCGCGAGGCCCCCGTCTCCGAGTTGTGGTTCCGATTCCGAGTCCGAATCCCTGAGGACTGGAACGCCCGGGTGGGTGGGCGGCGGAAAGAATTCACCTTGAAAACCTCGGGAGGCTGGGCACGAGCGGGGTTCGTAGCAGAAAGGGGAGCGCGCGAAGGGTCTGAGGGGGAGCGCCAGGGTCCCTTCCGCAGTGACGCGGCCGGTCGCGGCCCGCCCTCCGCTGGGGCTTTGCGCGCCCCGCCCTGGGGGGCGGCCTCCGTGGACTGGAGGGGCTTCCAGCGTCTGAGGGTCAATCGGGGCGGACCTCAGCCTGGAGAGCCGCCTCCTGAGGGAATCGGGTGTCGGGAACACGCCCGCGCGGCTCGGCCCGGCCTCCCACGGCGGGCTCGGTCCCGGTCCGGGCGCCTTAGACGGGGGCGTGGGAACAGTGTCCGTTTTTCCAGGGGGAAGAAATGGGTGATCCCCCGCCCCCACATGAGGACGGTCAGTGTGGAACTTCCCGGTAGTCATGTACAGGGTCCCACACAAATAACACCCTTCTTTTATTATAAAATTAATGGTAAAATCATAAGCACGTGATCTGTCCTATAAAAATCACACAAGCCCACATTTTAGGTGAAACGTTCAAATTGAAACTATAAATCGTGCCACCCAGATTATTACCCAACCAACCAGGCTCCAGCAGGCGCTAGTTCGGGGGACCCTGTATCTGAGTAAGCAAGGGGCCTGTTCTAGAAGGTTCTGTGTACACTGGCCCCCCCTTTGCCTTGGTTACGTAGCCCTTCAGAGGTACCGGTGGTGGAACCGCGCCTGCGTCTTAGTCTGTTCCCTGTTAGCTGGGCCCCAGCCCCTCACTTTGTAGTAAGTGAGAAGGAGATGGAACAGATCAAGAAAACGAATTAGCTGGACCACATTTTACCCTCACGCATATGGCCATGGCTTGTAGATTCCTGAGATTGTGAAACGACTGGGGCAGTGTTCAGTCATGGACTGTTTGATACTGTTCATTGCTCTTAATATTATTATAGTAGTGGGTGACTTCCCTAATACATTTTTTAAGATTTTACTTCTTTTCTTTTTAGAGAGAGGGGAAGGGAGGGAGAAACACCAATTGGTGGTTGCCTCTGGTAAGTCCCCAACTGGGGACCTGGCCCACAACCCAGCCATGCGCCCTGACTGGGAATGGAACTGGTGACCCTTGGGTTCGTAGGCCGGTGCTCAATCCACTGAGCCACACCAGGCTGGACACTAGTTTTAAATCTTAAACAAAACCATGCAACTAGTAAAAACAAAATACATCGAATGTTCTATGAAGCAAAAAGATATAAGCTGTAAGAGGCATTTCATAATGAGCAAGCAGAAAGGCATTCATATTTATGAGAAAAATAAAATATTTATTGAGGGCAGACAGGAAGAGCGACAAAGTTCTTCGAGTGTTGTTGACATGATCACATAAAGTTAAATAGCAATATGCACTTCTAAATAACATTCCAAGGTCATAAAAAAGGTAGTATCAGGCTATCATAATTTGCTGTGCTATAGGAGGTCAAAAGATATTTAAAAATGACTGGTTTTGGGGAGAGAGAAGAAACTCAGTCCCACAGCCCTACATATATTCACTCGCAAAAGAAATAACACCACCTGCTCAGCAGAAAGAAGTTAGGCCAGCCACGCCATTCCTAACTACTGCATTTGCCATGTATAATATGCACTGTTGCCCAAATTTTTGAGGGGAAAATAAGGTATGCATTACACATGGGAATTCTTGTGGGGATGTGGGTGCGCATTATACAAAGTGAAATATGATAAATGTTTTTCTGATTGTCCTTCTCGTCCTTGGACACTTTGAAATGAAACCAAAGGCAAAGGATTTTGTACCGTATAACCTATGACTACTTAAATAATATTTCTTATTTTTCCAGAATTGTTTCTTTTTCTGCCGCTCACCTTTCAAAATGAAGGAGGATCAAGTTGTGCTGGAGGAATCAGGATTCCAAGATGAAGAGGTATGACAAGAATAATGAAAGATACATTGTAGACATTTAATCAGCCACAAAAGTGAAATCCCTTCTCTGTTAGCTACTAGTTTTAGAAACTGCTTAGAAATATGGTTCCAGAGAGGCAATATTCCAAATATCTAACAACTTGCTGAGCAAGGGGTGCTAACATTAGCTGCTTAGGAACTGGCATGAAATAAAAGTTCACCAAATTTATATTCTCATTTTATTCATACCATGGTTAAATATTAACATCTCATGCTAGGCCACAGCTGCTCCTGAATGGCTGGCCCATTTTTATTTGCTTCCACTGATGTCACTCATTGTCAGTGCTACTGTCACTATTACTGTCACAGGCCAATGCAGTCGGGTGTCCAGGGCTTCTTTTTGATCCTGGTTGATTGCAGTCAGCCACCGCTCTCTGGGTGAGGCCCTCACAACTAGGTAAACTGAAGGCACACGCCAGCTCAACTCACTATTCCAATGGCCTGGGCAGGGCTCTCGGGTGCTTTTGCACTATTTATAATTTCATTCAGTGACTTACTTCTAAAGATCTTATTATACTTCCTAAAAAGCCCCAACATTTTCCATTCAGTGAGTCCTAAAATTATGTTATGAAGATGGCATGAAATTATTTAAGTAACAGCTCGTATGGCCATATTGGTCCCTCTGCATGCTGGTACCAAACGCAGAGGGAGGAGTGCAGGGCCTGGTAGGGAAGAGGTCTGAGAAAACGTGAAAAACAGGTTACATGTTGTTCCCCTCCTTTGGGTCAAGCTCTTAAAATTTGGGGAGGCCACAACAAAAGTACTGGACTTCCTAGCCCTTTTGGCATTAGCTCTACTAAATATGTATTTAAAGAAAGTTTGTTTGTTTTTTTTAATCCTCACTCAAGGATATGTTTTTATTGATTTTAGGAATAGGGCAAGGGGGAAGAGAAACATTGATTGGTTGCCTCCTGTATGCACCCTGACTGGCGATAGGACCCAAACCTAGGTTATTTGCCCTGACCGGGGATTGAACCCACCACCTTTTGGTGTACAGGAGGATGCTCCAAACAACTGGGCAACCCAGCCAGGGCTAAGTGTGTACCAATGTGTTTGTGGAAGCATTATTGATCCTACTATTGATCTGTCTGGAGGAGTCAAATTTGAGGAATTTGGAGAGACCATAATTTTGAATTAAATCTTTAAAAGATGCAAAACAGTGGATATGAAGAATCAAAATTCCATTTTTTCCTGTTCCATCTCCTTTAGGAATCTTTGTTTCAAGACATTGACCTGTTACAAAAACATGGAATTGTAAGTATTTTTTTAATGCTGTGTGAAATTGTCCGATTCAGGGTTTCTCAGCCTTGACCCTTTGAACATTTTGGACTGGGCCATTCTTTGTTGTGGGGAGCTGTCCTGTGCATTGTAGGCTGTTTAGCAGCATTGCTGGCTCCTAACCACTCACTACTTGCCGGTAAGTAGCACACCTCTGCTTGTGGCAACTAAGATCTACCCAGATACTGGGAAGTGTCTCCAGACATGAAACTGCCCCATTTTGAGAACCACTGGTTTGACTGGAGGCATTCAGAGCCATCCACATCTACTTTATTCATCAGCATAAAGTCAGTTCTGTGGCAGGTGATTAGAGCAAATGATACTTTCAGAAATCCAAACTTCGAATGGCAAACTAATTTCAATGGCAGTAATTGATGTTAAAACTCTGACATTATCTTTTGAAGCCTCACATTTGATCTCTTTCAGTTGGATTTAGAAAATAGAAGTAAGAGAAAATTCTGGTCCTTTGGTGATGTAGTTATTTGCATTATGCAAGGGTAGAGGGAAAAAAGTCTTTAAAAAATTCAAAGAACATAATGGTAACGAAGTTCTATAGAAAGAAGGAGCTGAACTGAGGGGGTGAATGTGTGATAGATAAACTTGCTAGCTTTTCTACAACAGACCTTCTTTTTGAATTGTTACATTGCCACAGTCTCACTCACATTCTTGGGAAATCAGAGCACAGCCAGAACATTTGGCAGGATGCTGGGCATGTTCTACTCAGATATTTCTAGAACATTTGGCTACATGGTGGGTGGGTCCCACCTGGTTGCTTGTCTAAAATTGGCATCATGGTGGAAGGAGATGGACACAAAAGCGCATGACATAGTATGGGAGTTTTTCAGGCTGGCATTTTATCAATCTGTTCCGTTCCTTTATTTACAGAATGTGGCTGACATTAAGAAACTGAAGTCAGTAGGAATCTGTACCATCAAAGGGATACAAATGACAACAAGAAGAGCCCTCTGCAATGTCAAAGGGCTCTCGGAAGCAAAAGTGGACAAGATTAAAGAGGCAGCCAACAAACTTATTGTAAGCAAAATCCATTCTTTGTTGTTTTAGCTTAGAAGGGCTCCATGAGCCTCTTTCTCATTAAGAACGTTAGAAAGGATTGTGGGAGCTCGGAGTTCCCGTGGGTCACAGCATGTTGTTCTCTCCTCGGAGATGAAATGCAGCAACAGTTAATTTCTGAAAGGTTGAGGCAAGGGTTCAGAGACCTGGAGCACTATGGAGGCAACTATTTTTACCAAAACTTTTCTTTTTGCCTCCTTTTACATTTCTTTTTCTTCCTTTTTCTTTGCTGTTCGTTCTCCTTTTTATTTTTGTTGTTTCCTCCTCCTTATTTTATTTTTTTGTCTCCTCAAATGTAGCTATGGCTTTTGCAAAGCACTCAGTACCAAAGGAGTTACTCTCTCCTGGTATAGACCAGTTGATAAGAGAGCATTGGGTTAGAAAAAGACCATCTGTGGCTGGGTCTGTATGCGTGGGGGGAGATAGATATGAGCAAGAATATGCTCAGTGTGGCAGCTGAGCTAAAACTGAGCCACGCCCATACCCTGTAGCTGGGCGCACAGACCATGAGAGGTCCATGCAGCTGACAGGCTCCAAGCAAGAACATATGTATGCTTTTTAAAAAAATTTTTAAATTTATTTATCCTTAGAGGGGAAGGGAAGGAGAGAGGGAAAGAAACATCAATGTATGGTTGCATCCTGTGTGTCCCCTGCTGGGAACTGGCCTGCAACCCAGGAATGTGCCCTGACTGGGAATCAAACCTCAATACTCTGGTTTGCAGGCCCGCGCTCAATCCACTGAGCTACACCAGTCAGGGCAAGAACATAGGCATGCTTTGATTCAAGCTTTTCTGTAGAGCTTTTGGGGCCACTGAACCTCAGTAGGGTGACTCAACAGCTTGTGTTCTTAACTATGACCTTGTGCTGCCTTCAAAGACAAATGAACTGTAGCTTATATCAAATAATGATTCTGATAACCAAATATATAGTTTTTGGCAACATTTGAATCTAAAACCATCATCTTATACCCTTTTTTAACTTTCCTTTTGTCTTTCTGTAGGAACCAGGATTCTTGACCGCTTTTGAGTATAGTGAGAAGAGGAAGATGGTTTTCCACATCACCACTGGGAGCCAGGAATTTGAGTATGGACCTCATGTTGTACTTTGTAGTCACTAAGCATAGTCTTTGAAATATTATATTTCTTTTTCTCTGTAGTTTTTCTTCAAAAGGCAACTGAAGCAACTAAATTCTAAACTACTTGTAGAAACAGGATTAAATTTCTTACAAGAAATTCAGACCCAGAATATAGTTTCTGAATCATCCTGTATTATTCCACCAACAATTTTTTTAATTAGTTTAACATAATTTTTTTCTTCTATTTTTCATGTTTCTCAGTATACATATCTTTACCCTCACCCAAGGGCATTTGTTTTTCATTGCTTTTAGAGAGAGAAGAAGGGAAAGAGAGAGAGAGAGACAAACATCGATGCAAGAAAGAAACATTGATTGGTTGCCTTCCTCTATGTGCCCCAGCCAGGGATCAAACCCACAACCTGGGTGTGTGCCCTGACTGGGAATCAAACCTGCGACCTTTTGGTCTACAGAAAAACGCTCCAACTGAATGAGCCACCCCGGCCAGGGCATGGTATATTTTTAAAAAATTGGATATTCAGTTGATTTTTAGAAACATGGTTCCAGCACAATATGAAAAACTCAGGAAATAATAAGACCATTTATTCAAACTCCAGTTCTAAAGAGCAGAACTGAGACATAAGGCCTATCTAGCTCATTTCCTGTTGGTAACCAGAAGCAAGAAACGCAAGGCTCACCTTGTTCGGATGATCCACCAGCCCGTACACAGTACAACCTATGATCTAAACAGGTGGAATACCTTTTGTTCCGCCAAGAATCCCTGTTCACATTGGATAGAAAGATAGAAAAAGAAGTGATATTAACACTTCTCCTTTCTTGAAATCTCTATTTCTGTTCCTGTTACTAATGCTTGCTTTCTATTTCCAGCAAGTTGCTAGGAGGCGGAATTGAAAGCATGGCAATCACAGAAGCTTTTGGAGGTAGGCAGAACCTCAATATTTTATTATTGGGAAAAAATTATGTATATACACACACATATATTTGTAATTAAATAAACAACCAATAGTAAATTGTATCTAATTTGGAACTCAGGATGACATATCAATGATCATAATACAGGATTATTTTAGGCTACAGTTAAAATATATTCTAACACTAATAGATGGATTGGGTCTTACTGGATTTTTTCACTGTTTTATCTCTGACTCCTATAGAACAGAACTTTTTTTGCATTCTTTAAACAGGTAGTTGAATAGTGAAACAGATCTTATTTCAAAGAAAGGCATGTTGCATGAACGCAGAAAGTAAATTTTCTCTTCCCTGCTTATATTCTCTAATTTTCTTCAAAACAATTCATGCATAACTATACTACATTGCTGTGCCTGACACTTCCAGTATTGGCCATCCTTGGGAAACTAAATCTGTAGTTTTGTTGCTGTTTCTGTTGACTTAGAGAAATAAATCTGGTTTTTATTATTTCTGTTTTCATTATCTCAGTCTTAGTGGCTTATCATCTTGTATATTCATTGATATTTGTGAGATTATTTCTTGATTTTAACCTGTGGGAGTTCCGTGGGCCAAAACTGGTTGGTGAGCAAGTTTCCCTTCAGAGACAATTTGCTTTTTTGGTGCCAAGTATGTGCTACCAGCCTGAGACAACTTCAGCTCTCCCGTGAGGGTTTCAGTCCAGTGGGAGAATCCCAGGCTCTCTTTTCTGTAGTAGGATCTTGAACTCTCATTGCTATGACTATTCTTAAGGAAAACTTAGTTTAACTTAAATTTTATCTAAAGGACAACTCTGTGGGAAAAAAAAATACCTTTAAAAGTTATTGTTAGCCCTGGTTGGTGTGGTTCAGTGGATTGAGCACCAGCCTGCAGATTGAAAGAATGCTAGTTGGATTCCTGGTCTGGGCTGCAGGCTGGTCCCCAGTAGGGGGCGTGCAAGAGGCAACAGATCAATGTTTCTCTCCTCTTCCTCCTTTCCCTTGTCTCAAAAATAAATAAATAAAATATTTTAAAGTTATTTTTACTACTAGTATTCATATATACAGAATCCATTTATGATGTGCTGGTACTTTATGTGTAAGATTTGACAGTCAGAAAAGCAAATTATATTCTGGGGCCATATTTTATTTTTTATGAAAATATCTCAAAATTAACTGTGGGTTTTTTTTGTTTTTGTTTTCTGTATTTCACAGAATTTCGCACTGGAAAAACCCAGCTCTCTCACACCCTCTGTGGTAAGGATGTGTAACAACAACAATAATAACAATCATAGCTGTCATTCACTAATTTAATTTGTGCCTTGTACTTTATAGGAGGGGGACCCCAAAACACTGAAATTATCTGCTGGAGAGCAGGCCCCTTGTAATACAGGCTTCCCCTGCTACATGAGTGTTCTAGGAACCCACCTATATTAGTGTACCAGCTGGCCTTGTGAGAGGCTGCATTCAGCTTCAGTGAAAATTTTTTTTTTTTTTGAAGACCCTTTCAACGTACTTGCCCATTTCAGGATGGGTGATTACAAGCCCACCTGCCCACACTGCGCTGAGTGTTCAGCAGTGTTTGATCTAAAACGGCAGGACCCCCATGCCCCACCCGCCCTATTCGCCCAGTCTAGCTGTGAGCGACCTTTTTTTGTTTCCCCGGATGAAAAAAGTCCTTAAAGGGAAACGTTTTGCCAGTGTGGAAGAGGTGGAACAAAAAATGGCAGAAACACTAAAAAGCATCAAAGTTGATGAGTTCAAAAACTGTTTTGAGCAGTAGGAAAAAGGTCTCCATAGGTGTATTGCATCAAATGTAGAGTACTTTTAAAGGCGACTGAAGTTTAAACATAAAAGAATAAATACACAGTATTTACAAATAAATTCTGATTTTTGGGGGGTCCCCTCTTGTATAATCATCTCATGTAATCTGAACAAATTTACAAGGGAATTAAATCTCAAAGCGGTTAGGTAAACTGCCCACAGGCACACAGACCCCAGAGCTAGTCTTTGAATGTGCGATGCTGGTGGCGATGTGCTGCACTCTGAACACCTGGAAGGAAATGGGGACGAGATAAGTGCGCTGTGTGAGTGTGGTGGGGGAGACAGGCTTTCACTCTCTCGGCTTTCCCTTTCCCTCTTTTCTATGTCGTATCTTCAAGAATGTCACAGTCTTACTGAGACCTATGATCCCTTACCTTCCATGGAATAAGGTGGGCCCTGAAAAACAAGTAAAAACAAATTTTTCTAAAACAAAGTAAGGAAAAAAACCTCCTTTTGCACAAAGAAGTTACTGTGCATTTCTTTGACTTAGGTAGAGGGAGCATGGCAGAATGGTTAAAAAAGGGATTCTGGGATCAAAAATACCTGGTTCCAGTCTTTGCTGTACCACTAACAGCATTGTGACTTGGGCAAATTGCTTCACCTTTCTCATTGTCCCTGTCAGTAAAATAGGAATAATGATAGTGCAAATGTAGAGTTGTTTTGAAAAATAAAGAGCATAATGCACGTACCTAATATAAAATAATTCCTTAGTATGAACTATTACCACATGTAAAGAAAATGTGTTTTAAAATTGGACATGAATTTTGTTGATTAGGTTCCTGTTAAAGGTGATATCCTAAGAATCCTGAAACACCAATCCAAAAGAACCTATGCACCCCAATGTTCATAGCAGCACAATTTACAATAGCCAAGTGCTGGAAGCAACCTAGGTGCCCATCACTAAATGAATGGATCAAAAATCTATGGTACCTTTACACAATCAAATTCTATGCAGCAGAAGGAAAGAAGGAGCTCCTATCCTTTGCGTCAGCATGGATGGAACTGGAAAGCATTATGCTAAGCAAAATAAACCAGGCAGTGAAAGACAAATACCAATAAACTTTCTTTACAAAAACAGATATTGGGTTAGATTTGGCCCATGAGCCATAATTTGTCAACCCTTGGTTTAGAATATAGTTCTTATACCCCACTATTACAAGGTTCCGAGTGAGATTTATAACACAGTTGTACCCCTTACCAGTGGGGGATGCCTTCCAAGGTGTCCAGTGAATCCCTGGAACAGCAGATAATACCAGACCCTATGTGTACTGTTTTTTCCTGCATGTGCATATGTATGATAAAGATTAATTTATAAATTGGTCACAGTAAGAGGTTAATAGTAAATAATAATATAATGAAGTAATTCTGACTATATACTGTAATAAAGTTGTGTGAATATAAAAAAATTAGAAACAAATTAATCAAAAGTGAGTTATATAGCATAAATTATATTTGCAATTATTTCTCATAAGAAAAAAGTAAATTCTATCTGTATTCTTTAGGAGAACTAGCTTTCGTGACTTGTGAGAGATACTGACATTCTTTGTTGAATTACTACTCTGCTGACAGAATACTTATAATTTTGTTATTGGTTGGTAATATAAAAATGTAACATACTCTTTGCTAGCTTGACTAAATAACTGCAACCAGCATAAATCCCATGTTAATTTATACATTTATATAATTGTATACATTTATTCAATGTTAATATTAATGAACTTTCCATTGCTTCCTAGTGACAGCTCAACTTCCAGGAGCAGGTGGCTACTCAGGAGGAAAGATTATCTTCATTGATACAGAAAACACTTTGTAACCTTTTAAAAATATATTTTATTGCTTATACTATTACAGTTGTTCCATTTTCCCCCTTTATTCCCTTCTGCCCTGCACACCCCTTCCCACCTGCATTCCCCCCCTTTAGTTCATGTCTGTGGGTCTTACATATAAGTTCTTTGTCTTCTACATTTCCTATACTATTCTTAACCTCCCCCCTGTCTGTTTTCTACCTACCATTTATACTTCTTATTCTCTGTACCTTTGCCCCCTCTCTCCCCTTCCCACTCCCCCACTGATAACTCTCCATGTGATCTCCATTTCTGTGGTTCTGTTCCTGTTTTAGTTGTTCGCTTAGTTTGTTTTTGTTTTTAGATTTGGTTGTTAAAAACTGAGTTTGTTGTCATTTTACTGTTCATATTTTTTATCTTTTTCTTAGATAAGTCCCTTTCACATTTCATATAATAAGGGCTAGGCGATGATGAACTCCTTTAACTTGACTCTACCTGGGAAGCACTTTATCTGCCCTCCCTTTCTAAGTGATAACTTTGCTGGAGAAAGTAATCTTGGATGTAGGCCCTTGCCTTTCAGGACTTTGAATACTTCTTTCCAGCCCTTTCTTGCCTGCAGGGTTTCTTTTAAGAAATCAGCTGATAATCTTATGGGAACTCTTTTGTAGGTAACTCTCTCCTTTTCTCTTGCTGCTTTTAAGATTCTCTCCTTATCTTTGACCTTGGATAATGTAATTATGATGTGTCTTGGTGTGTTCCTCTTTGGGTCCAACTTCTTTGAGACTGAGCTTCCTGGACTTCCTGGAAGTCTGTCTCCTTTGCCAGATTGGGGAAGTTCTTCATTATTTTTTCAAATATGTTTTCAATTTCTTGGTCTTCCTCTTCTCCTTCTGGCACTCCTGTGATTCAGATGTTGGAACATTTCAAGTTGTCCCAGAGGTTCATAAGCCTCTCCTCATTTTTTTTGAATTCTTGTTTCCTCATTCTTTTCTGGTTGAATGTTTCTTTCTTCTGGTCCAAACCATTGATCTGAGTCCTGGTTTCCTTCCTGTGACTGTTGGTTCCCTGTAGATTTTTCTTTATTTCACATATTACAACCTTCATTAGTGCCTGGGTCTTTTTTATGCTGTTGAAGTACCCAGTGGAGTTCCTGTAGCATCCTGATAACCAGTGTTTTTAACTCTGCATCTGATTGGTTGGTTATCTCTTTGTCACTTGTATTTTTTCTGGAGCTTTGATCTGTTCTTTCATTTGTGTCTCGGCACACCTGTTACGTAGTAAGGGGCAGAGCCTTAGGTGTTCACCAGGGCAGCGAAACCCACATCACCGTGTTGTGACGCTGTATGTGAGGAAGGGTCCAAGTGCTGCTTGCTCCACTTTCTGCCGGCTTTCAGTCACTTCCCCTGCTACCCACAATCAAATTGGACCCTTCTGGTGCTGATTCCCGAGTGGGTGGATTTGTGTCCATTCTAGGACCCTGTGGTTCTCTCCAGTGAACTCTCCTGTGAGGCTGGGAGTTTCTCCCACTGCCTCAACCCCCACAGGCATTTTCAGTCAGAGGCTTTGAGGCTTTATTTCCCCGCACTGGGGCCCTGGCTTGCACATCTGTCTTGCTCCCCAGTCATTTCTTCCCGTTTATCTGCACGCAAATATGGGACCATCTAGTCTGCAAGCCACTGCTTCGCCCACCCTGGTCCTCCAGCCACCGCCTTGCCGAGAGTCCTCTTCACCCCGTAACCTGTCTCCACCCATCCTACCGGTCTGGATGAATGTTTCTTCTATAACTCCTTGGTTGTCGGGCTTCCATACAGTTCAATTTTCTGTTGGTTCTGGTTGTTTTTTGTTTTCAAATTTGTTATTGTCCTTCTTATGGTTGTGTGAGGAGGCACAGTGTGTCTCTACCTATGCCTCCATCTTGGCTGAAGTCCCCTGTAACCTTTTTATTTAAACAAGTTGTGAACATAGCGGTGCGATATAGTAATATCACTATAAAAGAGTTTGTTTGAAATATATTATTTTTATAGTCATCCTGTAAACTAGCAGTAATGAGGAAAACCAAGTTTCAAATCACTTCTTATTTTAAAAGGTTTCATTTCCCTGAATGGATTTGGTATGAAATTGACAAAAGTACATGAGAGGAAATTACATTTTATTTATTTTTTATCATCTCCTCCAAAGATTTTACTTAAAATTGTACAGGAAATTCTGACTCACTCAAAGTTATGGTCCAAAATCAGGGGAGGGATGACAAGAACGAAAGCACAGAAGGGAAAAGGGCCGAGCCTGTTTGGGTACCAGAGAGACCTGCAGTTTAGTGGAAGGGGAAAGGTATTCCAGAATGTAAGGTTGGTAAGATGATTTGATTCTTAGACAAGAAGGCTTTAAAACTGAATGATGAGTGTTAATTATATATTTTTGCAATGTTCTAGGCAAGTAATGAGAACCTGATGTAGGTTGGAAGCTGTAGGAATAAAGAAGGACAAGGAAATGAGGGAGAAAAATGGACAGAACTGGATGACTGCATTTGGTAGACAAAGATGAAGGGTTTGAGAAACCACACCAGATTTTGTCTGGAGACTGGGAGAACAGTGATACCAATGAAAGAATCAAGAAGACCATGTTTCAGAGAAAAGGTAGTATTTCATCTTAATGTGTTGAATCTGAGGTACAGGAAGACATCCATTTGGCGGTTAGAAATGTTGGACTCAGCTTGAGAAAGGTATGGGGCCCAGAGAATTGGATGGAATAGCCAAGGGGAAGAGAACTTCTGGAGAAAGAAGAGAGGAGAACTGAAAACACCACTTTGTGTTTATTTAGAAGGAAGTGTTTATTTAGAAGGAAGACTGAAAAAAGGGACCTGCAGATAGAGGAAGTTGGAGGTAATCTGGATATGAAAGATGAGCAAAAAGGAGGGTTTCAAGAAGAAAAGTTAGTCAGCAATGTTCCACAAAAAGAGACAGACAGACAGACTAAAAGAACAAACCGAGAAAGATCATGGAGGTTTGAAATCCGGAGTCCAAGAGAACGTTTGCAGTAGAGCACGATGATGGAAACTTTTTGCAGATAAACAGTAAGGCGTTGAGGCAGTGTTTTATTCAGCAATGACTAGAAGAAGCAATACAGTAATTGAAGGAGGTATAAGGGTCAGAGTAATTTCTTACTAACAATAGAGAAGATATGCCCAAGGTCATATGGTCATTCACAATGAAGGCCAGCCTAGCTCTCCAAGCTCATTACTCACTGTTGTCACAATTAGAGGCAAGAAGATCAGTCTGTTCTAGGTCAGGTATATTGCCTCTAAAACATGCTTTGCTACTGAAATTTGAAAACATTGTATATCACCAATGAATTAGACTTCACTATAAAGTTTCTCGTTTTCTTTATTCATTATGGTTTCTTGCATCTCAAATTGTCTCCTTTCCTGTATTTCTTTTTTCCTGGAATACCTACCTACTCAAGTCATTTTTTCAGAAAATTAATCCAAGTGGTAAACTTTGAGCCCTGGCATTTCTGAAAATGCTTCATTTTGCTCTCACTTTTGAATGTTCATTTGGCCAGCTGTAGACAAATTTGCATGGTGTATTTCTATCCCATTGGGTGTTTGCTCCCTCTATACCCACCTTACAGTCAGTCTTTTGAATCACACAAATCCTCTAAGCCTCTCACTCCAAGGCCTGCCTTTTCTCATCTTTCTTAATTACCCAACTAAGAAAACCTTGTTCTCCTTGATCTGTTACAGAATTTACTATCCAAAATACTCTAATACTTCAGTAGAAGAGAGACAGCCAGAGAACTGTTCGCAAAATACTTTATTTGGAAATACTGGGCATAAGACTCTGAAGAAAACTTCTAACTCAGTGAAGGAGGGTGGAATGTTATATCGGGCTGTAGCAAGAGGAGCTCAGCTGGAGTCCAGCCACTTCCAGAAGTAGCTGTTCAAGGATGCTTCTTGTAGAGGGAGGAATTGTTCTTACAGAATAGAAACCACTGTTTGGGCAATTTGGTCCTTATCAAGAATGGTAGAAACAGGAGCCAAGTCCTACGCAAGAGGGAGTAAGGAGGAACAGGACATGAGAGGGTCTCAGCAGAATGTTCTCATTCCTTCAGTCTCTCACATGTATTCTGTTCTCTTGATATTTTTCTTTTTCTGTGTTTATATTTTGCCTACTTAATCACGTTTTATGCTTATTTTTTGGTGTGGATTATCTTATGACTCCTTATATTCCCCATAATGTCTTGCACTGGTAATTGATTCCATATGGTATTCAGTTAATAAATATTTATAGATGGATTTGAACTTCCCTTCAGCATAAGTACAATTTTGGTCACATAGTAACCAAGTTTTGTGAAAACAGACCTGGTAAGAAATGTTTACTGCCTCTTCTAATTCCCTGACCTCTCTGACACACCCACCAAAACCATCTACTGGGTGTACTCAGTAGCAGAGGAAGATTTTAGTGGCTGTCACTGAGGCTCTGAAGAAAAGAACCTGTGTAGTGCATTAGGATCTATAGGAAATACTAAAGACAATTCAATATTTACTAAACTAGTTGCAAGTGCCACAAATAAGATTATACATGGCCCTTGTTTTATGATGACTTACAGTGCAATAGGTATTATATGAACGCAAAGGGAAGTGAGACCACAGACATGCCCTTTATTTTTCCTCACTTCACTTCATACCGTGGGACATATCATTGGGATCACCAAAGGCCTAAAAATGTTTTTCTCCTTTATAGTTTAGATAGATATAAGTGATTATTAGCATCTTCCACAATCCTTTTGCAGGTATTCTGAATTTGCCTCCCTATGAATTTATTAATTTCAGGAAGCTAACACAACCCCTTTAGGAGAAGGTTGGTAATTCCCTTCTGACCTTTGAAGTTACTTTTCTGACCCTTTCGTTCATAAATCTATCTCACTGGCAAAACGTGATTAATGGTATATTAAACTATTCCATATTGAACAAATAAGGAGTATGAGGAGAGTGAATTCACTTTGAAGTGACTTGAATTATAAATTCAAGTGATATTATCTTCCTAGAATAGATCTATTTTTATAGAACTGAGAACAAAAGAGATTCACAAGTCTCAGTATCTCGTTTCTCTCTTTGCTGTATAATCCTGAGTCATTTGCCTAATCTCTGTCAGTGTTCTCATCTGTAAAATGTATTACAGGCCAGAAGAACTGGCTTCCATGGTTCAAGATTAGATAATTTAATATTTAAATGCATTACTGCCTCACCATGTCTTTAACCATTATAACTACCTAAGGTATCCATTGAGGCACTTGCAAAAAATAAAATCTGGTACAGATTTGAAGTGATTATTAGTATCCTTCGGAATACCTTTGCAGGTACATTGTTTTGCCTCTCTGTTAATTGCCTTGTGATATTATTTTTCATAGTTGTTGTCTAAACTTTTTTGGAATTGGTTGGTTCCTTAATTTTGGCACCCTCCAGCCGTCCAGATCGTCTCCGGGACATTGCGGATCGCTTCAATGTGGACCACGATGCAGTGCTGGACAATGTCCTCTATGCACGTGCATATACCAGTAAGAGCCCCCAGGCAGCTGGATGCTTGGCAGCACTGATTCACTCCACGAGTGATACAACATTCCCACACTGTTCTTTTCTCTCTGTTTCACTTTTCTCCAAATTAATTCAGTCAGTCCACAAATTTTATCATCTGGTAAGTCCTTAGATATTAAAATACTCTCAAATTATTTTATTCTTTATCTTCGAAATGGAGAATAACATGAATAATGTTGCATTTGGCATGTATGCTAAGGTAGAATATGAAATCATTTAATAAAGTTACAAATAATGAAGAAAATCCTTCAAAGACTTTTTTTTGCCCTACTCCCAAGGACGCAGCTGATCTCAGCCTCTGCTTCTGCCAGCTTTTATGTTTTCTCACTGCATTTCCCACCAGGTGAACATCAGATGGAGCTACTTGACTATGTAGCAGCGAAGTTCCATGAAGAAGCTGGCATCTTCAAGCTGTTGGTACAAGCTTTTAAATATTGCTCACTCACAGAGCTATTTAGTATATGACTTCTGTTGATTCTGATTCAAATTAACTTCTTCCTTTCCAAACGCATGTTTATTTTTACATTAACTCTGTGCAGATCATTGATTCAATAATGGCACTTTTTCGAGTGGATTTCAGTGGTCGTGGGGAGTTGGCTGAACGACAACAAAAATTGGCCCAGATGTTATCACGCCTCCAAAAAATCTCAGAAGGTAGGTTTTTAAAATAAAATGGCACCATCAGAATGGGTTTGTGAATGTTTGCTGTGAGAATTTGCAGAGAAGCTCAAAATAGCATCAGGAAGCAATGCATTTTCACAAATCAGAATTACCTTCATGGGAATGCCATTCTTATTTTAAAAATAAAAAATACTGATTCTAATAAAATAAGGCACCTAAATAATAACAGTAATAACTTTCAATCAAGTTGTTATCAAACTAGGAATATAGTCTTATTTCTCTTTTTTTTAAATTTTATTTTAAATTTGTATTTATTTATCTTTAGAAGGGAAGGGAAGGAGGGAAGGAGAGAAATATCAATGTATGGTTGCTTCTGGTGCATCCCCTGCTGGGAACTGGCCTGCAACCCAGGCATGTGCCCTGACGGGGAATCAAACTGCGATCTTTTGGTTTGCAGGCCCATGCTCAATCCACTGAGCTACACCAGCCAGGGCGGAATATAGTCTTATTTCTAAAATAAATTCATGGTACAATATTCCCAAACTCTGAAATCTAAACAAAGAATTTTTTAATTAAAATTTTTTAAAAAATTATTTAGTTATTTTTCAAGTACAGTTTTCTATTTCTCCCATCCCAGCCCACCCCACCCCGTGCTCCCCACCTCCCTCCCATTTCCACCCCCCTTAGTTCTCGTCCTTGTGTCCTTCATACTTGTTCCTCCAAATCCCTCCCCTTTTTTCCCCTTAAATTCCCTCCCCTCTCCCCTCTGGTCACTGTCCCCTTGTTCTGTATTTCAGTGTCTTTTAAACAAAGAATTTTTATATTTACTTTGCCTTTATCTTAGTTTCTTAATTTTATTTCTTGATGCAGAATATAATGTGGCTGTGTTTGTGACCAATCAAATGACAGCTGATCCAGGAGCAACAATGACGTAAGCCCCAAAATTCTGCTTTCATATTTCACAAAGGTTAATAACACAGGGTTAAAGTGTAGAAGAGAAATAATTCCGATATAATCAGTCTTGATGTGGGCACAAATACATCACAAATCTCTCTACTGCAGTGTATATTACTTTATAACTGCAAATATTTCTTTGTTATCCAGGACCTACTTTTCTCTAGTTCTTTATAAAATTAAGCACTAACTATTTGCAGAGATACTTGGGGCTCCACTTGTGTCTATAACTAAAAGGATATTGAAGGATAATAAGAAAAAGATCCCAGAGAAATAAAAACTTATAGTCCAGTTACACAAATGTCTTTTATTGCACTGGTAAGCTCTTATCCTCTAAAAAACAAAACAAAACAGAAAAAAGGCAGGCTATTTTTTTTTAAAGATTTTATTTATTTATCTTTAGAGGGGAAGGGAGGGAGAGAGAGAGAGAAATATCAATGTATGGTTGCCTCTCATGAGTCCCCTGCTGGGAACTGGCCTGCAACCCAGGCATGTGCCCTGACTGGGAATCGAACCGCAATCGTGTGGTTCGCAGGCCCGCGCTCAATCCACTGAGCTACACCAGTCAGGGCAAAAAGCAGGCTATTTATAGGATATATGTATTTATAAGAAGTCTGATGAGGGAAGTCTACTTTCGGAAGAAACAATTTTAGTCCATGTTAGGCATATGCACAATTTGTTGAGATATTTATCCACATGATGGCTCTGTTTGAAAGACAGCAGTGAATGCAGACACAAAGAGAATAATGAAAACAGAAAATTTGAAGACAGGTTAGTTGCCACCATTTAAATTCTGAGGATTATGTATCTCAGTAAACAATCAAAATAACCCTGAATCTATAATATTGCTTTATGAGATATTTTCAATAACTTTATTTAGAAATTTTTTTAGCCAGAAAAATCACAAGACCAGTATAGTGAATACACATGTATCTTTCACCTAGGTTCGTCAAATTGTTAACATTTTGCCACTTTTTTCTTTTGTGTGTGCGTGCACATACATAAAATCTTTGTGGATGTGTACATTTGTTGATGAAGATTTGAGAATTTTTTTCCTGAGCCAGTGAGAATTATTTGTAGACATCAAGACACTTTACCTCATAATACTTCAGCATATCTCTTCTAAGAGCAAGAACATTCTCCTACATAAACACAATATAATTATTACAATCAAGAAATTTAATTTTGGCATACCAGGGTTATCTAATTGTATTCAAGTCTCTCCAATTGTGCCAATAATTTCCTTTATAATTCTTGTCATTTTTTGTTTTGCTTTAGATTTGGGATCAATGGAGGATTATGCATTGCATATAGTCATCAAATCTCTTTAGGCTCATGTATTTACTTAAAGATTTTATTTATTTTTATTTTTAGAGAGAGGGGAAAGGAGGGAGATAAGAGAGGGAAAGAAACATCAATATGTGGTTGCCTCTTGTATGCCCCCTACTAGAGACCTGGCCCACAACCCAGGCATGTGCCCTGACTGGGAATCGAACCAGTGACTCTGGTTCACAGGCTGGCACTCACTCCACTGAACCACGCCAAGGCTCTTTAGGCTCCTTTAATCAGAACAACGCCTCAACCTTTGTTTGACAATTATGACACTGACGTTTCTGAAGAGCACAGGCCAACTGTTTTTCAGAATGTCCCTCAATTTGGGGTAGATTTTTTTCTCATTATTGAAAGTGTTAAACACTTTTGGCAGGAAAGCTATAGGGTGGTTTGTCCCATTATTAGTGATGTTAAGTTTGATGATGTGATTAAGATGGTGTTCACAAAATTTCTGCATTGTAAAAGACCTTTTTCCTTCGTAATCAGTGAGTAATGTGTGAGATGAGACTTTGAGACTGATGTAAATACCTTGTTCTATGATAAGTTTTCACCTATTGATTTGAATATTCATCAAAGATTCTTGCTTCCATCAGTTATTACTCTGATGGTTGCAATAAGTGATATTACTGTAAAACAGAGTCAGTACATCAAATAGTAGCAGATAAATTAGTTGTTGGCGTATGTTATTTTTTATTACTCTTAACTATAGTCACTTTGCTGTACATTACATCCTCAAACTTCCAATTATAAAATAAATAAGTCATGGAGATTGACATATGTATTAGAAGGTATTTGATACACTAGTGTAAATTCTGCAAATTGTACTGAAATGAGTGTGTCTCTCTTTAGGCACTTCCTAAATTAATGCTAAGAATGTTGCTGCATCTTCTGCAGTTTGTGTACCTCTAATATTCTCTTTCCAGTATTCTCTAGTGGCTATTTTCTACTTAATCACAGCAGATTCCAATGTGAAAATACTAACTACACAAATGATATTAAACAAGTTAAAAAGATTGAGGAGGGGAACTCCATCGTTTAATTCATTCAATAAGTATTTATTGAAAATGTATGTATCTAGATTCTGGGAATTCATTAGTGAATAAAAAAGACTTGTGCCTTGCCTCCAGAAAAAAAGAAAAATAAATCATGTCTATTTAACTCAAAATTTTCAAGTCTTGGCAGGGCACACATCATCGGCAATCCTTGAGCAGTCACGGTCATTGCTGTTTATAGGGTACTTTATATGTGGAACACAGAGTGCTTCACAAACGGGGTAATTTTAAGCTGAAGAGAAATGAGAGATTTTAAAGGCTTGCTTTAAAAAAGAGAAAATGACTCACCGGCTCAGTGGGTTGCATTCAAATAAAACAGTTCGAGTTAAAGAGCAGTGTACTCTCTTCAGGTGAGGGGAGGGGACATTGAAGAGGCCAACACTGTCTGGAGTTAGAAGGAAAAGGAAATCAGTGGAAACTGGGTCACAAATAGGGGTTCTTTTCTATTTGTAGAAAGTTTCAAAAAGGGTAAAACCATTTTGGATTGACTCCAGTGAGATAATGACAAGAGAAATAGAGCGGTGACCGAAAGGAAATCACTGAAGGAGTGAGAGAGGAGAGGAGATTATAATGAAGGAAACCTAGTAAAGAGCCAGAGAAGTCAGCAAAGCCCAGTATTTTTGCTGGGTGATTCTGCTTTGAAACAACTCCCCCACCCAGCTGAGCTGGAAGGAAACAGGGCTCGCCATAATTAGTGTACTCTGAAGTATTTTATCTTATAACAATACAAATTAAATGCATGTCATATGAAGCACATAATTACCATACTAAATGGGAAAAAAAGACAGTTTAAACTAAAGGATTTCAAACGCTGTTAGAAAAGCTCCCATAAAGAAAATACCTTTGTTTCTCAGTGTTGAGGAACTCCAAGCTAGAACTTGCCTGAGCCTGTCAGAGAAATATCACTGTAATTGGTATGAACCCCAAGTACGCTGACAATAATTGGGGCTTACATCCCATCTGGGTGGCACATTGTATTAGCAGGAACAAAATTATAGAGGCGAGGAGCTGCCATATGATACAGCAGAGTAGGAGCTCCTCGATGAGACTCACAGATACAGATTTTAGAGCTGGAATGACCCAGTTGATGAAGGTCTGGAGATAAAAAGTCGGAGTCAATACCAGGGCAAATAGTAAAATGAGCAGCAGATAAGACAGTAATGTCACCTACTTCATTTATGTATTTGTCTTGCTGAAACTAAAACAAAAGATCATCTTACAATATTTGTAATCTTGTAAATATGAAGTCACTTTATTCTCTAAGGATGTCACCTAGTGACTCAACATGAGTAGCATAAATTAAAAGGCAATATGGTTAGAGAAAAAAACATTAAACCAGGATCACTAGCATGGTGACCTTGTCCAAGTCACATGAACTTATATTCTTCCCCATCAAAATTAAGAGAACTTATATTTATTGATTGCTTACCAGGTGCCAGGTGCTTTCATGCATTATTTTTACATACTTATGTCACCTCAACAGAACTCCGCCTCCTGGGGCCTCCCCGTTCTTCCTGTGAAGTCAGTCTCCGTGTGTCGTTCCATCCTTCTGCTGCTCCCCCTAAAACCCTAGAATTCCACCTTCAAACTCTTGCAAAAAATGTATGTTTTTCTGCATACTGTGGAAGGAAACAAGGTGTGGGGGGTGGGGGGCGGGAATTACTTAACAAAACTTATTAAACACACTCCTTTTTTGAAACCATCTCTTCTCTTTCCCCCAGATTCTTCTCTTTCAGCAGTACTCTTTTCTCTCCATCTTCCCCTGATCGCTAAGCATCCTCCTCATTCTTGGGCATGCCCACTCAGTCTTCTTCTCCTCAGAGGACCCCTCCTCAAAAATTCTGTGAGCTTACGCCTCAGCAAGTCAAAAGTCCCCGGAGTACCCTCGTCCCTCAAGCTTGCCCTCGTCCAGCCACTCCAAGGTCCCCACTGCAATGAGTATTTCAGGCAGATACTATTATTATTTCTAATTTATAAAGGAGGAAGCAGAGGCTCACATCTAAGTACTTAGTACTTACATGCTCAATCACACAATTAAAAAACAGCCAGGCTTTTTAACCCTCTTATCTTCTACTTCAAAGTTACGCTCTCACTAACCCTAATCCTAACCCTCACCCTCCTCATCCCATTCCCAGAAAGATACCATGTGCCTTGCCCTCATCATAACCCTCTGCTTTATGACCCCATCACTCTAATTCGAAGTTGGAGGGTCAGGCTGTTCTGGGTTTTACCCTCGGTGATATGACAGGCTGTATTCTGTTCAACCAGAGGGGGACAAGTAAAACCATCTTTCCTGACACCTCTTCATTTCTAATATCCACCCTCATTTCTTCCTCTTGGTCATCACTCTCCCTCATCCCCCAAGAAAAGGAGAAAAGAAGAGGAAAAGAAAATGTAAAAGAAGGGGCTATAAGAGATCAGGCTGAAGGAGGAGAGTGGGTGTGTTTCTGAAGCTGTTTTTACTTGGTCAGAAATAGAAGTAAATTAAAGCCCTCTAAAAGAATGCAGAATGTTATAACAGTGTACTTTACCTCAAGACTTGGTTCAAAGGAAGTTCAAAGAAACTTTAAGAATTTGTTGGTCTACTTGTTTTATCTGAATCGTTTAGTTAAATAATAATAATTACCACTTATTGAATATCTCTTATGTGCCAAGATTACTGTAAGGGTAGAACTCATTTGGCACAATTCCCAGCAATAGTAGGCTCTGGGTGAGTTGTACTAAATATATCTTGAATCCTCACTGCAGCACTGAGAGATAAGATCTTTTTGTTCTCTTACAGTCAGAGAAAAGGAGATTCACAAAGGTTAAGTAACTAGCCCAAGGTAATAGGTGTTTGAGTCAGGATTATGAAAGCAGGTTATTGTAACTATAGTCACTGGGCTAGTACCTCACCTAATGATTTTGTTTTATTCTCACAACTACCCTGCTAGTTAGACACAGTTATCCCCTAGTGAAAATAAAGAAATACATTTAGAATGATTAAACAATTTTCTTGAGGTCACATGTCTGGCTGATAAGCCAAAATTTGAACCCAGATCTAACTCCCAAGTTCATAAACCACACAGTATACAGTATATCAGGGCTATAAATGCCTGGAGAAAGGTTGGCACACTGTCAGTTGAGAGACTTTGCAGGGATATGTAGCCATTACTCTGGTGAACTGACCAGAGTTCAGAGCCCCCGGCCCTGCAGGCAGAGATTTCATTTGGTGAGCCTACTAAGAACAAGTCTGTCTCTTAGGGTCCGACTCACATTAATCAAGCTCATGAGACTCAAAGTCAGAGGGCCAGTTTACTGATGCTGAAACATGTAAGTACACTTGGGGTTCTTAGGACCGGTGCCATCTCCCCTCATAGGCAGACCCCTGTAGGAATTCAAATTTTAATTCAAAGTTATTTACTAACTATGGAATCCAAACAGAGGGAAATAGTTACATGAGTTGGAATAGTAAGAGCTGCCACACAGTAAGGACTGAATAAATCTCAGTTGTTATTATTATTATTAATACCTAACTATACCAGAGGGTGAAGAAACCATGAATCTCCTAAACATATATGCAAATTTTGGTATATGTACATTTTTCTGGGAGAGAGCCTATATCTTTTATTAAATTATCAATGTATTAGTGACTTATCAAAAAAGTTAAGAGCCATAAATTTGACCCAAAATTCTACTGAATACTTTGATGGAACAAGTAAAATTTGAATTGGCTTGACATTCTCCCAAAGCTAAGGCTGTTGTTATGCTATATTGCAATCTGTTTGATTGAGTTTTACCTCCTAGTTTATGACTCATTTTAAGTACTTCTTTCTGCCCATATCTTCCCTATATATTTTCTTAGTACTTTTGCAAATGCTATCATTTATTTCCGTATGTAGTTTACTCAAAATCATTTTCCTATGGAGATGACATTCTGAACATTCAACTTCTTCACAAATAATCCAGAACAAGCAATACTAACCTATTTCCTTTTGCGTGTAGCATACCGCGTTAGAAACAGCAAATCATAGTTTGCCAACAAAACACCATGGCTCTATATCTGAGTCCAGCTGCCTGCTCTTCTTTAGATGATCTGTACTAGGGTTGGGAGATTACTTTAATTAGGGAGAAATTCTCTCCTTTGACATTTGTCTTTCTGTCAGGACACCCTTCAAAATTCCTTGAATTATAGCCCTAGCTGGTGTGGCTCAGTGGACTGAGCAACTGACCTGTGAACTGAAAGATCAGTGGTTCAGTTCCCAGTCAAGGCACATGCCTGGGTTGTAGGCCAGGTTCCTAGTTGGTGTGTGTGAGAGGCAAACAATTAATGTATCTTTCACACATTGATGTTTCTCTTTTTCCCTCTCCTGTGTCCCTTCTCTCTAAAAGTAAATAAATTAAATCCTTTTTAAAAAAGTTTGGAGAATTTTAGCTTCTCCAAAGATGTGTCACAAATCTATGTCCAAAAGGATCTAGACTAGGGAGACCCAAACTGTCTTCTCTTGTGTATTTATTCAAAAATATTTATTGAATGCCTTCTGTGGTATATTATGGGCACTTTTCTAAGCACTAGAATTACAAAGATGAACAAGAATTTAGAATATGGGGGGAGTGAGTCCCATGAATTACAAATTGTAATTTAGTGTGCTTTCACAGAGGAGTCTATGCAGTGGTTTGAGAGTGCAGAGGAGGCAGTTTCTGTTCCATTCCAGGGGATCAGGCAAGGCCCCCAGGAAGGGATGGCACATGATGGATGAGTAAGAGCTAAATAAACAGACACAGTGGGAAAGGGGCTTTCATTTCAGAGGAAACCTTGTGTGCAAAGGCATCGAGGTGTAGGAGGAGTTGCTGAAATAAGAAAAAAGTTTGAGAGGAAGGAGGAAGAATGACTACAACTGTAAATAAGTGTGTAGGTGGCAGATAAAAAGAAGGACTTGAGAGAACATCGTCCTAAGAGCTTTCATTTTCTTGACGAAGAAGCAAGCAGTGTTGTCAAAGATGGGACAAGAATAGAGATAGGACTTTGGGAGATCACTGAACGTTTAGAAAAAAGGAGGTGAAGCTAACCGTGCTCACATAGAATTATTAGTCAGTATCGAGAGACCATCTGTTCATAGCTGTTAAAACTTCTCTCTGCCCATAGAGCTGACTCTGACTATCCTTTCCTGTCTCCCCATTGATAGGATCTTCTAACTGGTCTACCTTCTATGGAATCATCAGTCCTTCTACAGCCCAGATATTTTCACTGATATTTTTATAAGTTCTGTATCTGAGATTATTCTCACTACAAATTCATAACCTGTGCAATACTGAAGGCTTCCAACATACAGTTAACACATAAGAAGGACGTTTCTCAATCTTCTCAATCTGCTGTCACTTACATCACAGCATCATGAAGGAGGGTTGGGTGTTGGGGTTGTTTTTTGTTTTAATTTTGAAAGGAAATTTATTAAATTGGGACAGTGAAACCAGGAAGGGCTTAGGACAGAAGAAGGAACAGGAGAGCCCAGGCAGGGCTGCTCGGCTCACTGAGAGGTCAGAGAAAAGGGGGCATTGAAGACAGGATCAGGGGGTTAGCCCAGTCAAAGCTTCTGCTGCCCATGACCCCCCTGGTTGCTAAGCCATGGGGATCCTTAGAGTTTAGGAGATGCGTGCCTGTCAGGGAGGAAGAAGGGAAAGGGCAAGGCGTGGGCACGTTCCCAAGAGGGAGAGAGTAGGGTGGGAGAGTCTTATTCATTAGGCTAGAATTGTGCTTGGCACATAGTAGGCTATTAATAAATATTTCTGATAAATGAATGCCTGAATAAATAAATAAATGTATTTTGCAAAGAAAAAAACTTGCTTAACCCCAAGAGTTATCCTATGACAATGAGTAATATTTTATTTATGGGATTTTTTTCTATTTAAAAAAACAAACAGAACATAAACTGTTTCTCACAGGAATCTCAGAAGCCTGAACTGGATGGCCCCAAACCTTACCCCACTCCAAAGTTAGCGGACAAACCTCTGTTCAGAATACACACCTACTCCATCCCCTGCCATCCTCTACCAAAAAGTGGCCTTGAAATTGCTGATATGACTCTATATAAACCATATATTGTAACATGAAAAGGTATTTTTTATTTAGTTTTCAGGCAGACCCCAAAAAACCCATCGGGGGACACATTCTGGCTCATGCTTCAACAACAAGAATAAGTTTGCGAAAGGGAAGAGGAGAGCTGAGAATTGCCAAGATTTACGACAGGTAAGTATTTTCTTATTCTTAATCAGATCCTTGGACATATGGTTTTAAATAAAATTGCCTCTCCCGAAAGACTTTAATTGTGTCACTAGAAGATGCTACATGTTTGAATTTCCTTCTCAAAAAATACTCAATTCATTGGGAAGTCCCTACTATGTACTAGGCTCTAGGGATCCAGGGATTATATTGACAAAGGGCTTAGTCCTTGACCTTCCAAAGCTTACAGTGAAGCTAGGTAATGAGATAATCAATTCCAAAGAAATGTGGTAAGTGTAGGAAAAGTACAGGGAGTGCTGGGAATATGTTCTCCTCCTTTCTCTCTGATGGTTTTCTTTAAGTTTCAATTTATACCTCACTTCCCCTGACTTGTGGTCTAGGTTATACCCTATATTATACTTATGTCTTTCACAGTACTTTACTTATTTGATTAAGAATTATGATCAGTAGCCCTGGCTGGTGTGGCTTAATGGAGTGAGTGCCAGCCTGCGAACCAAAGGGTCTCGGGTTCAATTTCCAGTCGGGGCACATGCCTGAGTTGCAGGCCAGGTCCCCAGTGTGGGGTGCACCAGAGGAAACCACACATTGATGTTTTTCTCCCTCTCTTCCCCCCTCCTTTCTCCTCTCTGAAAATAAATAAATAAAATAATTTAAAAGAAAGAATTATGAACAATAAATTTTAAAAAGAAACCTTCTACATATCAGCTATTCTAGGTTCTAGGGATAGCAAACAAACAATAAAACAAGACCCTGTCTTCATGGAGTTTAGGTTCCATTGGCAGTGACTTATAGTACAGCATATGGCACCATAATTAGACATTAAATACTGTGAAGACAGGGATGCTCTGCAGGGACATCACAGACACGCATTGTTTGTAACTGACTGATTAGCCACCCTGAGCAAAAAAGCAAAGATGTGTAATAACTCCTCATCCTAGGGAAGGGGGAATCAACCAAAACAGAATCAGGTGAGCTCTTAATTTGGTTTTTGCTGTGAATCACAGTACGTATTACTGTGTGTTATCATTGAATAAATAGTAAATAATCAGTTTCCACCTCTGTGTGGTTTTTATTCAGACCATTTTGCTTTTCATTACCTGCCTTGCGGAAGACTACAATACTCAAATGCTATGTTTATGAAGCATCAGCAATCTCTAGAAATTTGCTACAAATTTTTTTTGTTAAATAGGTAATAGAATTTTCATGTTTTTACTAAAATTTCTTCATCTATATCTTGGATGGATTGCTGTGCTTAGGACTCTCCTCCCGCTCTTCACTCTGAGTTGTAATCAGCTGATTACATGTGCATCTCTCTCACAACAGGGAGCTGGTTTGGTCCTTTAATGTCCCCAGTACCTAGCAAGATATACTTGGCACATAATAGGAACTCAGTAACTATTTCTTAAATTAATAAGTGAGTGGACCTTCGTGTTCGATCATTTGTCTATTTCATTAAGGCCTCCAATGAACAAACAAGTCTTTCATTTCGCACAGTCCTTAGAGGATACTAGGATTCTGCAGACTCAGTGAAGGATAATTAAAGCTATCATAGAGATTAATTATGTCAAATTTTCATAAATTTCAATGAAAACAGCAAAACTAGATCAGAGCTTAAAATGTCAAAACTCTAAGTTCTTAAGTCAGAACTTAAAATGTCAAAACTTCTAAGTTTCTAGTCTTGTAGTACATACTGTTTTCATTCTGGTCCCTAAAGATTTCTCACCAAGAATTCTCCTTGACCTAGAACTTTTTGGAAGAGATGTTGCTAATAGTAATAGCTAACACTGATTGAGTGGCTACTATGTGCTAAGCTTTACACCAAGTGCTTTGTATATTTTACTATTTATAACAACAACCCTAAGAGACAGAGGTCATTACCCCCATTTTACACGAGGAAACCAAGGCCCCAAGCAGTTACTTAACCATTGCTCCTCTACAGTCTATTTTAAAACACAGTAGTGAGAGCAATCCTTTGTAAAACTAAGTCAGATCATATCTATTCCCTACTTCAAATGCTCCAATGGCTCCTCATCTTAACTCAGAATTAAAGCCCAAGTATCTGCGGCGGTTTATAGAGCACTGCATGAATGGCCCTGTTCCTTTTCCTCCTGCTCTCCCCCTTGCTCAACGCTGCCACCTGAGTGGGCACCTTGATGTTCTCTACCTGTCAGGCACACTCCTACCTTAGGGCATTTGTGCTTATTGTTCTCCCTGCCTGGAATGATCTTTGCCCACAGTGCCCACTTTCTGGTCATGTCCTTCACTTCCTTCAAGTCTTTGATCAGATGTTACCTTTTCAACAATGCCTATCATGATCTCCCTATTTAAAATTGCAACTAGCCTCCTCCCAACCTCCATACTTCCAACCTCCTTTACCTAGCTCTACTTTTTCTTTCCCTAAAACACATCATTTTCTAATATATCGTATAATATATGTATTATGTGCATTATTTATTGTCTGTCTCTCCTTCCCCCCAAATACAGTTTCACAAGGGCAAGGGTATTTGTCTATTTTTTTCATTTGTAGACCTCAAGTGTGTGCAACAGGGATAGGCAGGTGCTCCATAAAGATCTCCCTTAATGAGTAAATGAATGGACCTGCCCCAAACCATAAACAAATAAAGGACAGAGTAAGATTAGAAACTATTCTGTCTGAATCTAAGATATGCACTTTTAATCCTTATACTATTTCTTAGTTTATGTGGGATGATCTATTTAGGCTAGTCACAGCTAGTCCACTATAGTTACCCTCCACATCTTCAACTACCACCTTATACACATGTAAGAGAAAGACATTTCTTGTTAAAGAAAACAGTTCCCCAAGAACTGAGTAGAAAGGTATTCTCAAGAGTTCCCAGGTATACAGGAATGACTACAAAAAGGCACCAAGCCCATTTCCTAGAATTCACATAGTAACTGCTTCTGTTCCTTAGCTATAGTTGGCTCTCAAGTGTATATTTTTCTCCTTTTAAAACCAAAGTGAATAAAAACCCCATTTATTTTATTCCACTTAGCATATCTATGATCAGTGGACATTAAAAGCAAAGAACACTACTGAATTCAGAGGAAGAACACATTTTAAATAATTACCAAAATGATGAAGACATACAAATCATCACATGTCTGAAATTATTGTTTTTTATTGTTTCTAGAACAAAACAAACAAAAAGCCTGCTTCAACTTTGCAGGTACCTTGCTTGGCTTCCCTCTTAGCTGCTTTTCTTCCTACCATTTGTAAGAGGCCAACTGAGTATTTTCCAAGTCTAAAAGGTTATTTTCTAATTCCATTCAGGGCCTCCTACTCAGCTACAGTTTTAGTCTAGCAAAACCTACCTTATCTGCAGCCTATTATCTGAGCTGCCCTCAGGGTAGACCTCTCTGCTATTTCCTAAAGCAAGTAACCTTACCAGCAGGAAAGTTTACTGCCTCATCTCCTCCCTCCCAACAAAACAAACGAAATTTTTAAAAAACACCCAACTTTGAAAGGCAGTATGCCTAGTAGCCTAGAACATGAGCTTTAGAATTAAAAGCTTCGGGAGTCGTTACCTTTGTCTCCAATCCTGGCATTTTCACTTACTGGCAATGTGACTTTGGGCAAATTATTTCTGTCTGAACATCAGTCTTCTCATTTGTAAAATGTGGATAATACATACCCAGCAGGGTTATCATAAAGCTTAAATGAAATAAAGTAAGGGATCCTGACACGTAGTAAAGAGTACCTACTTAATAAAGGAGGCTTTTAACAGTACTGTAGTTGCCATTACCTGGATATAATAATAGCACAAAGTGGCAGTAGTCTTTCATGATCAGTGATTTTGAGATTTCTATTTCTAGTCCAACCCTTTACTCAAGTTTTATTCATTTCCAACTGCTGGCAGAACTCATATATAAATATCCCAAAATACCTTAAATGAAATGTATCTAAACATAACCTCTTATTCTTCTCCTCTTTCTTATACACAAAAGCAGCTTTCTATTTTTTTAACGCTGTCGCTTCTACCTAGATTACTCCCATTTCTGCCTCAAAGACCCTTCAAATGTTATCTGTGAAGTTTTTCCTACTCAACCTACCTGGCATAATGTCTCCTTTCTTTAATTTTTTTTATTGTTGTTCAATTATAGCTGTCCCCATTTCCCCCCATTACTCTCCCCTGCCCTGCCCCTCCCTCCTCTCCCACATTCAATCCTCCCCATTCCCCTTCCTTTAGAGTTCTATAACATATATGCTGACTTTATGAAACAGCTTAATTTGAATATATACCACATGTCATAGCTCACCCGTTAGACTTCTTGAGAGTAATGACTGTCTCATTTTTGTAAAATCTGTAGGGTCTAGTACATGCTAATCTGATTTCCAAAAAGTTAAAAACATGACTTTCTTGCAAATAAATATAAAATGAATGTGTCAAAGATTTATTCAACTCCCTAATTAGTGAGGATACCACTGAGTGAGTCAAAGGATCATTTGAGGAAAAGTTATGTAGTCAAATGAATGCTGAAATAAATTTGCTAGTAAATGCAAAATTGGTTAATATCAGGCAATAAATTGTAACATTTCAAGTTTTTCTACTAGAGGGAAATCCGTTAGTTGCCTTTCTACACAATGAAACTCATTTCATTCCCATTGCTATAGATTGGAATCATCTGCATTGCTCTTAGTTTTCTACAAATTAACTCTACCCTACAGTTTTAGAATAAATTAAAAGATAAGTTTTAAAGAGCATATAAGCATGACTGATATACAAAATGTCAGTTTATTCAACTCATTAATGCAGCAACTAATAAGATTTTATAACCAGATCAAAAGAAAAAATCAAATTACCACACATATGTAATCAGATAATGCTGAGATGAATTATAAATTGATCAAAAACAGATCACAGTATCTATAGAATAATCAATTACACACCTCCTCACAATTTACATTTCTATGGACAAGAGTAATTGTATTACTCATAGTTTTCTACAACTTACAGAGTTGTAAAAGAGCTCAATGAAAAGCACAGAGTCCTCACAGAACTGGATAAGCTGGGAAGACGTGCTAGTCAGCCTGTTTTCCTTCACTGTCAGTTTCCCCTGAATTGGTCTAGGCACTTTAGCATCAGATAAGCCCCTAGGGGCTGCTGCAAAATGCCTGACAGCACACTGAAAGCATTGAAAGCATGCTGTTATCCCTTTTGCCTATTTCCAAATTTGGGTAATTTTTCTTGACATTCAGAACCTTATATATAAAAACTTGCTCCATAGTTTATGAGGGTTGATAATACTTGTAAATTCTGTAGTCCACATTTAGCTGTACCAACTCTGAGATGTCTCTGGAGACTCACCAAGATAGGAGTGTGATGTCTGTAACATGAACATAGTATTTATAGAAATAGAGCTTTTTATAAATTTCTGTTCCCTTGCATTCTGTTAGCCCTGACATGCCTGAAAATGAAGCCACCTTCGCAATAACTGCTGGAGGAATTGGGGATGCCAAGGAGTAGGTGGTGAATTGATGCAAATTGCTTCTTAGTGCTTATTAGGAGATGAAGAAATAGAAAAGCAGTCTCACATACCAGATCTTGAAGTAAGAGTTTGTTTCACATGTTATTAAAGTCAGCATGGGATTTAAGTCTATATTTACCTTAAAAGTTCCTGATTTATAACTTTACATTGTACGTGGATTCAGGAATATATATGTATATGAGTGAATAAACCTACTGAAAACTACTTGGGAAAGTAATACATGGTTCTAACTGCAGATTTTCCTTTAATTGTATGATTTCATTTATGTGAAATTTCCAGAATAGGCAAATCCATAGATAGATTTGCCTATTAGAAAAGAGGCAAGGAAGCCCTGGCTGGTGTAGCTCAATGGATTGAGCGCGGGCCTGCAAACCAGTCAGTTGCGGTTCGATTCCCAGTTAGGGCACATCCCTGGGTTGCAGGCCAGTTCCCTGCAGGCCAGTTCCCAGCAGGGGATGCACGAAAGGCAACCATACATTGATATTTCTCTCCCTCTCTCCTTCCCTTCCCCTCTAAAGATAAATAAATAAAATATTATTTAAAAAAATAGGCAAAGGAGTGCCAGGGGAGTGCCTAATAGAAAATAGACTAGGGAGTGCCAGGGCCTGGCAGGCCCTGGGAGAGAGACTGCTAGTGGGCACAGAGTCTCCTTTGGGATGTTAGAAATACTCTGAAACTGTAAGAGGTGATAGTTGCACAACGTTGTCAATGTACTAAATACCCCGAATTGTACACTTGTAAATGGCCAAAATGGTGAACTTTATTATGTGAATTTTATCTCAAAAATGTTTTTTTTTTTAAATAAAGCACAGTGCTCTGACTCTAACATGTGCATTTCTTTATCATAAAAGAAAAAGCAGTAAACGACAGCAGCAAGGGCAGGGGATGGTCAGTCACGTCATAGGATCGGGTAGACCATGCACCTGGAGTCCTGGAGTCCCGGAGACCCGGGCCCTGGGGAGTCTGGGGGGACCCGGGGAAGTGAGCCTGCTCCACCCCTGCATTCACCGGATCGTGTACTTGTCCCACTTCTTCTCGGGGTCATAGGGTTCCCAGCGGCTGGCGGGGAAGATGTGCTTGTTCTTCTCATACCAGCTCCTTAGCACCACCTTGCCCGCATGTGACTCGTCCTTCTCCACGGTGGCGTCACTGAGCAGCCGCACGTCATCATGAACGTCGAAATTGAAGAGGGGCCCGCTCTTGCCTCGGGCCTTGGTGACGATGAAATCGTAGAAGCTGTGGTGGTGGGGTATGATCAGGTCCTCCTTGATGTACATGAGCTGCTCCACCCCGGCCGACCTGAGCTCGCTGAAGTCTTTGCGCAGGATCTCCAACGCCTTCTGCAGGAACTGCTGCATGGTGTTGCCTTTCTTCATCTTGACGGTCCGCCGGTGCCCGGAGCCATCCCAGTAACTGAAGGTGATTTCAATCTCCTCGCTCTTGATCTTCTCCTGCTTGGCTTCCCACTCCTGCCGCAGCTCTTCCCGCAGCCGGTTCTCCTCCTCCTCGCGGTCGCGGTCGGGCAAAAAGCTGGTATCCACGTCCGGGTTCTTCCCCAACTTTCTCTTCTTCGCGAGGGCCTCTTCCCTTTCCAAGTCCTCCTCAAGCACGGCCGCCTCCTCCTGCTCCTCGGGCGCCTCCTCCTCTGCGTCCACAGTGAAGGACAGGCAAGAGATCTTCCGCTTGGCCTCCTTCTTGCGCTCCTTCTCGCGCAGCTTCTCCAGCTGCAGCTGCAGCTCCTTCGACTGCTCCTTCTTGGCCAGCTGCTTCTCCCGTTCCTTCACCAGGGCCTCCTGCTTGGCCTTCATGTCATTCAGGGTCACAAGTCCCACCGTGCTGGACTTGAGCTCCGCCTCCACGGCATCGTAGTGCGCAGAGAACTTCTTGTCGATGTTGGATTTCATGATGTTCTCCTCAGCGATGCGCTGCTTCATCTGCTCCATTTGCTCGCGCTGCTTCTCCCGCTTCTTCATCAGGTGCATGGCGCGGCCCGCCTCGCTCGCGGCGCCCTTGTACTGAGCCATGGCGGCAGAGGCAGCAGGAGCGGCAGAGGCAGCAGGAGCGGCAGCAAGAGCAGCGACCACAGCCCCGGACAGTCAACCGCTTAGGCGACCAAGGCGTCTCTGCCGTCAGCCGGCGCCGGCGCTGTGACGTGCTACTAGAAGATGCGCAGGCGCAGCGCTGCGCCCCGCCCCCTCTTGCGTCAGCTTTTTAAAGTGACCACCAGGCGAAAGGGAAGTTCCAGAGTTCAGAGGTGTCCTACTTTCCTCCAGTTTTCTCCTCGAGCAGTTACAGAGGATACGTTTCCGAAGGCGAGAGACCTTTGAGGAAGGAAAGTTTACGTGACACACACAAAAAACCTTGTTTTAAACTTACAGTGTCAAACTGCATTCACCTTTATAGCAACAGAAAACAAACATTAAATTAAGCTAAATTTTAAATCATTTGACTCTTTGACAAGTTAAGATTACTTTTTAAAAATATACTTTTGATATATGAATTTTATTGGAACAATGAAGAGCTTTACAATTAAGTAAGTAGCTTTACAATTTGGGGCGATAAAGGTAACACGACTTTAAATTTGTTTTTGTTTTTTTTTTACTTTAAAGTTTTGCATGGAGAATTAAAAATCTTTTTAATATTAAAGTTAAATGTAAAGTTCCCAGATACTAATTTAGAAATGTGTAAAAATATCTTTTTTAATTGTTAAACAAAAATAAACTAATTTTTAAATGTATATGTGGTAAAAATAATATTTTTAAATTAAAGTAATATGTACAATGATAATCTTTATAAACTTAAAAAAGAAGTAACAAAACTCCAATCTCTTATATTGTAACAACTTTTATAAAAATTTAAGTATTGAAAATACCATTTGTTACCAAAGGCATTTGATTATCCATTAAGTCACTTACTTACCGATTGTATATTGAATACTAAGTGCTAAAGAATATACAGGGAAAGTATAGTTTCTGACCTCAGTGTATTAATACACTAGTTAAGAGAAAAGGCTAATATATGAAAGAATGAGAGAGCAGATGATTGTATAGCCAGTAGTGTGATTTGGATGATAAGTTCTAAAAATGGGAGTGAAAAGGATAAGCTTCAAGACAGCATGCCCAGAGTTTAGAAGCTGGGATTTGGAAATAGAAACTAACTAGACAAGTGGAATTGTTCACAGGGTGGGATTCTGGGAAATAAGCTTTTTTTTTTTTTCCATTTTACATTTCTTAAGCCACAGAACTGCTTCTCTGAATATATAAAGTCATCTAACAGCAGATTTTTTATATTCTTCAGGGCCATTTAAGAAATGGCTTCTTGCCCTGACCCATGTAACTGTTGGGTGGGCATCATCTCCCAAAGTTCACTGGTTTAATTCCAGGTCAGGGCACATGCCTGGGTTGCAGGCCAGGTTCTAGGTTGGGGCCCATGCGAGAGGCAACCAATCGATTCTCTCCCTCTCTTTCTCCTCCCCTTCCCTTCTCAAATAAATAAATAAATAAACAAACTCTTTTTAAAAAAGAAAAAAGAAATGGCTTCTTTCATAGAGAAAGAACATTTGTTGCCCTCAAGTAAATCAACCCCTGAAGAAATCAGACTTACAGTACAAACACAACCAAAGCCAAGGAAGGAAGGAGGGAGGGAGGGAGGGAGGGAGGACCTCTTCTAGAATACAAATATAAATGCATATTTTTTGTCCTGGAGAAGGGAAAGTTTTGTTATTTGAGCAAAACTGAGCATTTCCTAGCAATACCATTGTATGCCAAGCCCTGGAAAGGGAATGGACTAATTCATATAGGATCCCAGGGCCTTTTGGTAGGGAAGGAAATAAAACTCCCAAGATTTGAGATTCAGAAAATCTTTCTGGGTTGAGTACCTCCTGGCCAGGAGGAGAATTTACACAGAGGTGAGTTGTAAACCAGGGCTTGACAAGGGCCTACAGCTCTGTGAGGAGGGTTTTAATATGGCATGTGGCTGAAGATAGAAACCTCCCTGGGTCCAGGCATTCCAATACATCCTACTTTGGAGGACAGTAGCTGAGCATGTGAATGTGAACTAAAAAACTGTAATCTTGGGGCCTAGTTTTGGGACAGCACAGCAGATTGTGCAGGGCCCATTGGCCTTTTCTAGGCCAGCGTTCAATTTGCCATCAGTGACCAAAGCATCAGGGTTTTCCAGTCCTCCTTCTCCTCCAGAGTGTAGAAATGGCCCTGGTCACTTATTCTAAGAGGGTGAGAGGGGCTCAAAGACTTTATGGCTCATGACTCTTGTTGCAAGCCACAGAAACTCAAATTAGCAAATGCAAGACAGGAATTTACTGGCTCATGAAACTGCAAAGTCCAGAAGTAGCTGACTTAAGCCACAGCTGGAGCCGAGATCTCAGACAGCATCATCAGATCTTGTTCTCCTTGTTTCCGTGTCCTGCTCTGCTTATCTCCATGTTGCTATTGTTCCTAGGCTTTCCCTGCTTAGTTGCCAAGATGCTGCTTGCGGCTCCAGGCTTACATCCCACCAAGTTAGAAAACACACTAGAAAAAGCATGTCTTTTTCCTCCATAGATTAGTCATTCTGTGGAAACAAAGACCACCAAATGAGAACAGAGGCTATTTATTCAGTTTGCTACAGCAAGAGTCAGAGACCTTCTTTTGCTCTTGGTAGAGACTCCAAGTTGGGCAGAGTAATGGGAAAGCTTAGAGGGGAAAAATAAGGAAAAGTTTCGGGCGTGCTTTCACGGAAGGTTGTTGACATGGGGAAGCTGGAGGAGTAATCTGGTAGAGACACAGTAAAATGGATAGAGGACAACTGTAATAACATAATTAATAAAGCATAATTTAAAAATGGGTAAAGGAACTAACATTGGCATTGGGAAGACATTTCAGGAAACAGTTCTAAGAATTCAATTGTGAGATGGTTAAGAATGGGACTGGGGTGGTGGCAATCAGGACCCCAGGCTTCTCTTTCTGCTTGGCCATGCTAGCTTCCATCCTCAAGGTCAGCTCATGGCCTCAGATGGTGCCTAGAACTCTGGTCAGAGAAACCATGTTGGGGAAGCAAGATGAAAGGCAGAAGGACAAAAACAGATCCTTCCAGCTGAGTCGGCCCCTGTGAATCAGCCCTCCCGCACAGCACTTCTGCTTACCTCTCACTGGCCTGGGCTCGGCCACCTGGCCACATCTCTGTACAAAGAAGGTAGGGAAATAGTCTTTTCTTCTAGACGGCAATAAGCCCAGCTAAAATCAGAATTCTGTAATTAAGGAGGAAAGGGAGAATGGTTGTTGGGTAGGCAAGTAGAAGTCTCCACCACATTTTCTTTTATTTCCTCAGCAGTGACAAACTTACTCAATGTCTGTTATATGCTATGCAGGGCATTTCAGGCATTTTGCACTTGTACCAGTAAAGCTGGCTGAGGAATGTATCAGTTAAAATGTCTTCGGTTTCAAGTAACAAAAAAACCCATGAGGAAATATACTATCTTATCTAATAAAAAGTCCAGAGGTCAGCTAGCTCCCTAGTTGGTTAATTCAGCAACTCCATAATATCAAGGGCCCGGGTTCTTTCTTTCTCTCCATTTTCCTTTCCTCAGTGTGTGGGTTTTGTTCTTTAGTTGCCCCACTTATGGTCAGAACGTGGCTGCAGCAATTCTACCTTCGCATCCTAACAGGACAGCACCTAGGAGAAGACGCATACTTTTCACAGCAAGGTAGCATCTCACTCATGCAGCTTGTGGGTTGGCTGGAGAGTCTAAGATGGCTGCACCCACGTATCTGGGGTCCAGGCAGGGATTGTGGAAAGGCTAGGGCTTCTCTCCGTCCTCATTCAGTAGTCTACCCTTAGCCTCTTTACATGGCAGCTGGGTTCCAAGAGGGGAAGTGCTCATCAAGCCTCAATTCGCTCCCTGCTTGCTAATGCCCTCTGGCTGAAGTAAGTCACACACTAAGTGCACAGACACTGTGGGAGGGGATCCCACGGGGGGTTGGATACCAGGAGGCGTGGCCCCTTGGAGGTCATCAGTGTAACCATCTTCTGCATTGTGCCCTTCTGGAGAGGGAAGAGTTTATCCTCAGGAGCTCACATTATGGTCAAGGACTTGAGAATTCTTGGAAAGTAAAATAGCAACACAGGACTAAAATATTTAGATAACATTTTTAAGGCTATGTAAGTCTGAAGTCAGGCACAGAGAGAGGGGTGTCAGCCTGGGAGGGCTAGCTGGCTTCTTCCCTAAAGGTCTCATATGGGGCGAATGTTCCGTACCTCAGGGTCAGGCCTTCAGCCTTGGTCTTCAATAAGTTTAGTTCCCCAGTATTGATTAATTTTTAGAAAGATGCCTCAGTGTGGCTAAGAACACAAAGAGAGTATACCTGGATGCCAGTGACATTGAGGAATAGAACATAATGTCAAGCAGACCAGATAGAAAGATTGATCTAACAGCCCGTTGTCTCAGTGAGCAAGTTTGTCAAATAGTTCCATACATATCTTTATTCTTACACTACATATATTTATATGTATCCCTAAGTAACAAAGCACATTCTGCATCCGAGCAGTGTTGAGGGAGCAGTTAAGTACCGAGTACAACGGATAAAGTAATGACCAATCAAGACAGTCCCTGAGAAGTGGAGTTACAGGAGAAATCACCAAATAGCCAAATGTGGTTAAGTGCTGCAAAGCAGAAGCACGGGCAGCTATGAGAGTACCCACGGAGGCGGCTGCCTTGTTTCGGGCTGGGCTGACCAAGTTTGGAGAAGAACAGCCAGGCCCTGAACATTCACATCGTCTTGAAGAGGCACCTCTCTCTACCATGGGTAGCTTTTGTATGGTTGTGTTGCCAACCTCTCCTCCACCCCCTTCTCTGAGGAGTTTCACTCCTTCCCAGAGAACAAAAAACCTGTTCTGCACCTTTCAGTTCAATTCACAAGTACTGCCAAGGGAGTCGAATTCCTTACTTCCCAACCTAAGAACTGGTCTCCACAGCAATTCCAGTAAGCAGAAGAAGTAAAGCCAAGTGAATCTGCTTCCGTTGACTCACTCCGAGCCAGTTTACAGGAAATAACAGGCCTGTAAAAACCCCACAAATTCTCAAGCATACATGCCTAGAATTACATATGTATATAAAAGCTAATGCTCTTCCTTTTGACTCCACCTG